CAAAACCCTTCTGTTTTTCCTTTTTAATTAAATTTTACTCGGTGTTCAAAAAAAAAAAAATTAAATTAAATTAAATTAAATTTTACTCTACCAAGAACAGTAATCATAATTAATATATATATTTTTTATAAAATAACTAACTTAATATGGAGGCAGAGAGAAACAGGCCAATATTTGTTTTTTAACTTTTTACAGAAAAATTATTATCAATTTTTTTCTAATTGGTGGAGTATATGAAATAGTTGTCAGAAGAAACGGATATTTGACGAAATGGGTATTTTGCTAAGTTGAGGAAATTAAAAAAAGAAAAGAAAGGTGTTGTCTTTAGCACTCTGTGAGAAGGACATAACATAAGTTTGATTCTCTCTCCTCTTTCATCTTCTCTACTACTGTGTCTGTCTCTGATGAGCATCATGATGGTGATGCTCAGATGATGTTATGTTCCATGTATCATCATCATGATTCATATGTGTGTGTATGTACGTACGTAAGTACATCTTTGTATGCATTAGGTTGATGAGATACTTGATGATGATGATGATGATGCCATGCATGAGGAAAATTGTGTGTGTTGGAAATGTGAGAAGCGTGAAGGGGGAGGCCTTTATTTTTCATAAAGATATAAATTCTGGCCAAAAAATGCCTTAGATTAAGACTTTTTTGTGTGTCTTGAGAAAAACTTTATTTTATAGAAAAGAAGAAAAAAATAACTGTTAATCAAACTTGGCTATGGCTTAATTAGTCTCGCCTCGAATATTAATGAGTACTTAGCACAATACTGATTGTAGAAAGAAAGACATAAACAAGGGAGAAGAGGAGACAAGGGTTGGCATTGGTAAGTACAATATGTTGTTAATGGGGTTCTCTGCAAAGAGTTGTACAAAATCAATGTTCGGACAAACGGCTATAACTTCTTATACAACAAATAAATAAATACGGTCTACGTGGTGGGTCTGTCTTATACATATATATATATATATACGGGGGTTTAGGAGAAAAGAAACAAACAAACAAATACAAGAGTAAATTTATACGTAGACATGGAGAGATCAAGAGGAATAAATGAAGGGAGGGAGATAGGGTTAGGGTGGTGGGTGCGAGAGGAGAGGGTCATGTGAAGTCTCATCATGAGTCCAACTTTGTGCATGCGCTTCGATTTCCTACATTGGCAGATAGATACCTCCCACGTAGCCTCCCCCCTCCCCTATGCCCTTTGCTTTGCTTTGCTTTACTCGCTTCTCTTCTTCTATACTACTACTACTACTACTACTAGTCTTTCATGCTATATCTATCTTTAGGATACCCATTTTTTATATACTACTGCTTTTCTCCATCGAATACACGCAAAATAAATTCTTTTTTTTTTTTTTTTGTTATTCTTTTCATAAAACACCACTCATCAATTAACTACACTCCTATTATATTACGAGGTTTCTTCTCGCGCCACTCAAAAACATTTGTATTCTTCTTTTGAGTTTCTGAGCTTTTTTTTCAGTTTGTGAGTTTTTGAGTTTCCTTACAGTCAAGAAGATCTTTATGATTTATGGATTAATATATGTGTACATAGAATTACCCCGAATGGTTCTTTCTCTAGCTTTGGAGGACATTTTAATATTTTTTTGCTTTTATAAATGTACTATTCGAATAGTTGTGGTGGATATATAATTATATATGCTCTCAATTAGTCTCTCAACCTAGGGATGATTAATCTATAACTACTACATTTTGAACTGAAACTTATTTCACAACCCTACATTTATACTACTATAATCAATGAGTATTTTGACTGTTCCCTGTTTACTCTGCCCAAAACCCTCTTATTAAAGGAAGGGAAGGTATACTACACACATAAACGCATTATACATTATGCAGAGTGCTCTTTTCTAAAAGGCTTTGGATGCTTTCATAATAAGGAAATACTAAAGTATAAATAGAGAGTTTGTGGTTGCTGAAGCAAAAAAAAAAAAAAGAATGTCAAACCTTTTAATTTGACAATATCTATATCTTTACAAAATAATAATTGGCTTTGTCTATACATATATATTTCTTTGTTGTGCCAACTTTATATTTTTAGCAAGAGGCATGGAGCAAAGAGAGTACCCCACTGGGCCAAGTCCACTCACTCTTGTTCCTATGTCGCACACTACATTGCTTCCTTTCCCAAATTTCCAATGTTTTTTTTTTTCCTCTCTTCTTCTTCTTTTCTGTTGGTGTCATTTTCCACCATTTGTATATTTCCTTTTCGGAGCTCCATAATAGATCTACGATAGCATGCATATATCAGTATGAATCCGGTTTCATATGTGACTTATAAAGTTGTATGTTTATAAAGGTATGCCCTAGTTTAATCCAATCAGGGTGAAAGATAATATATACATGCAGAAGTGTTGTAATATACATATCTGAATAAGTTGAGCTATACACAAATGAGTGCAGTGTAATATCTAATTTGGAGTCAAACTAATTAGTTCAGTTGAACTGAAACTTATTTCACAACCCTACATTTGTACCAAAATTTTCATCTAAAATAGTATAGTATACAGTTATCACTTATCAGATATCACTGATGCAATATATATATATATGAAAGTTAGGAGGATCGTACCATCATTAAATCTAATCATTATACATAGTATTACCAACACAATATATCATTAGTTAGATTTCAGTTGAAATCAGAGATCTGTTTCCTAAAACATATCTTCTCTACAATGACTACAATTATTTTACAAGGATCGGCAAGTTACAATCTTTGGCTTAATGAAGACTAGGAATCTCCTCCAACTAGAAAAAGAAAAAAAAAACGTTTACTACATACAGATTACAACATACGAATAACTTACTTATTCAGCTAGTTTCAAGTCTTGTTATGTAATCTGTAATACAATATACGACAAGAAAGGATTCATAATAGGCTAATAGCTATGATTAACCAAACTACGTATATATAAATTACAAAGTTATTAAACCAAAAACAAAACATGGGATTACTCTCATAAATGGGAAATCGATGCAGCAATGATATTGAAATCACATACTCAATGGAAAGGAAAAGCACAAGTGTCTTTTTTATTCCACTATTTGGAACGAAATGAAAGTCAAATGAAAAAAGCCCTATGTTTTGTCACAATTGTCTTCTTCTTGCTTTGCTTCAATCTCACATCTCTTGTTTCTATTTGTGTTAAGGAAAGAGAGATATCAAAAAAAAAAAGAGAGAGAGGTGGAGAAAGGGACCCATGCATGGGCATGATAGAGGTGTAAAGTCAAGCATGGATAGAAAGAAAGGCTCCAAGTTTGATAGGCTGCTCATGCATATATTGTTTCTTCTATCATATAACATTATTTAATAATTATGAGTGGGATTAAAGTTTGTGGCTATCACTCGCCATGAGGTTAACCATTGAGCTTATATATAAAAGACAGTTAGTTCCACAAATATACAATTTTGTTCGATTACGTCATAATGACAACATCGAGTTTGATATATTTGAAGAATCCTTAAGAAGATGATCACATAATTGAGAAACCTCTACATTATTAACATAATCTATGGCAAGAAATCGAAGTTCAATATTAAGATGTACATGTACCTGTGACATTCTATCAAGAAAGATAAAGTTGCACCTTGTGACATTTTATCAAGAAAGATGAAATATAATGGGATCGATCTACATAAACATTTGTGATATAGTCAGAATCAGAGATGTCATCTTATATATCAGAATCAGACTTCTAAGTGCAACTTTTTCTGTTTATTGTTGATCATCAATATAACAGAAGATCGATATGCCAATAAAATAGTTTGAATGAGTGCTTCAAAAATAAATAGTTTGAAATAGTGGCGGCTTGATGGAAAAGGGAAGTGCATGGCCTATATAGCTAAAGGAATGTAGTAGACCTTTCATATGTTAATCCCACACTATACAAACCCACATTAAAGAAGAAGATGATGAAATGCGTTATTCTATATATATATTCCCTATATATATATACTCTCTTTTCCATTAAAACTTTCCTGCAAAATCATTCCCTATTATATGATTTGAGTTATACGTACATCTTCACACACCCCACGCATATCATGAACTATACATTTTTTTCTATTTTCCAAAAATATTTTGTTATACATTTTTCTAATCATTTTACATAATTCTTTCAACCTTTCACATTAGTGTCATATCTTGATATTTTGCTCGGAAGAAAACGTCTCATGTGCCTTTGACATGATTAATGAGAAAATTTGGTTTTCTGTGTACATGTTTCAAGTTATGAGAACGTCATATTGTATATTTGTATGGTATACAAGTCAGTCAAATTAGTTCCTTCATATAGAGGCTACCTAGAGAAGGAAACACATGCATGTGTCAGTCATCATTTATAAATTATACATACTTTGGTTTCTTGTTTAAGAGGTACTATGTTTCAAAAAGTATTGGGAAAATTCACATCAACTTCTAAACTCCAAAGAGGAGAGAAGCTAAAGCGCAATAAGCCAACAACCAAAAACCTTCAGCCAGAAGCTGTCTGAAAATCAAAGCAATGCTTTTATGGAACCTTGTTAAATTAATAGAAAAGGCGCAAGAGAACAAAACATGACTTCAGATATATAAATTGTCTGGGATTGAAATGATTATGCTTAGTGCATTAAAAAGTGCAAACTAATTATAAGTATTTTATTCCAAATTTTATCCGAACATATCTAACCAATACTATAATCTTAAAAACCTAGAATCCAAACTAAGTTATGGAATACTATCAGTATTAGTCTAAAACGAATGTACGTCTGTGAGTAAAAGTTATGTATGTCATGGTCGTACATTGCAATGTGTTAATTAATTAGAGAAACTTTGAAAGTGAGCATAGTAGTGAAACAGTGATAGACCACAATTTTATTTATGAGTTTGGGAAAATACTTTGCTCATCTCATAAATCACAATGTCACATGCCAAAAATGTAGAATGAATTTCACATGCCCAATAAAAAAAAGAACATATACACAATAACACAATTTTGACTGTAAATTTGATCATCAAAATCATAGCTAACAAAGCTAAGAACATTAGTTTACTTTCCAAAACATGAGTTCATTCATATGCAAAGAATATATTTTTTTGGTACAACAATACTTTCAATCACACTTCATTTCTTTGCTCAGTTTTATTTCTAATCACTAAACCAAAAGTAACCCTAACAATGACCTATACACAGAGATGTCCAAAACACTAAATATGATGATCCTCTGAGACAAATATCCACCCAAAACAGAGACTAAACTTGGTTGTCCAGTAAGAACCTTGCTCAAGATCTACCATTAGGAGCAGAAGCAGCCATGGCTAATTTCTCAGACCGGAGGCTGGAACTTGCTTCTGAAGTGTTCTCATCAGAGGTTTCCTCCTCCTCCTCCTCTTTATGGTCTCCATTTTTCTTCTTTGCATTGAGAAACCGCCCACCACATCCTCTAGGCCGTCTTATAGCATGTAAATGACGGGATTCATGCATGTACGGCTGAAAACAAGAAATTAAAACATGTCAGAAAGGAGTAAACTAAACAAATTACAGTTCAACATGCCGGGAGTTCACCTTCTTTGACTTGATGGCTCTTTCTCGTGCCTCAAGTTTTGCGCGGGATTGCCTGCGCCTGAGTATACCATGGTATTGCTTTGCGTTAACAAAAACTGGTTCCTCGACTGCATCACATTGCAATGGAACTCCTGGTTGCTGCATTCCCATTAACTGCAATTGGACCTGCAAAAAAACCTTTTTAAATTTAACAAAAGCAACTTTCAATATGAAGAACCGGGACATGGAGACTGAGTAATAATACATACCCCAGGATAGGGATGTGGAAGATAGGCTTGCTGTGCAAAGACACTTCTGTAGTAAGGATCTGGATACGGGTAGAGCCCATGTGCCTTCAACACCAGCACACACACAAAAATGAATAACCATAGCATCTCAATTCTCAACTAGAAGATAATGAAAAGCGTAGCATTCATTGAATCATTACTATCTCAAGTCTGGTTTTCAAAGTTAACATTCCAACTAAGTCTAAAATTTACAGAAATGTGATAATCACGGGAAGAAAAAAGTGAAAACCTTCATGCTTGAAGTGGCTCAAGCAAAAATCGAGATTTTGTCATTGTAAGTTTCAAAAACCAATGCTTGTCACATCGAAAAGAGAGATGCTCAATATAAACACTTGGACTACAAAGGTATGGAGAATCATGAAGCTAGCTAAACCAAACTTCTGAAAACCAAAATCAAAAATCAAGATTATTCTCCAAATTTTTGAAATTACCATGGGCTCTGAGTAGACAGAGTTTGTATCAACAGATTCCGAACTTCGTCCTGAAGGAGCCGGTGGTCGGCTTTGGGAATCTGAACGTTCTTGCTTCCCAGTACTATCATTCTTATCTGGCCAACCAAGAATCAGTTAGGAAGGTAAACACTAAAAGAGAGCAAAAGAAGATAGAAATGGTCAGAGAAAGAGAGACAAAAACCAGAGAGCTCATGGACTGAGGAAGTCATGATTCATGAGACTATCCTTAGCAACAAGTCTGAGGAACAAACTGAAACAACACAAAGCACAAAACTTTTGAAATCAGAATTCAATAACAAAAAACAACCTCAAAATCATAAGACAAGATTGCCGTCATTTGCAGGGAATGTCAAGCACAATTAAATCGCAACCCTACAATCTAAACCAAACCCAGAAGAGGAAAAAACCAATCTTTAGCCTCTCTGATATCATATCAAATCAAAACATACACAGCAAAAGCATTTTTACAGGAAACACGATACATACAGTACAAAAGCTAGAAATTTCAAAACTCTGGTGGGAAACAGAACAAAAGAATTTACCTGAATTTTTGTTATATAAAGAAAAAAAATATATATGTTAAGCTGATTGAATCAAATCTGTGGATCTTACCTTGAGAAAATCGTTAAAAGGTCTCAACTTTTTTGTTCTAAACCAAGGAAGAAGACGAAATGACGAACAGAGGCCTAAACGGCTAAACCCAAAGGAACCTTGCGTGTCGTTTTCATGTCAGAGCCTCTACACTTCACACCGTCCTTCTTGGAACACTCACAAACATCGTGACGTTTTTGCGTTTGAATAGTCTCAGAGCTCCAGAAACTTCACTCACCCACGCTCACTGGCTGCTGGAAAGGTCAACAACTCAAAGGTGTGAATGTAAGAAAACGACGCGATGTGCAATAGGAAAAGAGGAGGCAATACAAGGAGGACAAGTGGCGAGACAGCGATCGAGATTGTAGGTAAAGACGGGCAGATCTGAAAAGCTGCCCCGAATATGTTCTCATCTGTTCGACTCCACTAGTTTTGCCTGGCCCGGCTCCTGCCCGTCTGCCCCTTCACTTATGAGTCATCAAAGAAGCGTCGGTATCGAAAACCGAAGATTCCGATTCGTTTTTTTTGGTTTTGTTTGAAATTGAGAGACATTAACAATAAACCGGGTGTGAGTATAAGATCGGTTTGACTTCGGTACAGAGACTCAAATCAAGTTTTCGCTGATTCATACAAACACGTATCGAGTAATAACTAATAAGCAAACAAGTGCTCGGCAGGAACCAAAACATATTCCGCGAGTTTTCAGGATTCTTGTTCATTGTTGTTTGTTCGGAAACTTTATACTGTATAACATAACTCGGTAATGTTCTTTTTGTTTGCTTGTGTATATCATCAGCCTCTATCAATCAGGATTGTTCAACTCAGAATGTTGGTGTGTCGACAAAGGCATTTTCTTTTTAACGTTATTATTTATTTATTTTAAAGGAATATAAAACTTAGATTTTATAATTTATACTATAAAAACAAACAAACAAAAAAAAAAGGAAAAAAGAAAGAGGTAGAGAGATGAGACAAAATACGTAAAACTGGATAAGAAATAAAGATAAGAAGGATGAGGGAACTGTGAAGTAAACAGATCGTTGTTGACTCAAGAACAGAGAACTGTTTGTCCTATGTAGGCTTCTTGAACACATGTTCGTTCTCCAATGCTTCTTTAGTTTAGAAACATGTGGGAATGAAACACTTCATGTTATAGCTTACAATATAAATCTTAAAATGTTCAAGATCAACCATTTTGTCAAACAAAAATCTTAGATATCTTACCAAAAATATGGATCCGGATTTGAAATACTAAATTATCATCCGAAATCCAAAATTAATGAATCATATAGTCTATAAACAATAGTATCCATTTTTTTTCAAAGAAGGACACCTTGACTGAAAGAAGAATAAAAGCTATACAAAAATGAATAGACCAAAAAAGGTTTAGAGTTCAAAAAGAGAGAGAGAGAGAGAGAGAGCTTATAAATATAAACCGCTGGATTGGTTCAACTTGGATCTTTGATTAGTAAAATAATTTATATGATATAATTATTGGATTAGTTGGATTGGACTACAATGATTATGAATTAGGTAGAACCTTAATCATTCATTATGAGATGGACTGATCTCATGACTTTACCAAAATTCTTTCAGTTTGTCTAGTTTTGAGTTTTACAAACACATTAACTTTTTTTATAATGAATAAATATGTGCTTAAATTTCATAAAACTTATACATTAATGGATTGATTCCAAGTTGAACAAACAACTCAGAAAAACATACACAATCCATGATAAAAATTGAATTTGACCCAATTGAAATGGCTTTTAATATATATGATTGTATCTATCAGTATATGTGAGAGAACATCTTGCATGAAATTAAAATTAAGACTAGTCAACAAAAATGTTAAGCAGAAACACAAAGATGTTATGTTTGACCCAAAGAAAAAACCACAGATACATACACAGTAGTGTAATGAATACAAAAGACAAAAAAAAGAGGGGTGTTTTGGTAAAGTGGAGTAAAGGGAGCTGGCGTTAGCTCTTTGTTCTCGAGAATCTCGGAGTCTCCCGCTCCGTTCTCAGGTGTAAGTTAAGTAAGTAAGCGCCTCTTTCTCTTTTATTCCCTTTTATTTTCTATGCGTTTTCTCCGGAAACCCTAAAACTCTGCTACAAGAACCGTTGAAATCGAAGGACTTTTCTTAAGCTCTATCTGGGTACAAATTCAGCTACTTGTAAGTTTGCTTCTCCCCTTTCTTTGGTTATGCTCCGTTTGGGTTTTGTAAAGTTTTTGTCTTTCTTTAGGATTTGTAATCTCAATTAATTTGCTGGGTTCCTCCTGTTTCTTATTGAATTGTTCTTGATTAAGAAACCAGCAAGATTTTGTTCATTCCTGATTTAGTGTATTGTAAAGTTTTGTTTTTTTATATGGGAATTTGTTACTAAAGGAAACTGTTAATCCTCTCTTAGGGCTGGCTATTGTGAGAAAGAGTGGTGTGGGGATAAATTAATAACCTTTATGGAGGAAGAGGTTGTGATGGCTGAGAATGGTAGTTTGGAGTTTCATGATGACAGTTTATCATCATCACTAGTTGAGATTGACGGTCTTCTTAAAGAGAATGAGAATCCGGATGTTGATTTTCTTGAGGATCTTGATTCTTACTGGGAGGATATTAATGATCGTTTGACTATCTCACGAGCCGTCAGCGACTCCATTATTAGGGGAATGGTTACCGCTATTGAGTCTGAGGCTGCTGAGAAGTTAGCTCTGAAAGACCTCGAGTTGTCTAGAATTAAGGAGAGATTGCTTCTGTACCATGTGGGTTCTGAAGATAATGAGTCCCCTTTGATGCATGATAAAGCGTGTTTGGACAATTCTGATGAGCTTGCTCAGGGATCTTTGAGCAGTCTTAAAACTGAAGCCAGAAAACAGTTGATGATGCTCGTTCAAGAACTCACCAATTTGAGAGAGTTTATTCACATCAATGGATCAGGCGCCACCGTGGATAAGAAATTGGGTTTAGACAGTAGTACGCATGACACCAGGTCCAAAACTGTTGATAAAATGCTTGATTCCTTGAAGAGCATTCTAGAGACTGTGGTGAAGCGGAGGAATGATATGGAACTCCCTTCCTCATGGCAGCAGGAGCATGATTGTAGAAAAGAAATTGAAACTGCAGTGGTGACTAGTTTCGTTCGGAGTCTCAAGGATGAGTATGAACAGAAACTGTTGGACCAAAAAGCTGAATTTGGTGGTAACAGAAGTGTTATACTTGGAAATATCAAAGAGATTACGGGTTTGCGTCAGGAACTAGAGGCGATTCGTAAAACATTTTTGGATCATGAAAATGGGGACATCGATGCAGGGGAGGAAGGGGACCGGAAAAGAGTGGAGCAATTGCACCGCAAGATGTCGGGAAGCCTTAATTCAGTTTCTTCAGTTTGGGAAAATGGTAAACATGAAGAGAGTTCTGTTGGCTTAATACCCGAGCATAGTGAGACTTTAAAACATATGTCACATGATGAGTTGATCAGTCACTTTAAGACCGAGATGAATAAAATGAAGAGAGACCATGATTATAAAATACAAGATATGACAGAGCAATGTTTTACCTTTAAGCGCAAGTATTTGAATTTAAAGGAAAGGGGTCCTTTTTCTTTTGTTGGGAAGGATAAGGAGCTAGAGGCGCTGAAAAAGAAGATCCCATTTGTCATCTCTAAATTGGATAAGATTTTGATGGAAGATGAAAAGCTGGTGTCTGAAGGCAAGAATGATGCTGATTTTAAGTGCCGACTTGATTCTCTTCTTCTGGAAAATCGTCAACTGAAAGATTCACTTTCAGACGCTGCTGAAAAGATGTCACAGCTTTCCCAGGTTGAGGCTGATCATCAAGAGTTGATACAAAAGCTCGAATCAGATGTTGTGGATTCTCGTGTTGAAACTTTTATCTGCGAAGATGTTTATGGGTGTTATGTGACAGAGTTATTGAGCCAGATTAAATATGCAAAACAGGAGACTGATTTAGAGCATAGTATGTTGAGAAAAGCATATGAGTTGATACTTGAAGATCTTGCGAGTAAAGAAGCCCGTGAAAGCAACGACGAATTTGAAGACTCTTGTGTCGAGTCCGTCATGATGGAAGAGTGTTGTTCAGTCATATACAAAGAAGCCTTGAAGGAAGCTCATAAGAAAATCGTAGAGTTGAACATGTATGTAACAGAAAAAGAAGCAACTCTGAGATCGGAGATGGCTGGCAAAGAAAAACTGATAGAGGAGATTCATAGGCTGGAGTGTCTTGTCAAGGAGAAGGATAATTTTGTCCAAACAGCTGAGAATAACTTGGCTACAGAGATAAATAAATTTGAGTTAGTTTCTCAACAGATTAACTCTCTGCAATCTCAGATAGAACAGCAGCAAACAGAAATTCAGGATAAAAACAAAGCACTGAGAGTTGTCGAGTTAGAGAAAGTAGAAGTTTATGAGACGAAGATATCCAATTTGAGAGAAGAGTTAGAATTAGCAAGAGAGAGTTTGAAGGAAATCAAATATGAGAAAAGCAAAACCGAGGAGAAGTTATCAGCTACAAAAGCTGAGAAAGAGACACTAGAGAAGCAACTTTTGTCTTTGGACTTGGTAGTTCCTCGCAAATTGATAAAAGGGTTCGACATTTTAGAGGGTTTGATTGCTGAAAAGACGCAAAAAACTAATTTTAGGTACCATTTACCTCTATTTGCTTTCTTTACCTTTAGACAACAAGCACTTTATCCCTTGGTTCAACAGCATGCAGATACTAATCTTATGAGAACTTTTTTGGGACATAGGTTAAAAAATATGCAGAGTCAACTGAGTGATCTGTCACATCAAATCAATGAAGTCCAGGGGAAAGCATCGTCGTACAAGCAGCGGCTGGAGAAGAAGTGTTGTGACCTCCAGAAGGCTGAGGCTGAGGTATGATTGCACTATCACACGATCCATTAAATGAATTTTTATCCTCTGCAAAACTGTTACACTACGTGCAGTAGAGTGTCTGCAAATTGTGTTCAGACCGTATTTAGTAGTAGGAGAGAATGTTATTGGATTTAAAAATTATGTGTGTATGGTTGTTGATCACAGGTTGATCTTCTAGGAGATGAGGTTGAAACTCTTTTGGATCTTCTTGAGAAAATATATATCGCTCTTGATCATTACTCTCCAATTCTAAAGCATTACCCTGGCGTAAGCACTCTATCTCACACACATATTTTATCCTTTTCCATTTAAGCTTTATGTTTGATGATCAGACTATACTTGTGACTGTGCAGATCATTGAGATCTTGAAGCTCGTCCGAAGAGAACTTAGCGGAGAATCAAAGAGACCATTGAATTGAGAAGTTGGATCTCTTCCACACTAGTTTATTTCTGTTCCTTTTGTACAGATCTCTCAGGCGTATTTGATGTTGTTGATGTTTAGTTTTGTTCACTAGCTAGGGTTTGATAATGTAGTAATGTACTGTCATCACTTGAACAAATGTGATGTTAGATCAATGGATCTTTTTTAATCTTAGAATACAGTAGGATTACATACGTGAGAAATAACATCTTATGATCGAAACATATTGAACTTACAAGAAATGAAATCTGAGTAATTAAACTTGTGGCCGTTTCTGTTTTGTAAAAGAAGATGAGCTTTTAGGCTTGTAGCCCTGATTATTTTGGTCTTGATGGTTTATGTTTTCATGCAACAAACGTAAGGTTTATAAACCAAATTACTCTCCCAAAGTCTCCTAGACTTGGGTTGCGGCCGCAGACATCTGTTGGCATATTGAAGGCGTGATTTGTGGAGCTGACGTGTCGATGTCAGCATCATAGCACCGCTCCAACAAGCTTGCGATACTAACTATTTAAAGCTTCAACATATTATGATTCTTCTTCTTCTTAGCTCTTCGTTTAAGACAGCACAAAGAAAAAAACTCATATCCAGGCAATATAATGAAGAAGACCATGGAGGTTATGTATTTTGTCTCTTGACTTTTCGTGTCTTTCAAGTTTATTGGCGTTAGTTCGTAATTTAGTTCTTGATACATACTTGCAGAACTCAACTCACAGTCCCGAGGAAATACTTGTGCATGCAGTAAAGGTAGTCAATGATTGATTTGCACCATGAAATATTAGCTAGTGAAGTTCTTTTACGTAATAACTTATGGTATTAGTTGTAAAACTCTCCATTTTACCGGCCAGAAGTGCAAATCAGCTACTAAAGATCTCAAGGATGCTGTGAAACTCAAGGTACCACGTCTTGTCATCATTTTTGATTTGTCAATCTATGATCTTTGACTTGGTGAAAGGTTTTTTTACTTGTATATATAGAACCAGGAAAAAAAAGATCACTTAGGTGTAGAAGAAGAAACACCTCACGATGATGTTGTCGTTATTGATGCTGAAGATGATGATCACGATGTTGATGAAAATGATGACGATGATGAGGGAAATGGAAGGTATTGTAGACGTGAGTTTGATCATGGATACCATCTTGTGAAAGGCCAAATGGGTCATAGCATGGAAGACTACATCGTAGCTGATACCAAAACCGTTAAAGGCCACAATCTTGGGTTATACGCTATATTTGATGGCCACTCAGGCCCTGATGTTGCTGATTATTTGCAGAACCATCTATTTGATAACATCTTGAGTCAGGTTTTAAAAACAGATACTCACTTATTTCCAACATTTCTCACAGAATTTATAGACTCTGATATTGTGGTTGTGGTTGTTGTTGTTCTTTGAAGCCGGATTTTTGGAGAAACCCGAAGAAGGCAATCAAGAGAGCGTATAAGTCTACGGACGACTACATTCTCCATAATGTGGTAGGTCCACGAGGTGGCTCCACGGCTGTGACGGCTATAGTGATTGATGGGAAGAAACTTGTGGTTGCAAACGTTGGAGATTCAAGAGCAATCTTGTGTCGTGAAAGTGATGTAGTGAAACAAATTACGGTTGATCACGAACCTGATAAGGAGAGAGACCTCGTCGAGAGCAGAGGCGGCTTCGTCAACCAAAAGCCAGGTCCCTTCTTTTTGTATCCTAGTTGAAACGAAAAGATTCAAACAGTGATTAAGTACCAATGATCAACTATGTTCTTTATAATGATTAGGCAATGTTCCCAGAGTGGATGGCCAACTAGCAATGACGCGTGCGTTTGGAGACGGAAGACTTAAAGAGCATATAAGCGTGAGACCAAATGTAGAGATTGTTGAGATACATGATGACACGAAGTTCTTGATCTTGGCTAGTGATGGACTTTGGAAGGTTTTAATCTCACAAGAATAAGAATATGTGTGTAGTGATTTTGACCCAAATATTGGACTAAATCTTGATTGGTTTTCTCCATCAGGTGATGTCGAATGAAGAGGTTTGGGATCAAATCAAAAAGAGATGGAATGCAGAGGAAGTTGCCAAAAGGCTAATTGATGAAGCATTGGCTAGAGGAAGTATAGATGATATCTCTTGTGTTGTTGTTTCTTTCCTTCAGTTCATCAATTAGATAATTTAAGTATCTTCTTATCTTTCTTTAAGTGAACCCATCACAACATCAGTAGTTATTGAAAGAAAAAAGACATTGTTTCACACAATAATAAGTTATGAGGCGATCACTGTTACATATTGCTACAAAATTGTAGTATATTGAAAATCACAAGGATTCAGGACTTGTGGAGGGTCTGATTCTGGAAGGCATTCTTAAAAGCCTGTCTTTTTCCATCTGATTCTTGAAAGAGTGCTTAGGGGTTATGGACATCTTGTTCATGGCATAATCAATGTCACCCTCCTCCCCTTCGTCACTGTCCTCGTCTCCATTCACGATTACCTCAGCATCATACTCATCTTCTTCATCTTCGTCATACGTCGCCTTCACCATTGACCAGTAGATGAAATTCGGGGAGATAAAGCTACAACATCACCCAAGAAGATGCAGATACAGAGTTCAGGTCAAGAACATTAACCTTCATTTAAGATTCTTGCAACAGACTATCAGTGCAATAGTTTTTGGATAGTGACAAACCTGTTTGAGGATTTGAGCAAGCAAGGGTCAAAAGGGAAGAATGTATCAAGCCTATTAACCCCGCCAAAAGCACTGGAAAGCTCTGATTCAAGTCGGTTATCGAAAATGAACGAGTCAGAGACGATGAACAGACCACCTGCTTTAGCTTGTTTAAGGAACTCCGCAACTACCGATGGAAGGCATACCTAGTCCCAAAACAGAATTCACTTATCATGCATTTGATACACTGGATCACTGTCACATAACAGTTAAGCTTATGTGACGAATAAATAACTCACCCTTAATGGGTCTAGTTTGTGCATTAAAATTGACTCCAATGGTGTAAGCTGGGACCATAAGCGAGGAACATCCAGGATAGACTTCATACGGAAACAGAGCACATACATGATTGCCTGTGGTCACACAACAGATTCAAACGCCAGTTTAAACAACTGTAACCATAATTTGAATGAAACTCGAAACTTTATAGGACAGATCAGAAAATAAATCAAAACATATATTTTCGAGAATGAATTAGCAACATGATAATTGTAGAATTTTGTGACAGGAGGAGCTTGGGCTTGAAAGCTATATACCTGGCATCCCGAGAAGAAAATCGGATGTACTTCAGGCCTAATATCATCATTGCAAGTTCTGCAGTAACCCACACACTCGTCTATCAACCTAAATTTTAGACACAAACAAAATTAATGTTACAAGTTACAACAAACTGAAGCTTCAATCTGATCAAATGATTATGTTTGAGGTAACATTTTGAAGAAATCCCTTCCACCTTTTCAACATGTTAGCCACAAAGGAAACAGGTAGAAACTTTCCGCGAGCCAAGAAGCTAGCAAGATAATCCACGGCACTCATTCTGTTGATGGGGAGAAACAAAAAGCACAACCAAGTTGTGTGATTAGAACAATAAGAAAACATATAATGAAGCGAATGAGAAAATTTCGACCATGAAAATGAAGTGATACTTGCCTAGTAGCTGGAGACTTGTTGAAGAGAAAAATGTCCACCAGCTTACTTGCAAATTTCACACCACAATTTTCAGGATCCAGTGAGCAGGCATAGAACATCAGAAACTGCAGATGATATTGAAAGTGAGTCTAAACAGAGACATCTCATGTCGACCTTGCTAGAGTCTAGAAGAATGATGTCCAGAAATATGCAAAATAAGATAATTATGTGGCCTACCTGGGAGAATTTTGATTTGTATGTGTCCAGAATGAAGTTTTCAAATGACTTGAAGAGATTTTCAAACACCTACGCCAAAATCATTACAAAAAATCAGAACCGCTAAGAAGATTTGTGAGTCCACTGAGGAAAGTATAGATATTTATATGAGGTTCTATTTGGTGCCATACCTGATCCAACCGACCATCATTTTGACAGGATTCAAGATGCTCAAAAGCTATGACCATCAATTTGTCCAACAACTCAGAGGCAATACTTCCACCTGATTTATACTGATTTAGAGGTCTCGCAGGAAGCTGCAATAGATAATCAAGTCCAAACTCGTTCAAACGAATGTTCCTACTAACAATTCCAGCAAAACGAACGTTCCTACTAACTTGTTCAAACTTTTAAAAACCAAAAGAAAACACAAAATAGTCAAATCAAACATTAAGTCTACCTCATCTCCTTCATTGATGGTGCCTTCAACTGCATCTTCAAGTTCCATATCAAACATTCCTCTACTAGAGTCATCTTGTGGAATATCATCCCATCCAATCTCTAACTACAGGGATACACAAGCATATCATTCAGTCACCAATACCACATTACTTACTGACCTCAACTGTGTAAACATATTCTGTCTACTTACATCCAAATCTCGCAGTCTCTCCACCACCACATCAAGAATCATGCTGCCACCAACTCGTCCAATTGAGCTATTCTCCAACTTTAATAAGTTCTCCACATACACCACTATCAACTGCAAGACAGGTAAGAAAATTTCTTTTGAGTTTATCACCAATATGAGTTTGCGACTGCATTGTCCAAAATTTACCAAAAAGAAAGACTCACATGGTCCTTTTTGTATATTTTGGGCATGTTCTGGGAGAGCATTGGCATTAATCTTGAGGGAGTAAGAGGAACCAAAATAGAGATTTTCAGAAGCGCTGCATGCACCCGAGAAAGAACTTCTATCTTCTTGTTTAGTACACGAGGGTTCGAAAGATTTCTTATTACCCAATGAGGTGGAAGGAAATTGCAAATGAGCATATTAAGACAAGAGTCCAGATACTTTCCACTAGAGATAGCCTGTGATGAAAAAAAGGCAAAACATAAATTGTCTCCCCCCTCATTTAAATTAATAACAATAGGCAGAAGGTAAGTTGTTTACCAGTGATATGACTAGGTTCACCAATGCATCCATGACATTAGGTCTGTAGTCCCACAATTTCATTCCAAAAAGCTAGACATGACAATAGGGATGAAATCCAGGGTAAGAGGTGGGAGGATCCATCTTAAACTAGTAAAACTGAAAGCAAATGTTAGCTCGAACTGAAACTTACCGCAGAAAGAAGCTTAGAATGGTGAGCGATATCTATGCAAGATACAGAGCCTGATAGAGCCTTCAAGACTGTCTACAAGTTGATTGAAAAATGAAAACACTTTAGCAAACAGAAAAAAAGACAAAGAGATTTGATTGACATACAAAGAATAGACCACACCTCAAGCTGTGCCACTGCATCAGGATCAGCATGAAATTCTTTCATGTCCCTGTTCATAATTTCAACAATCTGATGGTAAAGGTCTGAGTCCCCCTGGCATTAGCAAAGGAAATAATAAACTAATATCAAGAAGCATAACACAATATAGCATCAACATATATATATATGCAAAACACATAAGCAGAGGAAAGAAGCAAGGCTTGTACAACACTCACAGTTTTGACAGACGTAAGGGCCTTTCTCAAGGTCTGCACCAGACCCATGTCAGATAAATCAACGTTACCCACATAGTCCTCTGTATATAGGCTCGAGGAATCATTTAGAAGCTCCACTGCCCCCATCCTCTGCGAACTTTGTGTAAACAGTGCTGCTACTTCAAGTTGGCCAAAAGTGCGGAACTTTCCTGATGGAAAAGAGAAGTATTCATAAATCTCTAACCTTACAAACAAGGTACCATAAAACACTCAATTAAGCTTACTAGAATCCAAACTAAAACTTATCTAGCAGAGGCGAGAAAAGGGAAAAGTCGAGCTACCACAATCGATATAACCCAAAAGACTACAGAAAGGTTTCAACCCTTAATAAAAATCTCCACTGATTACAAGCTTTTACAAGAGAAAACTAGCATAAATACACAAAATGAAACGGTGAGGGAACACAAACAAAGATGAGTAATGAAATTAGCTTTTTCGGTTCACCGTACCTCCGCCCCAGCTCAGGCCTCACTCCGCGAAACCCTTTATAAAGTCTCCGGAGATAATTTTCTTCTTGAAGATGAAGAATAGAGAGAAGCAGCAGACTCTGTTGAAAGACGGCGAGAATCGAAAAATAATAGGAGACGTTAGGGTTTTTTCTTTTTTCCTTTTTTTCTTTTTTTTTTTGAGACGTAAGGGTTCTCTCACAATTTTTGTCCTCATGCCAGTTTATTATTTAAATGTTAAAATTATGAAAATACATCAACTTATGTTTTCTATATTTTGTGTCCAAAAGACTAAAAATGTAAACTATTAAGAAAAATATCTCTAGAGATTTTTGTAAAATGTAAACTATTAAGAAAAATTAGCTAAAATCGAAATTATTATCTTATTCACGTAAGTGGACTAGGCTTTTTTTTTCTTTTTAATTAGCCTCCTTCGAATAACCATTAATTTATAATGATCTGAAACCAAACCAGATATATAAACCAAATACATCTTCTGTTGTTTACACAACACTCTTTCACAAATTAGTTTTATACAATTTACACCTAAAACAATAGACAAAGAACAATCCAAACTAACAAATACCAAAAGAGAACAATATTCTTTTGGTTCACACTCAATTAAAGATCTTAAAAGTCTCAAATATCAAGCTCAGCATCTTCGTCCTCTTCTTCATACTCATCCGCCTCATCAGCTGTAGCATCTTGGTATTGCTGGTACTTAGCCACGAGGTCGTTCATGTTGCTCTCTGCTTCAGTAAATTACATCTCGTCCATTCCTTTTCCTGTGCACCAATGCAAGAAAGCTTTTCTCCTCAACATCTATGTGAACTGCTCGCTAACATGATAGTAAGACCAACTTAGATTTATTCACTTAAAGCTGACCACATATCGGTACAGTGGCCGATTCAACATCATGACCCATAAGCGTCTGCATCCAAATTTTTAAAAGCATCATCAGTTTTAAATTTTTTGTTTTACTCAATTTTGGGTAAAATTCATAAGTATGGACCGTATGGTTATTGTCTAGCAGCTAATCTTCGAAGTTTAATCACTTACTCGACAAAGATATCTTTATGCTCTCATGATTGAATCATACTACTAAACTTTCTCATGGGTCAATGGAAAATGATTAAACTCGTCATTAGTTTCAAACTTGTTAACTTCAATCTATTAATTATTATATACTAGAATTTTGAAATATAATTTGCTGACTAAAGCATGTATCTTCCACTGCAATGTTTGAATCATTTCCAAAACTTTTTACATAAGTCGATTTGAATTTGAAATTCCACAAATAATAATCAAGAAAACTGTTGTGCTATACTGTGATTCAATCATAACTTTATTGATCTCTATGGAAAATGTTGAACTTTTAATCAACAATATATTTTGACATTGTTCTTCTTCTTTTAAGTGTAGACTATTGAAACAAGTTTTTGCTAACTAAAGCATTAAGCAGGTATGAGTAATTTCATTAAAAAAATTTATATGAGTGAATTTTGAATTTGAATATTTTTCTGAAAAAATAGAAAAAAAAAAACCAAAACTGTTCGTAGTGTTGTGTGATTATAACAGGAACGTGCAAATACTGGGATCCTAATAAGAAGTGTGACAAGTGACAAGACGAGCTAGCACACAGCTAATGTATGAACAGAGCCAAAAGATCAACACCCTGTCACAGCCGTCGTTGGTGTTTTGATTTTTGAATATTTGACGATTCGTTGGCCTCCGAGATCTAAGGCCCTCTCTCTTAATCAACGGTCCAGATTCGATCCATCTCCTCTAGAAGATATATACACCGACCTCGTCTCCTCTATCAAAATACACGCACACCAACGTCGCCAAACCTCAAAAACAAAGGCGAATCTAAAACAATCTCGGCGATTCTCTTCGTCTGTCTTCTGACCGACGCCTCCTCTCCTTCCTCACAGATCCTCTGCACTCAGGTTCCGTATTTGTATCCTCCTCAGATTTCATTTTGCTGGACCATTGAGATTCCCATGGAATTGGTTGTTGTTTCAATTTGGTGTTAGTGTTTAGATCGGAATGTTTTGCTGTTGATACTAGAACAACAACTAATCATGGAGTCACACAAACTTGATTACGCATTGTCGAAGGTCGATTTGGCTGAGATGAAATGCTCAATTTCTCTCAAACGTAGGCCTCATTGTTTCTTACTTACTACAAGAATAGCGAATGGTTTCAATGATTGAGCCATACTTCCCATTTTTTTATTTCTTCTAATGGTCATAGGCTATAGGAAAATCTTTTAGATTTGGTGTCTCAGCTCAACTAGGAACTGTGTGTGTTTTTTTTTGTTTCCTTGATGATTACTTGTGTGATTGCGTACTCTGGATAGTTTACTTTGCATATATGTGATGTTTATGTGTGTTTGGTGGTGGGTCCTTGGAGGATAATGAGTGAGAAGCACATGATTAATATTTTGTCTTTCATATCTAATACTTGCTTTTATGCTAGCGATGCATTTCCTTGGACCAATGAAATGACTAACATCATTGGATTAGTCGTCTGGGTGTAATATATAAGAACAATAAAGTTAACTGTCGTGTCAAACGATAGACCCTGTCGTTTTCTTACCCAGTTAAGAAATGTTGCTTACGATTCAGGCCTCTGATTTGACTATAGAAAATTCCCATAGTGAAGAGAATCTGTACGTTTTCAATATAGTTAACCTGTTGAAGTTGACGTTAGGTGTTTTATTATGTCACACTATGTGTTTCTAATCAAAATAGCTCTGGATCATCTGTTTCGTTTATGTTTTCAGATCAGTAAAAAGTCTGCAAAATGGTTGCTCAGGGATTCACTGTGGATCTTACCAAGCCCCTTGTATTTCAGGTAAAATACTGTTTTCCGGAGATTTGAAATAGTTTATGCCAACATTGCTTTGAGACCATAATCACCCAAGATTGCCTTTGTTTCTTTCTTAGAGCTAATTAAAGTAAAGTCTGTCTTCAACCCCTCTTGACATTGCTTTGGATGTTTTACAGGTTGGTCATCTTGGAGAAGAGTATGAGGAATGGGTTCATCAACCTATCGCGACCAAGGAAGGCCCTCGGTTTTTTCAGAGTGACTTTTGGGAGGTAATATCAGTTTCATGTTTCCTCGTTCTCTATTTTGCATATTCACTTTTCAATAACAGGCAATTTCTATAAGCCTCTGATCTCCGTTCTCTGACATATCTGCAATCGAACAGTTCTTGACCCTTACAGTTTGGTGGGCGGTTCCTGTCATTTGGTTGCCAGTTGTAGTCTGGTGCATCTCAATGTCAGTAAGCATGGGCTGTTCACTTCCACAAATCGTCTCAGTTGTTGTCATGGGAATATTTATCTGGACGTTTATAGAATACTTTCTTCACCGGTTCGTTTTTCACATCAAAACAAAGAGTTACTGGTTCGTCACACTCTCTCTCTCTCTCTATGTTACATTTCACATAGATAGTACCTCTTCAAACAGACGGAATTCCTAGAAACTTGACTTCTGTCAGATGCTAATGATTTTGTGGAACCATTTCAGGGGAAACACACTACACTATCTTATTCATGGATGCCATCACAAGCACCCAATGGACCACCTTCGACTCGTCTTTCCTCCTACTGCAACAGCGATTTTATGTATTCCGGTAATCATCTACAACAATAACCCAACATTATACCTGTTTTCACTGCCAGACCTTAAACCATCTTCTTTTCATGTGTCCTAGTTCTGGAACATTGCAAAGGCTATCTCAACTCCTTCAACAGCACCTGCATTGTTTGGTGGAGGCATGCTCGGTTACGTACTGTATGATGTCACTCATTATTACCTTCACCATGCCCAACCAACTAGACCAGTGACCAAAAATCTCAAGGTAAAACAATGCCAAGTTTTAAAACCCGGGACTTTCTTTTCATTTGTATCCAGATCACTGAATCATTGGACTCATTTGTTGTGGGTTTTTTTTATAAAAATGATTCTGCAGAAATACCATTTGAATCATCACTTCAGGATTCAGGACAAAGGATTTGGTATAACTTCGTCGTTATGGGACATAGTGTTTGGGACACTTCCGACTACAAAAGCCCCTAGAAAACAGCAATAGGACTAAGAGGCAAAACGAAAAGGATATTTTCAATACATTTGATGTTTTAAGTTATTAATCATCCTTGATGAGTTTTGAGATGTTTATCTGAGGTTTCATTTGGGTCACTGTCTTTGTAAATTAATGTTTCACATCCTAATATAATAGTTTTGATGTGTTGCTCACTTGCTCAACGAAAGCAATTGATCATACGAATACGTCCCTGCTTTTTGGCCATGTGGTCTTACATCTCAAATTTTTTTTTAAAAAAAAATAATATTAGCAAAATCAATTGGGAATGCAGTATTTTGGTACCGCTAGCTCTTAACTTCTTATTGTCTGTGAAAAAATTCATCCAAAATCCAAATCATAAAAAGTCTACAAGCAATAGTGTGTGTATGGCAAGGAAGGGAGTAACAAAAAGAAAAAATCAATAATAAATAAAGCATATATTGGGCCGGGCCTGGTTAACGAAATAAAATCAACACTCCCCTCACCGCCCCGCCCCGGAGATCCAATTTCTCGCGGTCTCATCTGACTCCTCGCTTCCTCCTTCTCGAACTCTCCACTGTTCCTTCCTTTCTCCTTCTGCTCACAGAAAATTAGGGTTTAGGGTTTTTGATTTTCGTTTTACTTTTCTATAAGGTTCTTCACCCCCACCCCACCTCTGGTTCATGGCGTTGAATTTTCCATTTATGTGAGATTTTGTTTCACAATCTGAGGAGGAGATCTCCCGGCAATGGAGGCGGTTGATGCTCCACCTGAACTGGCTTCTGAAAACCCTTGCTGCCTCGCGGTATGTATCTCTCCCCAGTATTCGATTTTCAACAGTTCTTACGATGTTTTGTATTTTAACTTAAATTAATCTCCTTTTCTTTTTTTTTGTTCCCTGGACTGTATCTCAGTGGCAAGGGAAGTACATAGGGATGAAAAAGAGGCGGGATGCTTTTAAACATGCGTCAGCTCTTCTCCAGAAGGCCATATCAGATACTAATGCTGAGAAATATAATCTCGAGAAAAGTAAGTTGATCAGGTTTTTATTATTCTTTTTTTGTTGTTGAAATTATCTATTGATAGCTATTTAGATGCCTTGAATTTGGACTTTGAAATGGTGTAAGTGGGATTTTTAACTGATCAGTGCTTTTTTGCTATCTAAATTCTACAGAACTTGGGGAGATGGCGGCTGACAGAGACACTAAGGACAATGATTCAACGGTGAAAGCGTCTCTGGAGAAAGAAATATCTGGTCTGAAGTCTGAGATATTGTCTTTGCAAAAAAAACTGGAGCAGAACCTTAAAGAAACAAAGCTTCTTCAGGATCTAGCTTCGAATCGAGAAAAGGAGATCAATGAACTAAAGGATCTCCTAAAGAAAGAAACTTTAAGGGCGGATAATTCTGAAGAAGAGCGGGAACAAGTTTTTAAGGAATTGAACAAGGCAAAAGCTCTGATAGTAAAAGATGAGGAGACCAAGCCACATGTTCCTGAAGTAACAAAAGAAATCAGTCTGGTTAAAAACCTTCTTGCAAGCGAGAGGCAGAAGACAGAGTCAGAGAGGAAGAAAGCAGAATCAGAGAAAAAGAAAGCTGATCAGTATCATTCCGAGTTAGAGATGTTAAGAACTTCAGCTCATAAGACTAATTCTGATTTACTTACTTTGACCTCAAATCTGGAGACTGTAAAAAAGCAGCTTGAGTTTGAAAAACAAAAGACACTGAAAGAGAAAAAACGTGCAGATATGGAGAGTGCAAAATCTAGGGAGCAGGTGAAGCTTGCCGAAGGTTTGTCCAAAAAAATTGAAACTGTTAGAGCAAGAAATGAAGAGCTCAAGAAAGAGTTGGAATCGCAGAATGCTAGTAGCAAAGTAAAAGTTGCTGAAAACTCGGCTAAATTGGAAGAGAAGATAAGGCTCCTTGAGATGAATAAGAAATCAGCCTTAGACTGGAAATCTCGTACTGATGATCTGACTCAGCAGTTACAAGAAGCACGGCTTGTGACTGAAGGTTTGAAGAAACAGGTGCATGAGCTTTCTCTTTCACAGGAATCCATCAAGACTCACTCTATTTCTCCTCAGAAAGTCAGAGATCTAGAAAAGACTGAAATGGAGCTTTTGAAGAAAAATCTGAAGTTTGAGAAAAAGTGTGCAAAACACTCCAAAGAAGTGGCGGAATTTGAAAAATTTCGAAGGGAATTTCAGGCTGAAGAGCTAGGTCAGTTAAAACTGGAGTTTGGTAGCCTTACAAATCGCATGAATCTACTGGATGAGTATTTTTCAAGAGACGTTGAAGGTACATCAGGCCTTAAAAAGGTTTGTTTCTTCCATTAATATCTTATGCCATGCTTCTTCTCATCCTAATTTGAATTTTGGCTTGATGAATGTAGATATTTTTTGAAACTTGATAGTTTCTTTTTAACCTGTTTTCAGACATTCGATTGCATGATGGATCTTTGTTGTGGACTTGGTCGATAAAAATAATCATTCTTCTTGAGAAAATATCCTAGGCTTACATGTGTGGCTCAAATATTCTCAGCTGAAATACTCAGTTGAAGTTATCTTCGACATAGAATCTGACCGTAGACGGCTATAAATTTGATCTGTTCTAATCTTAGAATCAGTGCCCTATATCTTAACAGGGATTATTTGCAACATTATATCATCTAACACTTTACTGTATCATTGTAATTCTTTATTAGTCTGCTTATGTTCATCTTATTGCTATGCAGGCTACGGAGTGCAGGAAACTGGTGAAGCTACAATCACAGAAGAACTGTAATGGTGAAAAGCATTCTGACAGAAGATGCAATTTGGTAGCCAGCTCTGATTCTCAGGAGCAGACTTGCAAGTTGTCTGCCTACTTAATTTCTAAATCTGGACGGGGCGTGAGTGAGTCTGTCTCAGGTACTATTTCTCAATTAGAGTCTCCTACTGGAGGCTCTAGAAAATTACAGAGTTCTGGAGTAATTTCCAGCACAACATCTTTTTCTGATGGGCAGTTACTGGCCTCACAGGGAAATGAGCAGTTCTCTGTTACTACTTCAGCAGAAAGAGCAAAAGATAAACAGTATATCCAACCAACAAAATCAAGTACGTTCCAGAAACTCTCTGATACCACTAAAAAGGGAAATCTCTGTGTGGTGGCTGAAAACTATCGTCAAAGTCTTCAGAGAGATAGTCATGGGGTAGTTGATGAGAACTCTCGGAAAAGGAAAAGAATTTTAGAGGCAGTTGTGTCTCGTAAGCATCTGTCATCTGATGATAAAAAGAAACATTTGCAGATTGGAGGGAAGATGGGCACCTTGCAGTCTATAGTTGTTGACACTGGGTATAGGCCTTTACAGAAAGAAGATACCTTGGTCCCTGATAGGCAAGCTGGCTCCTCCGCAGATGGCATTACAGTTTCCAAGAAAAGAAGGGTTTCTGGTAAGAAGAAGACAATTATACAGAATTCTCTGGAGTTTAATCAGTCAGGCAAGACTCAAGGTAATATAGCTGGGGAAACTATGTCCCTCTCTACTGCTAAAGCACATGGCGCGACAACATTTTTGGACGTTGTTGCTACAGATTATATGAAGTTGCTAGAGTTGGATAACTTGGAAGAAGAAAATTATTACCAGATGGCCAGAGAATCGCTTCTGTCCCCTGATCTTCCTCAGGTAGATTTTTTGGGTGGTGAAATCGTGAATGAGATTGATATATCTGCTAGGTCTTTTGATTTGGCTGCCAGTAATAACATGGGTTTACCTGAGACAATAATTTCTAGTGAAACTCCCAGTCTCAATAATCCAAATGATTTACTGACAGTCAAAATGCCACCCATGTCGACAACTTTGCATGGTCATATACTTCAACACTTTGTTGTGTTTTCAAATATTGAAGACCGGAACAGTATCATCAAAATATTTCATGCTGCAAACAATTGTGTTCACCGATTCCCAAAAGTTTCAAGCGCACAGTGGGCAGTGCCAGCAATTCTATCCTCTTTGAAAGTGGAAGAAAACCTTTTGGCCCGGTATGTTGTTCTGCTCTTTGATACTTTTTCAAGGCATTATGGTTATATAATTTGTTTTCCAATTTCATCAGTAAAGTAGTGTCAGGCGCTAATGTTGCTTCTTCTTTTTTTCAGGGAAAGGGTCTGTGTGTTACTCTCCTTACTGCTCCATAACTTCTTTTCCTCATTCGAAATGGCGAATACTTTGAATGTTGATTATTTCTCCTGCATGGATTCTTTCTCAAAGTATATATATGATGGTATGCCCCAAAACTGTTTCCCTTTTTAATTCATCTCAAACTATATGTTTCGATCTGCTTTCGGTTTGATGTTCTAATTTGAAACTTCGAATTTTCTTGTGGTAGTTATGGCTGATATTGAAGCTGGAGTTATGCTGTCAGAATTTTCGGAAGAACTCCTTGCTCTCCTTAGGGACCTCCTTTCCGAGGAGAGGGTACTATTTTCTGTTAAATCATCGGAAACATCTGATTCTGATCTAAGCATTCCTGTCAACTTGAATGGAGAAAATATAGCTCTCGTCCGCAAAATCTCTCCAATTGATCATTTGGTGGCTGGAAGTGCTATTTTGGCTGCAATATGTACTGCACTAGATCGTACTGGATATATTTTTGAAGCATCCTTTGAACTCTTGCACAAGCGCTGCCATGAGAACTCCTCAATGCTACTGACCATTCTTCATGTTTTTGCTTACATTGCCGGAGATAAAATGGTGTCCTCTACTGAGCATAACCTATCAATTGAAGTGTTGAAGTCCATTGTCATGTGTCTAGAGAACAGACAATTTGGTACTCTGGAGGCAAATGCTAAGTTGCACCCAGGCAAGAACAAGTGTCCATTCTCAGACATGTCTTCCTCGCTGGAGGCTATGGCATCTAAGCTCATGGAAATTATTCACGAGTTTACTCAGGCTACTACTTTGCATCAAAGCTTGACCGATTCATTGGGTTCTATTCATCTAGAGAAGACCAAATTTAGCCCGGCAGACAAAGATTTCCAGTGCGTATTGACCAGGGATCAAAGTATTAATCTCTGTGACATCCTGGCATTGGTGGAGCTTATTGCTTGTTACACGGTATGTAATTATAAAAAAATTAAGAGCATACTGTTTTGCTAATTTGTAGTCTGTTGAACCAACTTGATTTTATATCTTAATGCAGGCATGGGAGTGGACTAGTGCGAATATTATTGCTCCACTGCTTAAGATGCTGGGCATGCCATTGCCGATGAACCTCTCTGTTGCAATCGTCTCTCTTCTCGGGCAACTTAGCAGGTAATATTATTAGTTTATCTCTTTTATCAGGAGGACTACTCTGATGTATTAATATCCAAAATCTCATCGGTTGCTTTATATTTGCCAGTATTGGAGTGGATGCTGGTGGCTATGAAAATGAAGGGATCTCAAACTTGAGAGTGAAACTGTCAGCATTTTTACAGTGCGAGACGACACTAAAGGCCGGTTTTGCAGTCCAGATAGCAACTGTGAGCTCCATCCTGAAGACACTTCAGCTGGATTTTCCAACTGCCTTTCTAGGCAAAACCACCGCCCTTCCGGGTTCTGACAACCAAAGCATATCTGGTTCTGTCAATCTGGTTACCAAGTGGTTCTCTTTGTTGAGCGATGAACAACGAGGTTTTGCATCCGAGTTTTTTCAAAACCTCTGTTGTTAGATGATTTCTCAGTTTTCAAAAAGTCGTCAAAAGCAGTAAATTTTTGGATATGTCTCTTACTGTTGGCTTCATCGACTGATTCCTTTTGTTTCTAGGATGCAGATATTAATGAAGATTGCATTGCGTTGCCAATTTTTCTGTTTTTCTGTATATTACAAATCGGTGCTCTGTTCTTCTGGTGACAGAGCCACTTGTGTACAAAATGCGGCACTCTAATTCAGAATCGGAAGAAAATATTTACTATATTTAGTTCAAAAATAAATTTATCTTTTATAACAAAACCAAATCACATAACCATAAGTAATGTTTTTTCTGTTTAGTCTAAACAGAAAGACAAAATATAGAATGCTCCCTATGACAAAACCCAAATCCATATGATATCTATGTTCTTTATTAAAAGTTAAAACTTCAAACCCATTGACCAAGGAAGTTCAAAATACATCAACCAATCTTTGTAGGAACACTTTGTTCATGCCTGAAGAAATTATCAGGATCAAACTCACCCTTGATCTTCACCAACCTCTCAAAGTTCCCTTTGTAATACTTAGCCCCCCACTCTCTAGCATCACTCCCTTCCTCATTAGTCCCCAAATCAAGATCCCTGTAATTCACATACGCCTGTCTCGGGCTCTTCGATACATACTGCTCCATGTAACTATACATTTCCCTGATCCACGTCATATGCTTGGCCTCGCTCACTTTCCCATCTTGCCACGTGCTCAACCACTGAATCTTGAACAACGTCCCGTTCCTGTGAGGGAAAGGTATCTCTGACTCGGAGATCCTCGACATCATTCCTCCGTAAGGGTTCCAAATCGTCAAAGGTGAATCCTCTACTAAAAACCTCTTCCATAATCCTTCTAAGCCTTCTACTGGAATTGGCTCTTTCACAAAGTCTGACTTGGCTTTGAAGTGATTCTTGAACAATGACTTTCCGGCTAGTAAAGCTTCTGGTGCTGCACTGTTTGGGAATCCCGCAATGTACATCACTGATTTGATCCAGCTCATCTCAGTGCAGTCCTTATTCGTCAGTCCTAGCTCAGGGAAACTCTTCTGCATCACCTGTTGGGGTTGAAATTGTAAACAAAAAGTTTATTGCTTGAATTGTAAGAATCATAAAGATAAAAGAATTCAAATTTTAGACCCAGAAGTTTGAAATGGCGCTCTAGCGTACCTGCATGAGCCGATTAGAGTCGCCGAGAAACTGAGCTTGGTACGACATGGAGATGGTTCGATTTCCCGGTTTGGTGGTTTTGCTCGCCGGCGAAATAATGACACGGATGAAAAGATCATCGTCAAGCTTATCAGCGACTTGTTGCCATTTGTACAACACATTAGTCCCGTCTTGCTCAAGCGTCTTCGTTACTGTGAATACCGTCACGGTGGCTGGAACAGGGACGAGCTTGATCTTCCAAGCGAGGATCACGCCAAAACTACCACCACCACCGCCGCGGATCGCCCAGAAAACGTCTTCTCCCATCGCCGCACGATCAAGAATCTGGCCGTTGGCGTCGACGATTCTTGCGTCGAGGACATTGTCAGCACCGAGACCGAATTTTCGCATCATGGAACCGTAAGCTCCGCCGACTAAGTGGCCGCCGATGCCAAGGCTCGAGCATAAACCCGCCGGAAAACCATGGGTTTGGCTTTTTTCCTGAATCCTACAAACCCACCAATAAAGATGACTCGATTAATTTCCGAATCATTAACCAAAAACTTAACCGTGCTCGGTTTGTTTTATTTATAATCTGCATGGTTCCAACACAAACTACATATATGCAAGTATAATTATCAACGAAGACACGAAGTGATGACAAGACAAACAAACTACTAGCTTATTATGGTTTATCTAAAAGTTAAAAAACTAAAATATTATTGAAAAATGTAACCACTACATTTTTTTTGGTATGTTGATGATTAATTCTAGATGACAAAACAACTATAGAAGATGACAACGAAAAATTAAAATTAGTTTAGCGGAAAAAGGCATGCAAAGCTAAGAAATAAATGTTACAAAACTAAACCACTCAGATGTACAAAGTCATCCTTCAAATTCAACCGACGTTTTATCGGGAATCCACTAATATTAAAGTTTATATTAGAAAAAAGAAACTAAAGTTTCCCCAAATGGCAATAAGTAATTGGCAATGGATAAATTAGGAAAAAACCGTAGCTGAAGACTATTTTAAAGTCAAAGCTTCCGTTACTATTTTAAAGTCAACCATGAAATATAAATGAAGCAACTTTGTTTAATGTTTGTTAGAAAAAGAATAAATATTTGGTGTTTTATGCTTCAATTTTTGTCTTTGCTATATTCAAAAATTATGCGTAAGCGTTACCTGTAATAAACCTCTCCGATGGTAGCACCGGCGTGAGCCCACGCGCTGTTACTGTCCAAATCTACGTCGACCTGTCTAAGCTTCGACAAATCGACGACCACAAAAGGTGTCTCGCCCTCGGCCACGAACGAGAGCCCTTCGTAGTCGTGGCCTCCGCTACGTAGCCTGAGGTGAAGCTGGAGCTTCTTGGCACACACGACCGCTGCTTGCACGTGGGTCTCGTATAAAGGCTCGAATATGAAGACAGGCTTCGGGTTCGACGGCGTCAAGTACCGGAGGTTCTGTGCCGTGGACTCAAGCTCCTCTTTGAACAAAGTAGCGTTTTGGTCCGGTGAGTAAAACGACGCCGTGATGGGGAAAGAGATGTCGGAGTTGTCGACGAGGCACTGCATGAAATCTTTTTGTAGCGTGGAGGTAGACAATGGAACCGAGACTAGTAGTAGCGTTACAAGAAACGCGATTGCGTCTCGCTTCGATATCGCAAACGCCATTTTTTTTTTTGTTATGCAAATGAGGTTTGTATGCTTTTGGTTGTTTGAGGGATGTGTTTGGGTTTATATAGAAGGTTGATGTATGTGTGGGTGAGGCCGTGTGGCATGGCTTACACGTAAAGTTGGTGTAAATATTACATCATTGCTAAATTTGCATTATACTTCTAATCTTTTATTTTTACTAAAATTGTTTCATCGTTCGTTGCTCGATTCCTTTTTTTTGGGTTTATTTATGTATATTACTTTGAAAATAAGGTTTTTCTTGGGGTTTATCTCTTAAGCGTAAAATCAAACATTATGTTTTGCTAACCAAATAGAGAAATGAAATGAATTGTTAATATTCAAGTAATTGGGTCGATTCCTTGCATTGTCCTTCACTCCAATGATATAATTTGAATCTTTACATGTAATTTTGATGTGAAGATGATATCATTACTTCTTTGTTTATATAAAATGATTTTATTTTTTCAAATGATTATTAAAGGTCTACATTAATAACTTGTGGCAAGGTTAAAGGTTATGAAATAATAAATTAAACTAAATGATTATTAAAGGTCTAGAATTAAAAATTATTATATATAATCCATAATGAAAGGTTATGAAATGTTTATTTTAAAAAAGCAAGGAAGAATTTGTGCCTTTTAGGGATAAACAATGCTAAATACGCACTAATTTCAAGATTTGTGTTCAAGGATATATACCGACACGACTTTTATGTTTGTTTTTTTTACAGATATAAAAGATAGGGACACCACTATCGATCTTTCAGTAATTGTGGCGTGAACGCCTTAACACATTCTCTCCTGTCCTTTGATTTGTACAGTAATTATTTTATTTCAACTGACTAGCTCATCTAAAAATCTAGCAATATACGGTCCACTTTATTTTCTCTACAATTATTTTGACGAACTAGGTAATTAAGGTAATGGAAAGAGTAATCGTAACTACGTATGTTTTTCTTTTTAACTTGTTTAATTTATACACGTAAAACGTAATTGATGTTTTATCAAAAAGAAGCACACGTAATTAATTAATACTACATTCGTTGCCTAGTATTTGGGATTAATTTAGGTTTTGACGTGAGATACTTATTTATTTTCTTTTGGTGAAATCGAAATTATTGCGAAAAGTGGTGTGATTTGATGGGGTATTCTGAGCTATGTAGCTTAAAAGCAACAAAGTGACATTGTCTTAACTTTTGTGAATCATACGTACTTGCTTCAAAGTCTTAATTTGGATTTACCTCTTTATATTCAACACACGCTCTATTCGCACGCACAATGGCACAAACATACACACTGTAGCACACATACATAGGTATGGTAATCATCTAAGCGGAGCGTTTTTCATCCTTCGCACTGCAATAACGCACATATATTACCATTTAATCCGATTTTCTTATTGTTAGCGTTTTTTTCTTTTAAAACTTTTTTTGAAAAATTGCAAAATTAAACAACATATATATAAACATGAAATGCTTTTAAAAACATAAATAATATTTATCTAGCCGTCCAAAACCATCGTATAAACTGCACTTGCTCTCCCACAAATAATCAACTAAAGACACGAACAACCGTCAGGTCAAAGTCAAAAACATTAACTTACTGCACTTTTCACCAAACAGGTTCGTCCATCCGATTGCACACGATCGTACAGTCTTCACTTTGCACCAAGTTCAGTGCTAATGCTAATCACAAAATGACATATATATATCTTTCGTAATACAGTATACTTTTTTTTGTTCCTTATTGCATGCTTTAGCTTAATATGTGATGAAAATTTAATACATAACTGTATTTGATAAAGATCATCTTGGAACATCCACGTATACCACGTTCGATCGCTAAGTCAAACTTTACCTATGTTATTATTATGACGTATAGTCAAGATATATGAGATGTGCGCAAACTTTTATGTGTAAAATTCATAAACAAAAGTGTAGTGAAGACAATAAAAAGACTAGGCTCACCAAGAAAAAGATGGGGAATTAATAAACGCAAAATAATAACATCTGGACTTCGGATAGAAAAAGTCCACGAAAAACAACTTACATTATATGATATTTATGATAATTAAGGGTATCTTTTCTTTTTATATTCGCAGAGGGCCTTTTACATAAAAGTTGAACCGACGGCCCTACGTATAAATTAGATCAAACCCAAACTAAAAATTTAGGTTTGACAACTTCATGTAAAATCAAATCTATAATGTTTGGAAAAATTAACAAAGTTGAATTCATAGAATAACAGCGAATTACAATCATGTACATATCTACCAACCATTTTATCATTTTCATTGTCTCCATTTAGATAAACAACAAAACGCTTACACACATTGTTGCTTCGTTTAAACTAAAGAAGAGAGGGAGTGACAGGGAAGATTTAATACCACTAAAGGCAACTTTAATTTATCTTCTGAGAAATTTTATAAGAGTGAGTACTGGTCAATGTTTGCTTCCTCATTCAACCGTGTATGAATGTGTATCTAGCTAACTTAAAATAGTACAGTTTATATAAACTTTTTTTTTTTTGGAAATGTTGTAACACATTTTTATAAATTTCGTATTCACATAACAGACATTGTAGATCCGACAACTCGGTCAAGGCCACCAAACTCGCCTCACGCATGTACCTTTGTTTAATCCAAATTTACTTAATTTCCTTTTCACCAAATATATTTTCGTTTTTGAATATTCACTAATTTTGTATCTTTTGTCGATTTGTTGTCTTCTCACTTAGTCACTTACATCGAAGGGTGAAGGGTGAACTTTCCAAATAACCGTATATATACAGTACTGATGTTTATTTCAAGCACAATATGGTGGCAAAATCTTCAATAAGTAGATTGATATAATTTTTAAGAACTCTTCAATAACTTCGGCATATAAAAACCCTCATAAAAATGCAGAAAAATACTAGATGATAAAACACACATAAGATAAGGATTACTTTTTTTTTTTAACTCTAAATTTTGTTTTGGTAGATAAAATGGGTCATAACGGAAACTTATATTGGATTTTAGAACTTTGGTCTTTTATAATCCTTTTCTCGTCAAAATAAAATTAACCAAATATAACTTTACACGCAAGTCATCCGTTGCTTAGCCGCTATATAACGAGTACTTTAGTGAACAAACTACCTTATTGTTTCAACTCGGATCACAACATTGATGAATGGGTTTGTGGGCAGTTGGTACTTATAGTTTTAATTTAAATTGGGCCTGCTCTTTCATTTTAGGGTCCCCTTGACAGACTTGAGTTTGTTTGTTCATTGCTTAAACATTTATATCCATCTCATAATATGTCTAAACCAATACGGTGCAAAGAGCCAAAGACTCATGATGGCAAATCAAAATGGGTTTCCTCATTTGTCCCATTCCGAGCATTCATCGAAGACGTCTCTATCCCATTCAATTTGAAGAGATCTAATTTGAAATATGATTGTTGTTGATATGTGTGTCACTCAAGTTGGGAAGAGAAATCATTTTCAATAAGATGGTGTTTGGTAATTAACCAAGGGAAATGTTGAAACAGGAATTTCGTAAAAGACGTTGGCACTAAAACTAGACACTAAAGTTGGAACTAGATAAATATATGGATATATATATATATAGATATATTATATACTAGATTTTGAGGTATTATTTAATGTGTTGTCATCTCGAAGTAAAAAGAGAAAAGCAACTATGGGTTTCCAAAAAAAATAAAGAAAATATATATTTAGTACTTTAGATAATATAATAAGCTTAGTCTGTCCAAAAAAAAAAACTAATAAGTTTATTAGTTTAAATTTTATTAAATTAATATAGGCCCAAAGGAAATTTTTTTTTTTTTTATTGGAACTAAATGTAGTGCAAATGCACCTCTTGCACCGGGTGATCAACGGCCATTCCATGATAAATACGTCCATGATCACTACCTTTGGATATCACCGACCCACACATTTTTGTATCTTTCGTATATAGAGATTGAAACATTATTATATAGTCTTTCTCAACTTAAACATCTCCTATTGGACTTTGTCCACTAGAATCTCTCTATAGTATTTGTCATTAGTAGTGTTTCATATCTTAGTTGCAATCGCATATCCGTTGTAATGATATATATATTTGAGTATGTAACAGCAAAAGATGCGATGCTAAGACGACGTACGTGTATAGGTTGGACCGATGACCACTCTCCCCATGTACCACATTGAATTTTCATATTAATTATCATTTATCAGGTTCTGGTCAAACAACGATAATAAAAAAATACACACGATTGAGACAAACACAAATCTACGCAATTATGAAGTACCATTATAAAAGGAATCAAAAGAGAAAACAACTATATATATATTGGGAAAGGAACAACCACTTCTTCTTTTTTTGTCAAACAAGGAACAACCACTTATTGTTAACTCCAACTGGTAAACCTTGTAAAACGAAGAAAACACAACTAGCTGTTGTTGTTTGATTGATCCTTCTCCTTTTTAAGTTTTGTTTTCTTAATATTCCTTTTAACATTTATATTATTAGATGATGATTTTTTATTATGTATATTAAGTTTTGTTTTCTTAATGTTTCTTTTTGAATTTATATTGATGCTTATATTCGTTGTGCTATATACGAATATATTTGTTCTTAAAAAAAAAAATAACTTGATTAGTATTGACATTGATTTAATTTTCTTTTTATTCAGTCTTAAATCTAGCAGATTGAACAGTAATCTTTTAGGTGATTCAATTGAAAGCGCTCTTCGATTAAAGCATCACACTAATCCAGTTTTAATTTAATTTCAGTCCTCAATTGATTCAGGCACATGTATTTGACATTCTATCGGAAAAAAGAAAGTTATATTCATGCATGATTAGTATGGTCGTATACTAAATGATTAGTATGTGGTATGATCCCAATTAACCCAACCTTGAGAAATAAATGTTTCTAGCGTTATGACCTCGAGGCCTATTGTATTAAAAAAAAATTGTTATAATTAGCGTTATAACTAGCGTTAGAAACAAATGTTTTTAGCGTTATGACCTCAAGGCTCAACGCTTCGACGGCTCGACCTATGTTATCTATGTGGTCTTCCATCAAAAGTTTCATGCTTTGAATCTTTGATTATATACAGTATTAGGGCAGTTGTACAAAATGGCAAGATATAAAATGCATGAACGCTCTCTATTTAGACAAATAAGTAAGTGTTATGTAATATAAAATTAAAACTCATAAGTATTTCAGTTTAGAATAAATTAACGAAAAATTCATAGTAAAGTTTTGTTTTAGGCTTATAGCCCAAAGGAGAAACACTGCCATTTTAGGCAAAACTCACAATATACTAGTAAACAAATTAATTTAGAGATATAGTTTCTTATATAACATTTAGACGTCAGAAAGAAATATAAAATCTAAACCTAACTCTTGAGTTATAAACGTTATAGCTAGACAGATCATGATCTCATTTCTTGTGGCTATTTGCTTTTGACAAATTAACCATATAATTTCATTATACATACATATATATATATATATGTACAGTATGTTCGTTAGCTACGACCATCTCTTTTATGGTGTGAGAGTTTTGGAGATATCAGAAAAAGAATCTTTTACAGATAAGAGTTTCGAGTAAAGAGACGAGAAGGCTCTTTTCTATTGATTTTGAATCGATGATTAAAACAAAACAAAACATGTTTTCTTGTCTTTGGAATACCTTCACGGGGATCATAACTACACTCACCGTCCGAACCGATCAAAAAGCCCTCGTGTGATAAGAAACTCACATGTGGACGGTTTCTATTCACCAGTTTATCCATAACGACACGTGTCGACCTTCTTACGTATTGTAGTTCTTCTGTATTTTTGATCGCCTTTTGGATTTGCTCTAAACTGTAAATTACATGCAACAATTATAATTACTAAACACTACAATAAGCCAGGGTTCCCAAAAACAGAAAGAAACACATACTACTCTATTTATTTAGATTATAATCAAATAAAGCCCGTTTAGTACAATTATGTGTTACATTTTCTTTCTTCTAAAGCAATCAAAATATCACCATAAATTATTAATCAAAAAAAAAAAAATTATTAATCAAACCATGTCGCTATTGATAATTGGTGAGGTCGTGAAATTATCGTCGACAAATCAAAAAGTAACTTCTAATGTAACTTTTTCATATGTCAAAGTAATCAATATCTTCTACGGAACTTATAATCCAATATGCATAGTTTCACACTTTCACTCATAATAATAATACAGTACAAAGACAAAATACAACCGGATAAAAACAAACAACAAATTAAGAAAACTACGCACACTTATAATACATACCATACAGGATACAGCACAGAAATATTCCCTGGTAAAATAAAAATACACTACTCTATGGACTATAAATACACACACAACACAACAATACTCAATTCATTATTCCAAAACCAATCAGTCACAAATAACAATATGAAAATGAAGTTTTGGTTACGACAAACGTTTCCTACTATTATAATAATCTATCTCATCACAATCCAACGAGTCACCTCATCACCACCGTCATTGTTATCTCTCCCGGAGCATTTCCTCCGATGTCTCGACAATCAGCCGTCCGACCACCGCAGTCCCAACTCAAGAACCGCCGTGATTCCCACAAACTCATCTTTCTCAACAAACCTAATGAACGGCGTCAGAAACCTCCGTTTCGCTTCTGCTTCCACTAGGAAACCAGAAGCCATCGTCGCCGCCGTAACAGAAACACACATACGAGCCACGATCTCCTGCTGCAAACTCCTAAACCTGGAGCTAAGAATCCGTAGCGGCGGCCACGACTACGAAGGCTTCTCATACACTTCTCCGGTACCATTCGTAATCTTAGACATGTACAACTTCAACAAAATAGATATCAACATGAAAGACGAAACCGTTTGGATCCAAGCCGGAGCCTCTCTCGGGGAGCTTTACTACAACATTGCACGTAAAAGCAAAGTCCACGCTTTCCCCGCCGGAGTTTGTCCCAAAGTCGGCGCCGGAGGACATTTCAGCGGCGGAGGATTCGGTAATCTCATGAGAAAATACGGTTTATCCATTGATCATATCATCGACGCTCAGATCATGGACGCCAACGGTAAAGTCTACCGTAACCGACGTGCAATGGGAGAAGACGTGTTTTGGGCCATTCGCGGCGGAGGCGGCGGAAGCTACGGCGTTATCTTGGCATGGAAGTTAAAGCTCGTTAGGGTTCCGGAGAAGGTCACTGTTTTTAAACTGGAAAGAACGGTGAAAGAAGGTGCCATTGATTTGGTTCACAAATGGCAACAAGTAGCTCCGGTTATCGACAGAGATTTATTTATCCGGTTAGAGATTAAACCGATAAACCGGAAAGTCTCAAAAGGTAAGACTATAAAAGTCTCATTCATCGGAATGTTTCTTGGTTTACCGGAGAGGCTTTTAAACATAACTAAACATAGTTTTCCGGAGCTACATTTAACGAAATCGGACTGTCTTGTTAAAAAATGGATCGAATCGAGCGTTTTCTGGGCTAATTACCCAGAAAAGGCACCGATCGAGCTGTTACTCAAGAGAGTATCAACAAACGAATACTACTGGAAACGTACTTCAGATTTTGTTCAAACTCCAATCTCAAAAAATGGTCTTGCAAAGATTTTTCAGACGATGATCGATCATTCTCCGTTTCCACGACGAGTTTGGATGCAATGGAATCCATGGGGAGGTAAAATGGGTGAGATAGCGTCTGATGCGACAGCGTTTGTGCATAGAGGTGGTAACGTTTTCATGATTGAGCATTTCATGAATTGGTATAAACCTGGTGATGAGCTTGAAGAGAAGTTCTTGGCGATTGCGAGAAGTTTCAAAGAAGCTATGGCTCCGTTTGTTTCGCAGAACCCGAGAGAAGCTTTCTTTAATTACAGGGACGTTGATATTGGAGTCACAACGCCGGGATATAATGCGACGTACCAAGGAGCTAAGGTTTATGGGGATAGCTATTTCAAAGGGAATTATTTGAGATTGGTTAAGATTAAAGCCCGGTTCGACCGGACTAATTTTTTCCGGTCTCAGCAAGGTATCCCGGTTCTTGCTTAGTTTGGTGAGTGGTGATGAGTGTTTGAATTGATGGCATTATTGTGGGGAGGGAGTATATTAAATTGTTAAAGTTTAAATTTGGGATCCAATGAATCTATATCGGGTGTGTTATTTTGTTGTTTCTGGCATGGGCAGTTGATAATTAGGTGTTCAATAATGCCATAATGGTGTTTATTTCAATCTCCTAGAGAGGTCATGCATGTAATGAAGTATATAATAAATGGAATAATTTTCTCATGTTAGCATGCAAATTTTTAGGGATTATTGTGAAATGGTATCCGCGGACCAAGGACGACGAAAACGACACCACAATGCACATTTTTGTAAAACAAATTGATGTACGTTTATACTGTTAGATGGATATGTTTCGAAGAAACGAGAAAGTGTATTGTCATATTCCGGTGTATGTGTTTTCAAAGCCTATGCCAAAAAACTGAAAATTTCGTAAACATAACATGCAAGGTTTATACTTGTTTTGGGTAAACCAGAGTACGCTTTGCGTTCTTGTGTCCATAGCAAAAATGTGTTTCTAAAAGGAGTCTTGGGCTGAACACATGATAGGATTTACATACCGATAGCTTGAACAAGACATGGTCGAGTTGTTTCCAATTATTGTAATGGGACCTAGATTTCAGTAACTTACTTCTTAATTATGATATCGACTGTTCAACTGGTACAAAGTTACAAACTTTTGGATATTGGTTAGTTACACTTACTAGTTCAATGTTTTGCACACGTGATAAAATTGTCGACACGATCTGACCACAATTTTAAGGAAAAAATCTCGATTTAAGTCGTCATAGTTTTTAAAAGCCTGGTGGTATTTTGTTTTTTAATCGACTGTACATGTGTTAGACATATGACGAGATGTACACATGTCATAAATGATTCAAATCGTCATATTATTCAGCCAGTTCCGACTAATTCAACCAAATTTAGTTACAATCACGATGTGTTTATATGTCTAGATGCTAAGCAACCCAATAGCATTCGTGTATTTTTAAAAATGATAAACATAAATAGCAAAATATATTAGGGATTTAGTAACTAATGCTATTGGTATGGCCGTAGAGACGTATGTCGTTTACAAATTAGTAAATATTGTTTTCAATTCATTCTAGTCAACTAGTGATTTATAGTGGATAATATCACGGAAGAGGATAACATGACATATCATCAAATTTACATACAACCAAACGCAAGTTCGTAATCCACGCAACATCAAATCCAAGCACACTAACAACATGATTAAAACATTGACCGTTGATTAATATTGCACAACATCAAACTCAAGGACAACAAAATAAAACCACGAACATTGCAAACGTAATCAATCATATATAGGTACGAGATTGATTAGGAATCATAGGTGGGTTCAGCCTCATCCACATTGGAAGCTCTTGTCTTTCGTTTTAAACAATGCAGCTTACATCATATCATCAACAGCTGGAAATAAGGAGAACTAGACAAGTAAACAAAGAAACGAGTACATACAGATTGTTAATTCCAACACTGGAATTAGAACCGGCCATCTATAACACGGATCCATTAACTGATTGACTAGAAAGTCTAAAACCCTAAAGAAAATTACAAAACATTTCGAGAAAACTCGAGCATTGCCATTTTGAGAAAACTCGAGCATTGCACATTGCTGATTTTTTTTTTTTTTTTTGCTAAGTTGCACATTGCTGATAGAGGGCTTTACTAGTAATTAAAGCTTATTTAAGCTTAAGAATAAACTTTGTAACTCCTCCTTATTGCTTCACCTTCTTTTAACCCTAATACCGCCGAGATGCCAAGCCGCAGCTAAGACCATCACCATTCGTTCATATTAAAGTGAGGTACTTAAAGGATAATAAAAATATTATTTTATTTATTGAATTTATTTCTTATTTTTTTAACTACTTTAATTTCTAAATCTTTGACATCTGTCTCTTTTTGTTTAGTACCGATTCTCAAAGTACTCTTTTGAGTACCGTTTCTTTATTTTCCTTGAACTTTTTTATTTTTTTATCATTTATTTTGTTGAGAGTACCGGTAGAAAAACACCAGTGGACATGCCCTAAGTATGTCAAGTTCTTGCAGATTCAAGTTGGGATTCTACAACTGATGCAGACCACAAAGAAGGTAATGATTAACCCTGAAAACAACCTTATAATCCAATTTATGAAATTTTGGTCATGTTTTCTCACGAGCCTATTAATTTGCCGATGCAAGGTAGCTCTAATGTGCAAATGGAAACTCGAGTTCTGTTTGAATCTCAAGCAATTCGGGAGAAGCTATCAACATAGGAAGTGTGTTTGATTCCGTGTGAAATGGTTCAAGATCTAACAACTGAAGAAACCATTTGGAGAAATCCTAAGATTACCCGAGAGATCAACATGTCACTGTCTAAAGATCTGGCTAACTAGTTTAAATTTCAAGATTGAAGTTCTCAATGCTTAAATTTGAGTATGTTCTTGTTAAATATGTTTTTCATTAGTGTTTGGTATATTGATTAGTGGCTAAATATCCTGGTTAATATCCTCTTAGCTATGAACTCATACTTTGTTTCTAACTTTGTATTAGTCTATGTATTAGCTATTGTCTGACATTTTTCTTGTTAGCTTAAGGTATGTCCTTGAAACGTTTTTAGTTGTTACATTAAAAAGTGAAGAGATCTTTTCATCTTTGTCTACTACATTCAGCTTTTACCCATAACATAACAATGATGGGCTTATTGTTTCGTAGGTCTTATAATTTTTAAGCCCAAATAAAAAGATTAAACAAACTCTCAAATCCGTCCGATAGTAAAAGGGATGTTGAGTGACCGATACCTTGATTTTGGGGATTTTTTTTTTTCTTTTGGGATTTCTGATTTTAATATTTATATTTATCATGCCTTTAATTATGGGAGAGAAAATTTAACTTTATAATATTTAAGATGGAAAATATAGTTATGAAAGTGTATAAACTTTTTTTTGGAAACATATCATTGAGTCAAATTTATCTATAAATATAAAATAATACACCACATCATATTTTTAAAAAATTATGAACAACACAAAACCTAATAGATAAATTTTAAATTCATCATTTTAATTTATCTCTTTGGAGGAATTAGTCTTACATTATTAGGCATACTATCATTATCACCTTATTCTCCTTATTATGATTTAAGGTTACAACGAAGCTAGTCTAAACTCTAAAAAGCTTACCGATGGGACTTACCACTATATTTTATCATGTTATTATTTTAAAAACATATAACTAAAAGTTAATGTCCCATAATTATATCCCAAAATAAACATCAAAAGTAATCACTTTCGTTAATCAAAAAGAAGGTGACGCGAAATAGTAGCATCCATATAAGCCAATTTGCCCACCAAAATCTTCGTCCAATTTCATATTGGCCTCTCGTTCTATATGTCCCATCGTGAGAGAATAAAAACCATAGAAAAGTAAAAATTATGATAATTAAACGTGTTATATTCGACTGTTCTTTTTCTTTTGCCCCCTCATCAAATCAACACTTTCCTTGTAAAATAATTATATTAAATAAGTTGTGATGCAACTTTTCTTTCTATCAATCAGAATCCGATGGATTTGACAAAACTTAAGGTCACTATTTCCAGAATGATTCTGATCAAAAGTTGAGATCCCACACACTCTCGTAATAATACCATACCACCGGTGATTTATTAAAAATGTGTTGTACAGTTTTATTTGATTAATTTATTTGTCTACACACATGCCGCTGTAAAGAAACTACAAACGAATATAGTTAAAGGTAAATACTAGATTACTATCCCTGATAGAGAGTTCCAAGGTCATGAATCATGATGATTGATGGGTAAGATTATAATTAAAATGATTTTTAATCAGCAAATAATATGATAGACCATGGAACGATGGAGTTTATTTTTTATTTTATTTTGTTGAGTACAATTTCTCAAATAATTTATACGAACAACATCATCCGAGACAAAATTCAGTCAGAATGAATGAAGACTATTATATCAAATTAATAAGTATTATTATGGGATTCTCATTTAATTCGGCCCGTAAGTAAAGCCATGAAAGTAGGGCTTTCTTCCTGCCTTCCGAGATCATCCACATGCATGCATGGTCAAAAAAAACAAAAAAAATCTCCCTTACATGAACTGTTTCCTATAACTTATATTGATAGACCATACACCATATATATATTTCAAACGTAATATAAATTGAGCTAGTTAGTTGATATATAGAGCTATAGCTTTTTAATATAAATTTTTAGAGTTTGTTTCCAAACATCCCCCCCCTCCTCGAAAACATTTGTCTAAAGGAAAAAAATAAGAAGGCAACTTGTTCACAATTGAGATATTAAATAAAAATTAATGGGTAAAGTTCAATTTATTTCTTAATTTGTAATCCCTTGGTATGGATCGAGTCATGCAACTTAATAATACTGTGGATGTACATCTTCGCTTTGTGTCCCATCCACCAATATTCCTTAACCCCACTTCTCTTGCTCTATCCCAGTAGCACACACAAGCATACATTTATTATACACACAAGTATTTATGTGTATATATATTTATATAGTCGTTCCATACATTCCTATTAAACTGTTTGGTAATCTGTAGTGTTTAAATTAACGACCCAAGGAATTACATTAACTGTCTTCACAACAGCCACATAAAAAGTTCTAACCACCTCTTGAATTTGAGATTATTGTATTTAGTTAAAAACTTAGACTAGCTAGTGCGTTGTAACAAAAACTACTTTCAAATTTGTCCATGCATGTGAAATATGCTTATTATGCTAATATAACAAAAATATTTGGTCTTTCTTGATAAGCTTTGGACTACAATAGAAAGGAATAAAGAAAACAGTTTTGATACTATAACCTTATAAACAGTCTTTATGTAAGAAATAAATACACATAAAGATCACAAGAATACCCTTCATTTGCCACCAGGCGACAGTGGTATATATGCGCTAGGACTAATACCGTCATTAAGTACAATCGAATTACAAGAATAATATAATTTTATGTATACATTAATAAGAATAATTATAACGACCTTGATGAGTCGTCGTCGTCAAAGAAATCGCTAAAAACGTCGGGAATGGTCGTATCGGTCTCCATGTTGCCTCCGCCGCTACTGTGGGATAGCAACATAGTCAAAGAGTCTCCCTCAAGCTCGTCAAGATCGGCGAAGAAATCCTCCGACTGATGTTGAAACTCAGGCAACAACTCCGGTTTATAGGTATCTTCACCGTCATTATCGAACTCCATATTGTCACGGCGCTCCTCCACGTTCTCTTCCTTAATCCCAGCGGCCGCATAAGGAGGAGGAGTGGAAGAGGAAGGCAAGTGGGACTTATTGGGTTCGTCTTTGTTATTATTGTTCTGGGAGACTCTGGACGAGGGAGACGTCGTCGTTGCAGCCGCGGTTGAGGATTTGGTAGAAAGGTTTGATGAGGAGGAGGAAGAGGAACGAGTGGAGCCGGCGAGAGCATTGCGTTGGGTCGGCCATGGATGGTTATGCTCAGAGGTGTAAGTAATGACCAACATGTTTGGATCAGTGCGGCTACGTTCGACTTGTTTCCTAGCTGAACAACCTTTTGAGCTGCTACATCTGTAGTAACCCCTGAGAAACAATAATTTATCCTTCAAATATCCATCAAATACTTAATTAACCATAATCTTATTATTCATGTGTAACTAGTGAGAAGTCTCAACCCATTAGATCAATTTCGCATAAGGAATATCGACAAAAAAAAATAAAAAAAATCTGAATGATATCCTTAGCTTTCTCGATGGAATATATATTATGATCATAAGATAAGTTTGCATCAAATGTCACAATAAGGAATTTAATAGGATTAATGTGCGCCGTAGAAAATATTGAAGGAACTTTATACTTTATAGTTTACATGCTAATCATTGCACCTGCAATATTTGTTTGTGAAAGGAGATGCAAAGCTGCAAATTCTACTTACATGTGAATTTCTTTTCAGTGGTTTAATCAAAAAAAAAAAGGAATACTCTTTTACTGACGTAAGTTTAATTTTCCAGTATTATTATTTGTCTTTTCAAATTTCAGGACTGAAACTTGTACATTTTCGTGGGTTCGGTCCTAAAAGGTGCCGAAATAATAAGACACAATGGAGCCAACCATATTTGTTTTTGGATTTACAATAGTGATTAATTTTTCAGGTTGTTATAAAACTTTCCTATATTGAAAGAACATACTTATATATCTATATATTATCTGTATATGTTCGTAAATTGTATAGACGATAGCGACATAGGGTTATAACTATGGAAATTCTAATACATTAGTATGTGTATATGTGTGACAGTGTGAGTGTTACCTTGGATAGGGAGAACCTTTGATGGGTTTTTGACCGTACTTTCGCCAAGCCCATAAATCAGACGGAACAACTTCTCCACTGGACCGGCTGTTCATCGCGGCTGGAGCCGGTATGCACACCACTTTCTTTGTCTGCCCCTTCCTGCATCCATCGTGAATATATTGAGGTAAGTTTTAAGGCTGGTCAATGTAAGTGTGGAACATGATGAGTTCGGTTTGATGATATGATGGCATCGTAATATATGTTCGTTTTGTTTGTTTACGATGTTTACACTTCATATATATCATGCGCATACTATTTTCAGTCTTAAAATATAATTCTGTATTTAATCAAAATCATCTTATCTTAAAGTAAAATGAATACTATAATTTTTTTTTTTTAATATATACAAGCTACAACATGTACGAATTCGGTAATTTCACATGAAGGGTTGCAAAACGAAACCCTAGTTTCAATATCCCTTATGTTTCATGAAAATAAAAATACAAAAATATATCAACGTTTCCTTGAGATAACTGGTTTTAATGAATAAATTGCGTTTCATGATAATTAATTTTCTTGAGACACTAATCATAACATATCTAGCATATATGATATATATGTATTTCTTTTTCAAAGGATGTTAACCATGGTGAGTAGCTTCATGAAGTTTTCAAATATGAAAATATGTAAAATTGGCTGTCAGTCGTTACGTACTACAGCTAACTAATAGTATAAAGTCTATAACATTAAATGATCCTGTTTAATCAAGAAGGAAAATAAAATAAAATAAAATCATACATATATAGAGGTGGAATTTTAATTAACTTACCTTCTCTTAATGCCAAGATTCCGAGGGGAAGAAGAGATCTGAATCTGTGAGGATGATGACGTGTTGTTACTATTATCGACTAGTAAACAATTTCTTGGACTGTTAGTGGTATCAACGCCGATCATCCCCCACGGCGAAGATGGGGCGTTGGAGACGGCTATGGCCGGTGAATTACACGTGGAACCATCGTGGATGATATTGCTTTCCGAGATCCGGATTCTTGGGAAGACACTGCATTGACTCTTAATATGGTCATCCTCATCAAAACCCTTTGGAAAGATTGCAAAACTGTTGTCGCTTTTGTTATCTCCGGCAACGGGTAAGTACCCGGAGCTTGCCGCGAGGTGGAAGAGAGGATCCGACGTCATGCTTACGAACGGGTCGCCAAAGGGGTTTGTGAGGAGACAGCTGACAGAAGCAGCGGCGGTGGGGAAATCGACGTGGAGATCTGACGACGTTGGCGGCCGAGATATGGTACTCGGAGATGGAACTTCCGGTGGGTCAGGAGAGGACACGTGGCCTGAACCAATCCCTCGTACGACGTCTGTTAGGTCTCCTTGGAAGTTGTCCATGTTTAGTAACTGATCAAAGACGCTGCACATAATATGTATGTATGATGCGTATGCGTGTGTTTATATGTATACACACACAAAGAAAGAATTAGAAATTCCCAAACCAAAACAAAAAGTAATTAGGAAAAGTTCTCGATCGAGTTATGTAGGTATTATGGAAAAGAGTGATCAGTAAAGAGAGAAGATGATGAAGAACAAAAATGGTTGATGAAACGAGAAAGAGACGCTGACTTTTCAGAATGAGAATAAGTTCGACAATGTCTTCATGTATAGAGAAAGAGAGAGGGGAGATCAGATTATATATGTACTCTTTATATATAAAACGAACTATTTAATATGAGACATTTTACTATTTAAGTATCTTAAGGAGGTGAAGTGATAATAATTTTTTTTTATTTAAGTATAGAAATATTCATGGATCGAGATATATACGGCCAAGTCTTGTACTTTTTTTCTTTCTTCTTTTAATCTAAAATTATAAGTAAAATATCACATAATGTGAAAGAGCATAATGAGATGCTGCACTTGAGAATAAAAAACAAGTGATTGGGAAGTAAAGAGATGGGCAAATAGCCGCATTTCTCGGAGTACGTTTCATTTTCGTCCAATCTCATTGGACCACGTGAACATTCTCAAATACATTTTTGCTGTTTGTCTTGAGTACCAAAAAATCTGTTTGTCTGTATGTACATATTATTAGTTTATGAATTCTTATAAAAAAATGAATGATATGAGATTTTCCTATATGAATTTATTTTTTTCTGTCTCCAACCATATATGATGATGAATTGATGATGATATATAGACAGTGTGTTATGTGATGGATTATAGTTAGTTGCATCTGCTAATTTCTATATATGGTCCAGTTTGTTTATCTTAAGTAGTCTTCTTCTATATATAACAAAACAAGTTATTCGTTATTGATATTGAACATTGTCCTTGTACAAGTCAACGGTGGTTGACTTGCTATTTAGCTGGTCATCTCGTAATTAACAGGAACAACTAACAAAAGAAAAGAAGAATATAAAGCAGTTTAATTAGTTCTTATAAAACTACAAAAGAGAAGCATTATTAGTGACTATAATATGTCCAGCCCCATTACTAAAATATATTTCTTAAATCAAAATTTTGCAGAGAGGATTATGAACTAACTAATCAAGAAGAAATCATTAGCTTACACCGGGAAAGACGAAGACGTACGATTTCGTTCCTGTCATAATCGTATATGACAAAAACAAATTCCCTTACAGTATAATATAACTTAGTAGATTTGTTTTTCACAAGTGTTATATATAAAGAATGATTATTATTTTTTTTTTTCATTTTTTGTATGTGAACATATACAACACATTTCTAAACTCATCCTCTTCGTCAAAGTGTTATATAAAGAATGATACTTTGTATGTGAATAACTGAATATATATATATATATATATATATATTAACACTTGTCTATATATAAGCAAACAAATATAATTGTTTACATTAAGAGACATTTGATGTTATGTAAGTGGCCAAGACTGGCAAAATAACGACTCTTCATAATATACGAACACATACTAATCTAAATCTGAGTTGGTTTCTTTCAAAAAAAGAAAAGAAAACAATTCTCAGTTGGTGTGTGGATTTTAATATAGGTGCCAACTAATTATACGTTTGCAGTTATCTCATTCTAGATTTTCCATATTGTCGCCAACATTAAAAATTTTATACTACTATTTGTTCATTGTTTATATGCTATTTACACCAAATTTCTTTGAAAATATATTTGTCCATTACATACATATAAAAATAAACTGAAGAATGAAAGTTTGTATCATGGGTAATAAATTCCTCACATGGTATTAGCATGTGTTTTTATGCATGTTGGACTTAGTTAATTAGTTTATTTATATATAATCTCTACTTCATTATTATTATTGGAATTAATGCCCACACTATATAAAATATTGTAACTCACCTAGACACCTACTTGGTTATTTCTTTTTGTTAGCTAGCTGGTTAACAACAAACATTTTTGTGTGTTGATTAAATAACAAAAAATGAGTTCCCAAACTAGCTGCTAGAATATTATTGGTCAAATTAAAATAATCCGTTTCAAGATATAATAAGGTAATCATTTTTGTAAATATAATATGTGCTAATCCCACTCATTTACCCTCTGGATCCCGATCAAATCATGTAAATGTGTTATGCATAACTAGTAATTTATGGTACTTGTTGTGTTCTTAACAATTTCAGATCATCCTTGGCTAGGTTATATATATAGGTTGGCTATGATTAATGTTCAATACAACACTTATAGGAGGAAGTGAACCTTGAACTCCTCCTCGCAAAAATTAACATTTCTTCTCCTTTATAAAAAAAACAAAAAAAAAAAGATACCTCGATTAAAAATGTGAAAAAATGGTCGGCTTCATGACAAACACTTAGATCCACGTTCGTGCATTACAACCTCATCACTACTATCTTTTATCCCATATTATTTTCTCATTTTTTGTTTTCCTTTAATTTTAACATTATCAAAAGTTTTTACATTGGTTCAATTTGCGTGTACATATTAAACAGTTCTATTGATATAAACACATATTTATGCATTGCGAGAAATTTCACTTTCCTTGGGAAATTTTGGAGTTGGATCAAATTATAAGTGTGGACATAACGTTGAAACCAGCGTCGACAACTAAAGTTCGTAGTTAAAAAACTGCACATATATATACCACTGCTTTAATTGGTGATCCATTTGGACGAAAATAACGATTTATATCCCAACAAAATACAATTACCAAATTTTATTCATAGAAAAATATAGACAGAAATATAATTCTTTGCCATTCCTCTATTAGTCTCTGTGATTTTTCAAAATGGAAGTCAAAAAATATCTTTGCTCAAAAGTCAATTTATGTATACTGTAGTTCTCACTTGCCCTTATATAAGTCTATTTAGATATTTTATCAAATGAGATAAAGAAAAGAAAAAAAAAACAATCACGACCCATATGATATGAAGCAGGCCTCTCTGATCTCTAATGGCACACAGATTCATTTTAATATGAAACGACACGACAGGGACTAAAATTTTATATAAATTGTTTGATCTCAATAATTAGACCATACGTTGCAAAAAGTAAAACAAAATATAAGTCATGCCTCCCTCGTTCTACGGTGACGCATGTTGATGAACGGATGGATATTCAACAATGACAATAGTATTAATAATATCTGTTATCCCAATGCTACTGTATAATTTAAAACCCAAAACAAGAATTATTTTGTCAAAGAAATATAAACATATAATTAGATTGGTAACCACGAAACATGTGTTTAGATTGAAAACGTATGTTTTAGATACAATCAAATATTATACACAAGCACTTGAAACATATTATGATTCATTGATAGCACCGGCCGGATTAGCCGAAAATTTCCGAGCAGGCCTTTGGATTAGGGATTACAAATTGCAAACTACAGTATTGTATTAAATAGTTGACACTTGACAAACAAAAAATTTAATTACAATAGTTATGCATGAAGGAGCTTATTCCAAGTAGATACGTTTTTTACATTAACAAAGGTAATTAAAGTCTACGACGACCGCAACATATCTTGAACGCAATTATGCTAAAGATAGCTAAAACCATTACACTGAGAAGTGCAAGATCGTCATCTCTACAAATTGATTCAACACCTTTGTGATAAATTAAACGATTGATTAATGTTATTGGGTTGCGTAGCACGTGTACTACTTTACACATGTTAAATAAATATTGACTTTACGTGAAATCGTACCATTCCCTTTAAGTGCTCCCTAAGTTCATAGAAAAAACAATCGTCACCCTCTCACATATATCATAACACGAATATATACTAATTTAACCACGTCTGATAATATGATATGCTTAAAATTGACTTGCAAGTTTTTTTTTGTTTTGTGCAAGTGTCTGACCTAACAAGATAGTAGACTAAAAGCTCATAACACCAAAGAATAAGCCCATAAACAGATGAATTAGAATATTATATTTTAACCAATGAGGCCCAAATCAGATAATAGGGTGTCGATCATACAATTTACACGAATTGCGGTTCTTATGTATATGATTGTTATTTAAGGGACTAAAAGGTTATTTACCCGTTTACTTCAGTTTGTTTGTTCGTTTGGAAAATCTTGAGACGCGAGCGAATCTGAAAGATCGAGCTACAGAAAGAAGAAGAAGGAAGAAGCAAAGCAATGGCAGCCATGGGAGCAGGACCAGATCACCTCTTCAACCTAAGAAACCATTTCTATTTGGGAGCTTATCAAACAGCGATCAACAACAGCGAGATCCCTAACCTCTCTCCCGAAAATGCCATCGAACGCGATTGCTTCGTCTTTCGCTCATACATCGCTCTCGGTAGCTATCAGGTTTCTCCACCTTAAGAGTTCACCTTGAAAATGTCATCTTCTTTAGATTCGATTTCGTTTTGTTTTTGATCTGTTCTTCAAAATTTTGGTGTTGTAAAGCTTGTCATCAGTGAGATCGATGAATCAGCCGCTACTCCACTACAAGCAGTCAAACTCCTCGCAATGTATCTATCGAGTCCTCAAAATAAGGTAATTTCGAAACAATTTTAGTAGCAGAATTTTGAATTTTGGTTGCTGAGAGATTCCGAATCCTGATATGGTACGGTTGTTCTTGGCTCAGGAATCAACAATCTCAAGCTTGAGGGAATGGTTGGCAGATTCAACAATAGGAAACAATGATACATTGCGGTTGATTGCTGGTATTATATTCTTGCATGAGGAAGATTATAATGAAGCTCTGAAGCACACTCATGCTGGAAGAACTATGGATTTGTAAAAGTTTTTTTCGATTTTCTTTGGTGGGTTTCTATGAGCGGCTGTTATATTTACATCTTCTTAGATTTTTTGTTGCTACTTTGTTTCTAGGCTTGCCTTGAATGTTCAGATATTCATTAAGATGCATAGATCAGAGTATGCTGAGAAGCAGCTCAGAGTGATGCAACAGATTGATGAAGACCACAGTCTCACTCAACTTGCAAACGCGTGGTTGAACCTGGCTATGGTATAATGCGAGATTTTGATCATTTTTGTTGGGCCTATTTTACATATAGAGTCTGTTTTCCTTCTTGTACTCAGACGATTTACGATACCAGGGCGGTTCGAAGATACATGAAGCTTATCTCATTTTCGAGGATTTCTCGGAGAAGTACCCGATGACAAGCTTGATCTTGAATGGCAAAGCGGTTTGCTGTATGCAAATGGGTAACTTTGATGAAGCTGAAACACTACTGCTTGAAGCACTAAACAAGGTAACTATAATCAGGCTTGCATACCTTCTGCAATTGCACTTGTATCTTGGCTTTTCGGTATATTGGCAAGTGTTTATACTAATTGTGGTGTTTGCAGGACGCTAAAGACCCAGAAACTCTTGCAAACCTTGTTGTGTGCAGTCTTCATGTCGGGAAATCATCTTCACGCTACTTAAGGTACATTTTCATCATCGATTCGCTTATAAGGCATCCTTTGGGCCAAACCCCTCCGTAGAACTCACTGAAATTTACTTGAAAGCAATGGTATTTTTAATTCTTATAAAAATAATGGTTAGTCTCTCATTGGTTGAGTCCATTTGCAATCCCTATACTTTTGCAGCCAGCTGAAACTTTCACACCCGGAACACATACTTGTGAAGCATGTGTCATCAGCCGAAGACAACTTCGAGAGAGCTCTTCAATCAGTTGCCTGAAGACTCTTCCATGATTGAAGTTAAAAGAGGTGTGTAGGATTGGTTTGCTGTACCGCATTCTCTATTAGAACAACCATACTGTCTTGTCTTTTCGTAATTAGTATATGAACCAGATTTTGCCATTGGATATGTTATAGTTACCATCTTATTACTTCTAGTCTTCAAATAGAAAAATTCCACTTCTTGCAGTCTCAATTTTGTTTGTCTGATCCAGATGTGTAAACAAACCTAAGCCTTGAGTGGATTCACGTCCACGGCCAATGTCAATCTCAATCCCACCATTTGAGGAAACGATTTATTTGAATCCAAATTAGAAATACAAAAAAAACACAAAAGCTTCTCACTGGGCTAGAAAACTTCATTTTTCCAACCGCTAATTTTCACTTCTCCACCAAGAACTAAAATATGTCTGTTTTCCCTTCAGGATTTTGATAAAACTCAATCACAATAAAATGTGATTGATATAGATTATATTATTAATCAATAATCTCATATATAATCTCTTATATATGGTTATGAATACTAGATTACTAATAATAAACTAGAACACACAAGCTTCTACTACCTTTACTACCACCTAGAATTGAGACTCTAATCTCTATAGCTATCATCTACCAGTGAAGGACTCCTTGACGAGTAATTATTACAAGCAAATGCAGAAAGGTCAGTATGCAGAAACCAAGGAAAAAGATGCATAGCCAGTGCGATGAAGCTTTTGCCATCTCCATGCCGTCTCCAAACTCTCATGAAGATTTGTGTGCCTGGCTGTCCAATTCAGCTCTTCTCTAATCTTGCTTGGATCACTGTAAACCTCTGCGTAATCTCCTGCTCGTCTTTCCAAGAAATCGACTTTTATATCAACCCCGGTCGCTTTTTTACACGCTTCCACAAACTCCTTAACTGAGCTCCCTGCATGCACAACAACAATATCACATTGTCTGGAAAGTTATTCTCTTCACTTTCCAAAACTTTTTGCCTACAATCTAACTTTATACCTTTCCCGGTACCAACATTATAGATCCCAACTTTGCGGGGTTTCGCCTTTTCAAGAGCTTTTACATGGGCATCAACCAAGTCTGTGACATCAATGTAATCACGTACGCAAGTTCCATCCACAGTCTTGTAGTCTGTTCCTTTAATCTGTAGATAAAAACCAAATAAACATCAACAAATATCTTCTGTAATGATGAAGCATAGCAACGACCGCGATAATTACCTGCAGCCCGGGAGTGATGCCTCGTGCAGCATCAAAGCAAGCACCAGAGATCCTTCCATGCTCTCTGAGTTCAGGTCTTGGAGCTTCACCCAGTCTTCCCTCAGGATCAGACCCAATCACATTGAAATATCTGAAAAAACAGATTCGAGCTTCAGGGGAAGAGAAAACAAGCACAGAGCCCTAAACACACACATAACAAAGAACTAAGTAACAACCTCAGGATCATAACCGCCATATTGGAATTTTTGGAAAAATCCAAGATGATATCTTCTGCCATCTTCTTAGCCTTTCCATATGGATTGATTGGGACCTGAGGAGTTTCCTCTGTTATTGGCATCTTCTCAGGCTCTCCATACGTAGCACATGTGCTTGAATATATCAGAGTCTTCACACCGTGAGCAGCCATCGTCTCTAGTACTACCAACGTGTTTGATGTGATATTGTGATAATACCTGCAAATGACATAACATCAAGCTACTGTATATGATTTACAACAAATTTGACAGTAAAGGTCAAATCATTTTGAGAAGGATCAAGCTACTCACTTAAGAGGAAATTGTGTGCTTTCTCCAACATAAGCAACAGCAGCAAAATGCATCACAGCGTCAAATGCGTTTTCAGAAAATATTTTGTTAACCTGAAAACATTTCTTATTTAGAAAACACAAAAAAGCTTGCCATTTGTGTTTTTGGGTTCTTATATGTAGAGTTACAATGAAGGACCATACCGCATTTGTATCTCCAAGATCAGCATATATGAATTGAAGCCTTCCAGGTTCCGGAAACAGTTCTTGCAAGATCTTAACCGCACCTAGGTTCCCTCTAGACAGATTGTCCTGCCAAAACATAAAAGATTTACTTTTAACTTAGATACAACACGAGAAGGATGAAGCTATGCAAGGGCAATGAAGATGTATACCACAATGGTGACTCGGTATGAGTCTTTTAGAAGGCGTAAAGCTGCATGTGACCCGATGTATCCAGCACCACCAGTGACAAGAACATGGGTAACTCCTGGTTCATGTTGAGAGAACTGAAAGATGAAGAAAACATAACAACCATTCAAAACATTATTACTTCAAAATTGAGAAAGTGAAGTAACAAGTTAATAACATATTATAAGTAGTAATACCACGCTTGGGGTATTGAAGGTAGGGGATTGCTTGAGCAAGAGAATGCACATTGCTGTAAGTGTCATGGCCAAAACAATCTTCCCCATGTAATTGTTGCTCTTCTTTGGGTCTGCAAAATCCAATCCTACACTCCAAACACCACCAACAAGTGTGAATCTTGAATCCAAATTAGAAGCACATAGCAAAAGATTTTGACTTTGGAGCTAACAAACTCCAGAAAACTTGGAATCTCCCTATCAACTTACCAACCACTGATGTCTACTACTTATAGACAACAAGAAGGCAAAATAGGATTCAGAAAAACAAAACAAAAGAAACAGTTAAAAATCAGATTTTATTATAGAAGTCTAGAAAGATACCTTCAAAAGACATAGATCTGTTTTGCCTCCCGATTCTTGGTCTGCCAAGATTCAGCATTTTGATTCTGACAAAAAAACACAGCCTAGTTCAGTTTCAGCTGCAAGAGATTAACAGCCGGGATGTTTAAAAAACTCACATCTGTAAAAACCTCAGTATTCGATTTAAAACCCCATTTCTACTAATTAATATGTCTTTAAAAGAAGTTTGGAAATAAGAAGTAACTCCAACGTGGGTCGGTACTCGGTCTTTAAGAAAAATGAAAATGCAGAATAAGTTAGGTATATTAAAAACTATTATTAGTACATATGCATATCATCACACCGACACAGAATTTTCACAAAAGGGCCAAATTTCAAACTGAAGATGAGGAAAACAGAAGAAACTCTAAAAAAGCAAAAATGTTGTAGAAAGTGGACTTAAACCAAGAAGCACGAAACGGAAGACCAAGAAAGCTTAAAGGGTTACTCACAACAAAAACGACATTAATATCAACCAGGGCAAGGGCAAGAGAGAGAGAGAGAGGCGAACCTGATAGAGGAGAGATAAAGACTCAAAATTTATCGTGGGTTTAGTAGGAAAGATTCGATCTGAAATTCTAAGTGGACAAGGAGAAGAAAGACGTATAAATGTAGGAAAGCAAACAGAGCGGTCTTGGCGGTGAGAAAGAGCGAAGAGCTATAAAGTTGAAGTAAATGATACTAACTCTTACTATCAATGAGGTGTTCATATATAAAAAAAAGCAGCTAGCGAATGAGATTGCAACAGATATTATAAGAGACGCGGTGATTGGAACGAGGAAGCCCCAGCATCTGACGAACTCTCTGCTGACATGTCGGTACAACTCTATACGTGGCTTTCACTTTATGGCCTAAAACTTTACTAACTCTTGACCAAAAACCATATTATTGTGTAATGTCATGTGTACAACAAAGAATTATGTAAAATGTTACTATAATGATAAGAGAAACAAATAGGTAGGTAGTTTGGTATCGTTGCATGTGCTGATGTACTTTTGTTCACTAAAATATTTTAAATAACTGTCGTATAAAAATGAGAAAACCATAATTTTAAAACCTTTTTGAAAATTCAGTGTAATTTATAAGCATATTTTATTAGGTAATTTGGATGACTTTGTTTAGCAAAAACTAGAAAAATCCAAATTCAAAAAGGATATGACTATCTCAGAAATATAAATATACAAACTGATAGCTGATTTTAAAATAAAATAGAGTTATAAAGAGTGGACCTTATAATATGGAAAAAATAACTGAGTAGAGTAAAGCATGCTGAGACTTCATTGCATTTAGACAAGTTTGCAACTACATCTTGAACAAGCAAGGGCAACCGACAGTCCCATGCACATTGACTTCTTTAGATCTCGAAACCATATATTCCTCCTTCTTTATCTTTCTTTATCATAATATACACATTCATTCAATTCATTGATCAAACTAATTTTTCGTATTTTAAAAATCGAATTATACTCTACCAAGTTGCACAAAAATACCACATATGTTTCTATTAAAATTGTGATTAAATTTATGAAACTACAAATTTAAACTTATATATTTGAAAATATCAAACCCTAACTCTTCAAGCCTCTTTGGGACAGTCATGGAGAAAGGCCTATTAACGGGCCTGGGGGCCTCTTGAAACATCCCATCTCTACATTTTTTTGTGTTTAAAATGAAAAAGGATTGAAGTTTTGAAATTGAAAAGAAAGCGTACCAATCTGTAAATATTGTAAAAGTCGGTGCAATAAAACGAAAATATCTAAAACAATCCTATAGATGGTTTGGGTGTCTCTCTGGTTCGCCAGTAAAATTATGACCGCAGACTGAAAAAAATGGCGGCATCATCTCATCTCTTCTTCGCACTCCCTTCGACGCGTCTCCATACACCTTCTCCAGCTACATCTAACCGGAACCGAGTTCGTGTTCTTGCGAAATCATGCCCGGAGAATCAGAGCCTCGATTCGCACGATTCAGATTCTTCCTCGGAGACTGCCAGCAAAACTCAGGTTTTTATAATACAACTTGTGCAATACTCTTCTATGTTCAACATTCCGAGGTAGGGTTACGGAGATTTGATTGTTCAGTTCACTAATTTGTATCAGCTGCAAAACATTTCAATTGTTATTGTTTGAATTTGGTGACTACTAATAACTTACATACAGTTACATGATTTGTCATAATCTCTAGTTGGTATTGTGCTGAGAAAAGAAAATCCAATTCTTAGTCTTTAGTTCTGCTACATATTGGTACCATCAACACTAGTGTTGTCTTTGTTACTCTTCACTGTAAATTTGGAGCTGGGCTAGTTTTAGTTGTTTATAGAAGTGCTTCCACTAGCTCTTAGTCTTAACTTTCAGGTATTAAATTTTAAAAGTGATAGTGGAAACTTGACTTGGCTTGTGTTCTTGGCTGCAGGGGGATCAGAAACCGGTGTCACGGAGACAGTGGATGACGGCATGTGTGTGCGGATCCGCAGCTTTAATTAGCAATGCTTATACCTTTGTCTCTGTGGAAAAGGCAGCCGCTTTAGACAAGAAACCAGGAGGTTCATGCCGTAACTGTCAGGGCAGTGGTGCTGTTCTTTGTGAGCGACTCTTCTTTGCTTTGTTTTAAATTTTAATGTTGTAGTTTCTTTTCTGGCATTTTGATATACATGCATGTCACTGAACATGTATTGTATAGTAGATGTTCATTGTGTTTCTTTTGAAAGTGTTTTTGTTTTATGGCTTAAGATTAAAGGATATAAGACCAAATTGTGACGTTCACAAAAGATTAAAGTGAAACTAAACATATGAAATTCCTGGTAACATATTTCCTTGAACACCTTGCTATGTTAAAGGTCATAATGATTCTCTGTTTTCATTTGATGTACCTCATGAGCTTACTACTGATGCCCTGACCATATGGTTTTAATTGTATTTTTCTTATGATATAGGTGATATGTGTGGTGGTACAGGAAAATGGAAAGCTCTCAACCGAAAACGTGCCAAAGATGTATATGAGTTTACGGAATGTCCAAATTGTTACGGTTTGTGTCTCGTTCTCAATATTTCTTTAGTTTAGTTTGGATTGGTAACGCTTGAGACAATAGATTTGCCTGATTAATTGGTGGCACCTATTGCAAACAGGTCGAGGTAAGCTTGTGTGTCCGGTCTGTTTGGGTACAGGTTTACCAAACAACAAAGGCCTTCTTAGAAGGCCTGGTGCTCGTGAGCTACTCGAAAAGATGTACAATGGTCGGCTTCTTCCCGATTCATGAGCCAGGTAGGTATAATTAGTCCTTTTTATTACACTTTCACGTTGAGATTATTGGTCCGAATATAAAGCTTGGTGCAGTCATATTAGCATAAACCACTATAGTTCTTCTCCTTTCTGATCCTTCCATCTTTTGAACTTCTCACAGATCCTTACTGCAAATCTGCTTTCAAACGCAGAGCCAATAGATATGATTATAGAAGCGGAAGAAAACTTGCACATTGAGGACGCATGGAAAGTATAGAAGAATGTGAAGAATTCAACATGTTTTTTGTAAGCGTTACTAGGTCTATGTTGTAAATTCTATAAACCTAAGCTTTCCTTCTTCCGCAGACCCTAATCACCAACATGAACCATAAACGAGTCCCCAAGCTGTATCCTTAACTATGAGCCGCAGATGCCTTTGCAGAAAAATGTGACAACCCACAGTTATAGACAGGATCGTGGTGTAAACTACAAGAACTAAAGAGAAATACTCACTAAAGGCAGAAACTACTGTTTCGACGCAACCCCGCACACTGGATTATGGCAAAATGTCTTTAGACCTCTAAATCTACACATACACATGCACACACACACACACACACACACACATCTAGATCTAGTCAATCGCACAATCTACACACACAAATCTACTCAATCGCACAACAATGCCCTGGACACACTTCATATTAACCATATATTCCTTACATACACAGCTAGCATTTCATACTTAAAAACAATACGTCTAGTTGGACTCAAGAACAAACCAGTTTCGCTAGGGTTCGGTAAGCATACAATGATGATACTAACGTTAACGTACAAGATCATAAATAGGATAGTGAAATGTGAATGTTAAAAGAAGAATATCTAAATAAGTAAAAAGAAAAAAGAAAAAAACACAGCTGGTTTCGATATAATTAGACTAATTCAACGAGCTCTAACCAAACTGCATGAGGGACACATGTTCATGTGCATGCCTCTATATTTATTATTAGTCAATCATCATGTTTCTCCTTTAATTTTCAACCAATTTTCATGTAAAACGTACTTTTTATTTTTATTGGAAAATTATGCATGCAACAGCCAACATGCGATACACATGCATTTGTAGTTGTTAAATCAGTCCACTTATTTTCGAATTCGGTACATTCGATGTTTTTACAAATATTGGCACCAATTTATTGCGTTTGTAGGTAAATTATATGTATGTATATATATAAAATTTTTTTAATTTTGCTCATAAAAGAATAGGCCTATAAATAAAGTCACACTAAACATCAGCTATAGCAACAGACAGAAGCAGATTAGAAGAAGAAAAAAACACAAATGGCTTCTTCAGTTACTACTTTAGCCCTAACCCTAATCTTGATCTTCAACCTTACGCCGGAAACAACCGTGGCCCGTCCTCTCAGTGATCAATCGGTGGCCACCACCACTGACGAAGCGAACAACCTGCCGTTTCCACCGGGCTTGCCATTTGGAGGTGTTCCTCCGTTACCGTCACTTTTCCCGCCGTTTGTGCCTTCTCCATTCCCTGGAAACATCCCACGTTTACCGTTTCCGTTTCCGATGCCGTCATCACCTCCAGCGCCATCTCTTCCTGGCTTCCCTGGCTTTAGTTTTCCTCCCTTGCCGTTCCCGTTCCTCACGCCGCCACCATCGTGAACGCATAGTTTTATTAATGCCGTTATTATAATAAATTAAATAACCATCTCGTTTGAATAAACTAATGTTATATCGAAAATGATCATGTGTACTCGATCATAGTAATAAAATATGAGTATTTTGATGGAAAAATATTACAAAGAGATACATATATATATGTCGTGTTTGTATCACAATGTTGATCTAATTAATGAAAAAAAGACTTCGGTTTGAGTTCCTACTTCCTAGTACCTACCTAAATTCTCTCTTGAAGTTTACGAGTACGAGTGAAGTTGAAGACGACGGTATCTAATAAGTAAACTGAATCTCTACATTTTATTAGTATATGTCAATGGCTTAATAAGTTGGATATGTTGTTTAAGAAAAATTCGACCTAATCCTGAATTTCTGATAACTATGGTTGATCGAAACTTTGAAGGTTTTGGGTAGAAGGTTCTTTTATTTCTATAGAAAACCTAATTGTGTTCCATCTAATTTTCACAAATTCTTGCTTCTTTTATTCCAGGTTTCAAAGTCAAACACCATGTAACGTTTATGAGCGTTTCGGAAAATTGTGTCCCTCCGATCCTTTTCTTTGTTTTAGTTTTGACAATTTATTTCTACGTTAGGATGCATGTGTAATTAAATTAATACATTTCAAATGATGACAAAAAAAATAATACATTTTAAATAACGATAGAAAGGGAGCCCAATCCAAGTAAACTAAACATAATAAATCAATGAATGTACTAGCTCGTAATTTTAAAAAAAAATATCTATAGGGAAAGAATAATTTAAAAAAAAAAATAGATCCCTGAATTGGTTTAAGTTACAAGGAAATCGAAAATAAAGTGGTTTAAATCAGAGATTGGTTTGTCCGGTTACCATTTCGTTTATAGTTGAACCAGACAGAACCGAATTGGTACGGCGCCACTCGTGATTTAGGCGGGACTTGCTTCACTTCAAAAACAGAGCTTTTGATATTTGTCCGAAGATAGGATTCGTTCTCCATCTTTTTACGACGAAATCATCATTTCTTACCTGAGTTAAGATTTAAAAAAAAAAAAAAAAACAGAGTTTCCATATTATCAAATTTTGGTCTCAAACTGAGAAAAAGTCACTGTAGTTTATCAACGACCAACATAAACAAAAGGTACAAATTTGGCAGTCACAGCCTCATTAGAGAGAGAGAGAGAGAGAGAGAGAGAGAGACAGAGAGAGAGAGAGACAGAGAGAGAGAGAAATGTACTGCAAGGGTTCTATGAAAAGAGAGAGAGAGAGAAATGTACTGCAAGAGTTCTATGAAAAAGTCATTAAGGCAAAGGAAAGATTGGTGAGTTGTATCTCTACGACTCTACCATTGTATCTCTTCTTCCTGACGAATATTCTTCAAGTTCAGTTCAAATCGACCCCAAAAAGTCTTGTTCTGGCCGCTAAGCTCACGGATGCAATTCTCCTAGCCGATTCCAACGAAGCCTGCTCATTCTTGTAGTTCCAATACTCCACTAGGCGATGGTCCTGGTCAAGAGCCTCAGTGGCCTGGATACGAAGATGATAAGTTGTGTTAGAGAGAGATCATAGACCAGTTATCAAACAAAAAGACTTAGGTCGATTCAATTAGTTTAAATTTACCTGAACTATGAATGGGGTGGAGAAACCGAACATTTTTAGCCCGTCAATGCTTTCCAAAATTTGAACATTTTGTTCTTGGCTGCTGCGTTCTTTTAGCTCTTTGTTAACTCTCTCCAACACCATTTCCCAGCATTTCTGAACTGATGCATCACAGAAGGTCTCTTCTTGAGATCCTTCCAAAGTAACCTGAAACGTTATACCACAATGTAAGGCAATTTCTAAAAACATTTCAAGCGTAACACAAACCAATAAAGAGGGTTTTAGCCTTTAATTACCTTGAATAGTGGACCTATAAATCCTGCATCTACAATCTCAGAGGTGTAATAGCTTATTCTCATTGGATCTTTCACGTCATAGAACTTAACCCGACTCTTAAACCCTGTACAAATAAAGCGGCCACAAACTTAAAGCTCTCTCGACACACGTGACTTAAAATGAAATTTCTTTAGGCTAAAAAAAAAAAGGTTTCAGGGAGATGCACCTTTTGGAAATATAGCATGCTTGTTACGCCAAAGGTGTCCGGGAACCAAGACCCCGAGATTTATAGGCTGGACATGGTCAGGAAAGTTCATCATGGGTGCAGCAACAACATCACGGGTCTCTGAAGAAGCACCTTCTGGAAATATAGCATGATTGTTACGCCAAAGGTGTCCGGGAACCAAGACCCCGAGATCTATAGGCTGGACATGGTCAGGAAAGTTCATCATGGGTGCAGCAACAACATCACGGGTCTCTGAAGAAGCACCTTCCAATTGCAAGCCAAGATTCAGATCAAAAGCATCTTCTCTCTGAGTGATATCTGAAAGATCTTCGATGAGTTTAGAAGCCCATGTTATAAGATCAGCTGATTCACCTTCCAATGCTCTGAGCAGTGAACTTAACTCATCCATGGTGTAACGAAGAAGGACGAACCGATCATACCCTTCACATGAACAACGATCATTCAAGTGTTTTGTGCAAGCATATTCTCCGGGATAGCATTTGGTGCAGCAAGAGGCAGTGAGATGCAAGTCACTTCGGCAAGAGATGCATTCCACTTCAACGGATGCATCAAAATCCTTGTCCATCTTTAGCAAGTGGAAACCATTTCCAAGAGCCTGAATTCTCCCCTCTTCTATTCGCAGCCGAGCCTCCATTGCCTTAGTAAGATCACCGTTCTTCCCGCAGAAACCCTTCCATCTAAGATTATTTGCGTTTCTCTCCCCACGAGCTGAGAGTTCATAAAGGGACTTAACAGCTTCAAAAGCTGCTCCAAGGAGAAGTTTGTCATGCGACAGAGACGTTTTCCTGAGCTCTTGGCTGTATAACTCCACAGCATTCTGTCCGCAAGCCAACCAGTCAACCGGAGCAAAATTCACGGCTTCTGCACAGTTGAACCCGCAGTTGAATCCGGAGTGATATGCTCTAGGGAACGTTATAACAAAATCCCCTGATTCTTGAACCACCCGGTAAACCGGAACTCCCTCAGTGGCCAAGATGGAAGGAGAGAACTGAGTAACAAGTCCATGAAGTAGAGTAGGTTGTTCCTCAAACAGATCTGGAAGATGTTTTCTCATCGCCCTCTCTAGCGCATTTGCATGGCTTCCTGGAACTCCATACCATACTTTTGGCGAGCCAAAGTGATGATAGTTCACCGAGTATAGGTGATGGTCCTCCACATGCTGTTACAATCAAACATTTTGGTGAAATTTGAGAAACAAACAAGCTAACAAAAACGATTAGAGAGTGTGATTTTACCCAACAGAACGTAGAAAAACACATCCCAACATAGAGCCATGGCACGTTAACACCTGAGATCTCACTAGGATCATAGGCGAATAAAGAGCCAGGAAGACGCGGTAAGTTGTTCAAGTTCCAACCAGAAGCTATGTATTGACGATCCATTTCACTTTCTCCGGTTCGCATTTCCCCTCTTTTGTAAAATCCACTTCCAAGCACCTTTTTCTCCAAGTCAGCTCCATAATATACCTGCCACAGAGACATCAAATACCAAAACTGTTGAACAAAAAGAAGAACTCTGGTTTACATGGACGTATCATGTACCTCGACTTCATCTGTCGGTTTCTCAATGATCCTCCAGTACTCTCCTTCGATTTCCTTTAGGGATGGAGCCATTTCTGTATCTCCAGCTTTACCCTTGCCTTTTCTATTGAAGTAGGCGTCTTTGAAATTTCGATCATATTTCTCAAACTCCGCAAGGCTGAAATCTGAACCAGATTTGAAGCCAAACTTCTCATCCTCCCTCGAGCTGGAGGCGGAGGCTGACGTGGAGCCAGGGCCAGATAGAGGAAGAGATCTTTTTTTTGAGGGATCTCTTCCTCGTTTTCGCTTGCTTCCAGAAGCTTTCGTCTTCTTATTCATCGGTTCTCTGTTCTGAAGCAAGTCAACAACCTGAATACGGGTTGGGAACTTTGTACCCTCCCATAGACTTTTCTCTTTAACTCGACAAGGAGGAGTCCAATTCCGAGGTGGTTTGATCACACAAACCCCGTAGCGTTCTGCTCTGGGACGTATCTTTTCAATATAAGAGATTGGATCTTCAAACTCCTAAACACCAAAAATGTAAAACAGAAATGAGGAAAGACGAAAAAAAATCAACATAACCTCTGAAAACAAGGTGGAGAACAGTTACTAGGACCTCTGGTGTTGGGAAGAATGAGGGAGCTTCAGCAATGGCTGGATTCCGAGCATTAGCTGGATCCCATCTAGCAAGAACCTATCATTATGTAAAAACATAGGAATTTGTAAGCCTTTATGGACCTACATTGGACTGATCCCAAGTAAAATTTATGCCCGGAGTATCACTTTGGTCTTACCTTCCGATGGCGGGGACTATTAGGAGTTGCTTCATTTGTGTCCTTGTTCTGAAGAAACAAAAAAAAAAGCATAGGACATTAGTATGCTTGAGAAGAACCTCAAGGGAAAAAAATTGCCAGATTCATGAATCAACATTAGTAAACCAAATATGTAACGGAGTACAGCACTTAAGGCAAAAATCATGATGCAAAACCAACTTTACAGTCTCAATATTGTCAAATCAAGTATGTAAATTTAGAGTAAGATCTGTAGCAATAAGTACACCAAAATGATAACCCTATATTCGCGATAAATTCATAAATCATCCTCATAACTACTCGATTCATCGATGAGATCCGCGATAAATTGAATCGTCCTCGGAACTACGCGATTCACCGGCGAATCGTCCTCGGAACTACGCGAATAATTGTTCGTCTAATCGTCCTAAGAACTATCCGATTGAATCGATGAATCGTCGAAAAGATATAGATCAAAAGCTAACCTTTTTGGTCTGAGCAAGACGGAAATGTTCCATTGAAACAATCACTTCGTTCCACTGAAGCTGAGGGGAGCCTACTAAGAGCTGAGAAGACAAAAAAAAAAAGATGGTAGAGGAAAACAGAGGATCGGACTACCCTAACCCTAAATCCAAGTCTTAGATGATAAGACAGTGGTCAACAATCACTTAAGACTTAACATACTTATCAGAGATAAAAAATTGAAGATACTATACCAATCAAAATGACAGGTCAAAAATATCTTATCCTAATTGAGACCATAAAATAGTTTAGACAGTTAAAAAAAAATTAAAAAAACTTATCCCAAATTCGGAAATTAAATAGACCAAGTAATGTAGTTAAATTAATAATGTGGTAAATTAGTACTTAAATAAGGAAAAGCAATCTAGAACAAAAAAAACTAAGGAAAACCGAGATGAGTAAAATCATTTAAATTAGTGATAATGAGTTGCTAATAAAATGTACTTATAGATGAGTTCACCTCAAAACAATCGGTTGCGATTCAGAAATGCAAGAAACTTGTGCTGAAAGTGTCCGTCTACAAAAATTAAATTCCATGATTTATGGCACAAGTAACTCAAAAAAAAAATTTGAAAAAATGAGCTCAATATTTATAATAAAACATACAATAAAAATTGGATTTTCTTTATGTTGTTAAAAAAAAAAAAAAAAATCAGACAGAGACAGACAAAAGAAGATGAGAGAAGCAGAACTGTAGTAATAAATAGACGAGGAAGTTGGAGAACAACAACAACCGCCAAAACTAAATAAAACCGCACGCCCTGCGGTACCGTACGTATCATTCTTTTTTAATTTATGTTTTTAAGTCAATGGTACGTGATAAAAATATAACACTCGAACTTCTATGTTATTTACATTTTTGTGACATTAATTATTTTCGTCGTTCTTCTTTTGTTCTCTTACGTAGCATTCGCATCTCGGTTCGGTTATCGGTCCAGTTCAATTGAGATTCTCTGGTTCGGTTCAAGTTTTCTGGACTTTAGAAAACTAATCTGAAGTACATACGTGATTTATTTTATTTTTCACTCTGGTTCAGGTGTGTGTATACAGAAATTATCATCCACATATTCGTGTTTAATTAAACTTCTAATCTTTGAAAATTTCAGGTCTAGCTAGCCGGTTTGATTTCTCCAAATGTTTGGTTAGATTATGCTCGGTTTATTCGATATAAAAGTCAACCAGTATACCTTGTGGAGTCAGAAAATGGTTTAAGCTTCATGGTTTTTAAATGTTTTATCAAATTTGGATAAATGGATGTAATGAAATAGTCAATGTGAAAAGCAAGCGGGTCAATCAATGATCAGAGACGACCGATCATTTTGCGTTACTCCTGATCAAAAAAACCAAATTTGTGTCTGGAATTTTTTTTATTTTTTTTTAAGATGCTTCTTCACATATAGAACTTAATCAACAAAGAACTTATTTGACATGCATCAAGGGCCAATAGCTTCATTTAACATGTTTTTATGAAAAAAAATTCAGCAAAAAAAAATATATTTATGTGAGGTCTGATATCTGACAATTGAGCTTATTGCAGCTAAACATAGAAAAAAAAATATATATATATATACCAAGATAAAGAGAAGAAAAAGACAGCCCATAAAGATGGGACTTGAACCAATTCTCTATGGTTGTAAGAGACTAAAATCAGATCGATGGTGATGACGAGGTCACTGAACTAGCTGTTATTATGTCTTAAACTGGACAAGATGCTTATGAGATTTATTGTTGGTTTCATGGCTAAAACCAGTTTTTTGGACCAACCCTTGCTTCTTTTCCAAGAACTATAGTTTGGTTGTCTTGGTGACTGGAAACTGAATTCAGGACTCCTTCTAGCTCACCACAGGATGCTGCTATTAGTCCTGGATACAAATATTTGTAATTTGATTCAAATTGTTGAACATTTTTATTAAAACAAAAGTTTGGAGGTTCTGTTTGAAATTTTGACAAGAACTCTGACCTAAGATCAAAGGAGATACTTTCCCGGGTCTCGATTTGTACTCGGGATGGAATTGAGCACCGATGAAAAAAGGGTGGCTTGGAACTTCTACTATCTCCATGCGCTCGCCAGTTTCATCTTTTGCAGCGAAAGAGAGACCTGCTTTCTCAAGGCTTGCAACCATATCAGGATTCACCTGCAAGAAACTAGTTAGTGGTACCAAGAAATGTTCCAAGTTTTAAGAAACTAAAATGTGTGTTGAGACAGCCATACCTCGTATCTATGGCGATGCCTCTCATCAACAAACTCTTTGTTCCCATATCTGTATAGAAAAGCAGTTTACATAAGTAATCTGGCATTGGCAGAATGATTTGGATCAAAGAGATGGTTTCTTACAGTCTTGCAGATTTGCTGTCCTTGACATGAAAATAAGTTCTTCTCGAGCCTAATCGCATTGTGCCTCCCATATGAGTCTTGGAGCCCTCAGGCATGAATATGATACATGGATGTTTGGTTTCAGGTTCAAACTCTGTGCTATTTGCACCAGGCAAGCAGAGAAGTGATCTTGCAAACTCGATGACAGCGATCTGCATCCCAAGACAGATACCAAGGAAAGGGATATTGTTTTCTCGGGCGTATTTTGCTGCAAGAATCATCCCCTCTATTCCCCTATCACCAAACCCTCCAGGGAGAAGAACTCCATCTGCGTCCTGAAGAAGCAATATGCTATGTTTTGAATCATCAGGCTTCTCAAAGATTGCCAAAAACAAATTTAAAACAAACCTTTAATAACCTCCAAGCAGCCTCGTATGCACGTGAATCCTGCCCAAATGAGACACAAATTCTGTTTCAGAGTATTCAGGAAGAGACAAATTAGCATGAATGTAATTAACGACACTTGTTTACCTTTTTCTTGGTGGTCTTTTCTAGATCACATGATGGAACCATATCAACTACAAGCTTTTTGCGGATAGCCACAGAAGCATGGAAGAGGGCCTAAAAGATGAGCAGGGTCATTAAACCAAACAAATATTGTGTCATGAGAAAGTGATGTATAAGTTTACCTTCAAGACAGAGAGATAGGCATCTGAGAGATCTGTATATTTCCCCACAATAGCGATTCTCACCTGCAAAACATTTACTTGAGTTTCAAGAAAGAGACATCGAGACTACAAACTATATAATTCTTTGGCAGCTGAGACCCACCGGTACATTCAAATTATCGCTGATTTCGACCAGTGAAGCCCATTTTTCCAAGCAAGGTTCTTTAGCTATACGAGAAAGGTTCAGGACCTTTGAGATAGCTTCATGAGCCTTCTGATCCTATTTCAAGGGACAGCGATAAGTGTTGCATCTAATGAGTTTTGTGAAAACTTCCAAAATGATTGCGGTAGTTGAAAACTCATACCTTCAGCATCAAAGGAATGTGCCAAATGTTGTGAACATCATAGAGAGAGATGATATTCTGAATCTGAAAACAAGTGTGGAAGCTTATTAAGCCAGATTTTGTTTTGAGTAAAACAAAAATACAAGACAACATGGAAAACTAAAACAAGATGCTTCATACCGGAAGATAGCAAAGTCGAGATAGCTTTGCTTTTACACTCTCTTCAAGTACCTATCAGCAACAAAATAAAAACACAGAGTTTGTATAATATAACAAGAAGATAGACAGCAAGATGAACAAGTTAAAAACCTTTGTGCTCCGACAAGCTATGATATTAGGTGTCAATCTCAAGCCTCGTAGATCTCTAATGCTGTGCTGTGTTGGTTTTGTTTTCTGAAATAAGAGATTAAAAACAAATGAAGTTTTTCAAAGACATCATATACTTCAGTTCTGGAAATATATATACACTACCTGTTCACCAACAACACTGAGCACAGGCACGAGAGTGACATGGATCAGGCAGAAATTATCAGGCCCTACACTGTATGATAATTGGCTAAGTGCATCAGTGAAAGGCCTGGATTCATTATCTCCTGCAAACACAAACAAATTTCTCTGTTAGATATACAGAAGAAGCAAACAAAACAAAATCTAAATTCTCGGTGTTAAAATGTTACCTATAGTTCCACCTAACTCAATGATGCAAACATCAGGAGGACCTTCTTTTCCATCTACAGGAATCATTGCAACTCTTTCCACCCATTCTCGAATTGTATCAGTGATGTGAGGAACAATCTAAAAATCCATTACCAGCCAAAAACGTAAAATTCAAAGCTCATAATGACGAATCAGAAATGTTGAAACTTTCATCTACCTGAACAGTCTCTCCTAAGTAATCTCCTTTTCTCTCTTTCTCCATCACATACTGTGACAACAACAACAACAACAAAAGTACTATAGTTATCGACTTGTTGCAGATAAATACAAAGATAAACATTATGTAGTTACCTGCTGAATCTTCCCGTAAGTGATGTTGTTATCTCGAGTTAATTTGGTATCTAGAAACCTCTCGTAGTTTCCAAGATCAAGATCCACCTATTTTCCAAATACATCAAAGAAGTGTAAGTCTTTTAAATCTAAAAGGTGGAAGAACAGAGTTATGTCTGGTTTTTGTTATTTGTTTTTACCTCACTACCATCGTCCAAGACAAACACTTCACCATGTTCATAAGGAGATATGGTTCCAGCATCATAGTTCAAATAAGGATCTAGAGATAGCAAAAATGGCCTTTTATATTGATTGTTCCGTAAGCAAACACTATATACATTTTGAACTCAATAAAATTAGAAAGATACCAATTTTGATACAAGTAACGCGAAGACCACAGGACTGAAGAAGAACACCAACACTGCTTGCAGTGATTGCTTTTCCTAATCCACTCACAACACCTCCAGTTACAAGCACGTACTTCATCTTCGAGAGAGAAGCCAAACGTAGATATGAGAAAACTGAGAAGCTTTGAAACAGAGAGGATCCCTGTTTTAAGGTTAGTTTAATATTAGCGGGAATAAAAGCAAACCATTTAGGGTATATTTGTGGGCTTCGAGAGAAGGAGAGGTAGCAATATATAAGAGAAGAGAATCAGTGGGCAGTTCCCTTGGCTTTCCACCTTTTAAACCCCATAGAAGATCACAATCCTACACCTTACTTACTTAAATTTAATACTTTTTAAATACATACATTTCATTAATTTTTAATATTTTTGAGACACTAAAAACTAAACTATTTAGATTTTAGAAATATCTTTGTTTGATATTATCTAAGTATATAAATACTTTCTATGGTAACTAAGATTTTCTTAACCTATATGGTCATTTGCAATTAACCATTAGATATGTATCATTATGATGGTTGACAACATATATATTCTATAGCACTAGACCTTTATGAGAAATCTCTAACATATATAATGATGGTGGATTTGAGGAAAATGGCCTACAAGACATGTGTTTAGAAGCATTGCCTTTCTTTTATCAAATATTGCAGTATTAATTTTGTCATCTTTAAATTCAGAAATTAAAGATAGCAACATAGAAAGTTATTGGAAACTTCGAAACGTGTGGGTTAAATATAAAGACTACGATAGTAATAGAAATATCAAATGGGTCAAATCTCGTGGGCTAATTCCATAATCCTAATAATTTCATTATTTGGGTCTTAATGAGTTTATGAGTTAAATGAGTAATTGGTCAATGGGTGAGACGACATTCTTTTTGCTCTACTCATTTTCAATAATACATATTTTATGTAGAAAATGACTAAATTATTTTCTTTTAGTAAAAAGTGAAAACATAAAATATGAGAATGTCCAGACGTCAAAATTAGAAATGTGATTTTAGCGCGTAAAAATGACGGAATCGATTTGAAACAAAAATTGAAAATCATGTTTTCACACAAAACTAATGTATGTTTTCACTAAACGATCACAGTTTTCCGCAAAAAAAAATATTGAACCAACATTGCGGAATCAAATTTTCTTGCCAACTTCACGTTTCTCGCTGAAATTGCGCAATCAAATTTTTTCACAAAATATGTGAGATTGCATTTTCCAGCCAAGATTCAGAGAACACAATTCTGTCAAATTACAAATTTATTTTTTTTCCGCGCAAAATAGTGAATTACCTTAAACTACTTTTGTGGATTCTCCACCAAAGAGTCACATTTTAAATCTCGTACATTAGATTTTCTTTTCTCACGTAAATCTTTTTTTTCTCACATAGATTTTTTTTTTCACATTCATTCTTTTTTACACTGCTGAACATTTGAAACACAACATGCGCAATGGAACTGCGAAGTCTCTAATTTAGATTGGTGGTGTTCACCAAACTCATTTTGTTCCTTGAGGGGGGCTCGATAAAACACAGAGGAAAGATTCAGGCCTTCTTAGCTCTTTTAATTGAAGCTTTATTAATTGCATCAGAGATCTCTCTCCGTCTTTTCGCATTGTTCTTGTTGATCTCTCCAGTATTGTTATTGGTTTGAGCGTTTGTTCCTCCAGAACTCTTGTTAGCTGCTTTCAACGCTTCTTGCACAAACACCTTCAATCTCCACAAGGTAACATCAGTCTGTTCACAAACAGAGAAGAAACTGTTAAAACCTGAAATTCTTTTGCAAAGACCAGAGAGAAATAAGAACGATATTGGTGTGTTACCTGAACATCGATGTCAAGCTCAACTTCTGGTGCTCCAGCCGGGAAACTCGGGTTGCTCTCCGAAACCATTTTTAACGCTTTTGACAGATCCTCAGGAGAGAGTCGACCTAGAGCTGCAGAAAGTCCCTTCTTTTCTTGCGTAGACAGTTTTCTGTTCATTTCAAATCAAATGAAAATTCGATTAAGAACAGTTCATTAGAGAGTAAAATGAGTAACAGAAGAGTTTAAAAACCTGCATCTATGAACTACTGATTCACGGAGTTTCTCCAGCTGCAGATCGATCTCATATAGCTAAAGATTTGTGAAAAAAAAAACTCATCAAAACCGGAGCTACTATAATCAATAGCCTGAAACAGAGCAACAACTAAGAAAAGGTTTATTATTTTTGTATTTGCTTACTTCATTGCTTAAATCCCTAGCCATTTCCGCTTGTGCAGCCTCCAGAGTAAGCTGTTTACTCGCATACTCCTCAGCTTCTTCTTCAGCTTGTTTCTTTTCCTGTTCATACCAACACAATTATTTTAACACGCTATTACAAAAAATAGTTAATTTGGAAACTGAACAGTTTTTGGTGTACCTCTTCTACAAGTTTAGGCATTATCTGAATCCATTTCTCCTCAAATTTCTGCAACAGAGATTCAGCCATCACATAGACATCTTCTTTTGCTTCGTTATATTTCATCGCATTCTTGAAAACTAGTCTAACATCAGCATATATCTCCCGGACATTGCTATACTCCGAACCATCCATTTTCTTTTTGATCGTTCCCAAGTCCATTGGCTTCTCTATAACCTGTTAAGTGATGAACACAAGCTATCGACATCTATCAAAAACACTCATTCCAACATTTACAGAAAACACTCGATTACCATACATTTAATTTGGCCCACAAAGTAAAATAGCAAAGTTTGTATCTTTACCTTGTAATAATCATGGAGTCCAAGTCCTTTAACATCAACAGGCTCCATAAACGGCCATGCCCATTTATTTTGAGCAATCTAAGAGGTATTAGAAGATGAAAGGTTCAAATGCAGCAAACACTGAGCAAACTGTATAATTTTGGCAAGCTAAGGAAGCATTAAACGAAGTAATCCAAGATCCTAGCTTTGTATCATAAGAAGAAAAAGGGATATCTTTTCTTGCTTGCCTGACGAAACATTGTAGCAAATTGACGCATAAGTTCAGGGCTGGAAACATGTTTTGCCTTTATCTTATCTTTCCCAGCTGAGTTACATTTCGAGATATTTGGTTGAGAAATAGCAATCTTTTTCCCTCCCGAGTTACTCTTAGAAGTATTAGTTTGAGCTGCTCCATCTTTGCTAGAGTAAAAGTGTTCAACCTCCACAACTTTTTGCTCAAGCTGCCATCACATATAGCTGTAAAGGATTCGAAACTAAGAAAGTCCTGGCGTCAAGTGAAAGCAATTGATTTACCTGACTAACTCTTTCAGTAATATCATCTACGCATGTCCCAAAATCCTCAAGCTCACTTTCCCCATTTCCATCATTGAAAATGGCAAGCTCCGAATTCTCAACCTCGCAGTTTGACACAAGCACAGGTTCCTCCTAAACGGTGACAGAACAAATAAAAAAGCTTCAACACAGCACCATATGCCTTAATAGAACAAACTTATCCTATGAATTGCATCTTTCTACAGTAACTCAAACTGATAACTGAGTCTGTATAGCAATTCTAGTTACTTCAAAGTGTTCAAATTGAATAAAGTTGGAGACTTTATGGTAACCCAGAAGCTGAAAAGAACGTGATTTCTCAACAGGAAAGCTAGATTATCCAGACGGATTCAAAGCTAAGCCAAAATGTCATAAACAAAGTTTGGTATTGAATCCAAAGAAACAAAACAAAGCGAAGCTGCAACTTAATCAGGAAGTAAAAAGAAACTTATGTACCTTTACATGTACAGACATTAGAGAAGAGTAGTGACTCACGAGAAGTTTTCGAAGGATTCAGAAAGACATGTCGGAGTTAAAAGAAGAAGACGGAAGAGATGTCAGCTAACGCTTTGCTCCGGTTTAGGGTTTAGAACGAATAGGCTAAAAAAACTCTTTTTATCAATACGGGCTTCTATGTTCGGCCCATTAACCAGACATACACTCCATTTAAATACGCGGTTTAATTTCCAACTGACACCTATATTATGTTGCCATATAGTGTTGTTGCATCTTCCACTTTTAAAATTATATTATAGTAAATCTATTAATGAATGTAAATTTTACTCATTTATAAATTTAATATCATTTTTATGCTTTAACTAGAAGATGAGAGAAAAAAAAAAACAAAAAAAGGAAAATTAAATCATCGGAAATGTCATATAAAAACCACATATCCAAAATTAATATCCTGTTTACTTTAACTAGATGATCATTCTAAAAGCTTCTTAAATCATACTTTAAATCATTCTTAAAGGTATGAAATATCATGAAAATATTTTCCTAAATCATCAGTTTAAATTGCTTATGAGAAAAAAATATATATATTAACAAGGAAGTTGCAAATGGTACACCTCCACAAACAAAATGATGACCAAAAGAGCTAGACATAAAAGTTCAATTTTAATACCTTAAAAAACATTTTCCTCTCATTCTTATGCATTTCTTTTTGGATATTCTTGGCATTTGCCATGCCATTCATCTTACTATAATTAAAAACACTTAAGTTTAAAGATACTTTTAGCAATTTTTTTGATTTTTTTTTTTGGTGAAAAGCAATTTTTTTGATTGACCAACAACGAAAACATCTCTATTTTATTAATTCTCAAATCATTTTATATTAGGTTTGTCAAGATTCTCAATTCATTTTGATTATTCACACGTACCTAACACTGATAAGAAGCTTATGGTCAAAAACATGTAGAGACACTGATTTAGTTAGTATATTCAAATATATTATCCTGTTCCGTCTTCTTCAGACCGCCTCTGTATTAACATCCCAACATGTTCGTCACTACTTCTCCACGCCGCCATAGACGTGCTTTCCACTTTTTTCACTCCCCATTTCACATCTATATATATTTTGGGAGAATTCTCACCCTACCTTAAAACATTCAACCTTTTTTTTCCAACATATTTAGTATACACTGTCTTAGATTTCTGAGTTTGTTATGTCTCCTCCAGCATTGATTGTGTTTGAAGATGGTTTAGCGCACAAATGGAGCAACGACGAGTGGCAGGGTTTCAATGTATACTCAGGAGAAAACCCTAACCCTAACATTAACTTCTTGGTGAAGAAGGCGACTTTGCAGAACCCGATGACGGTCTCACGCCCATCTGTGAACGAAGAAAGCTTCAGAATGGTCTTACCTCTGGCAATGTCTCCGCCAAGAGACAATGCCGTGCCACTTCCTGTTCTTCCAGAGCCGATGATGAAACCACGCATCAAGAAGCTTAGCCACCAAGAATCCATGCTTTCTCTAAGAAAAACTAGGTATCCCGAGAAAAACTTCTACCAAGAAGAAGAAGAAGATTTCAAGTGCAATGCCTTCTGTTTATCCCTACCTGGGTTTGGGAGAAAACCTGTGAGATCACCAAAAAGCGAGGATTCTATAAAGAAGAAAATGATCAAAGCGACATCATTCTCAAATTCCACTGTCTCTCTAAGCGCCTCGCTCGAGAAATTCGAGTGTGGCTCATGGGCTTCAACGACAGCTCTAGCCCGCGAAAACGGCCGATTGTATTTTGATCTTCCGGTGGAGATGATAAAATGTGGCGGTGCAGATGTGCAAGAACCGGTGAGTTCGGGTTTCTTCTTTGACAAGGAAACAGGGAGTCTAGCTCTGAGAAGCGTTCTAAAGAAAAGCAGTTCTCTGTCGGGAAGACAGCTAGGGGGATCCGCAGAGACATCACCACAACGCCGTGTCAGATTCTCGACCACAACATCGGATTCTTGTCCGGCTTCGCCACGATCATGTATTACGCCAAGACTGTTGAAAGCTAGAGATGACTTCAATACGTTCTTAGCGGCACAGAACCCGTGAAACACAAGAAGAAAAAACAGAGCACTATGACATTACAATATATATGTTCGTATCTACGAATGATCGGTCTGTATATATCACTGGAGAGATAATGTTCATCTTCTATTTAGATCATCTCTACCCAACAAAATGGGTGAAAGACATTATGAGCCTTGGAAAAATACGCTCTATCCTTCAAAGTTCAGATTTTTACGCTCTGCTTTGTTTTCATCTGTCTTTGCACAGTTTTTTCTTGTTAAAAATGTGAAAAGTACCAAAAAAAATTCCTTCATTGGTTTTAGATTGGTACGTACACAAAATATAAAATGAACGGTAAAATACTAAACCTCGTACATTCTACAAATCCTGTTCCAACTTGATGGTAGGAAAGTGAAAGGAGGCATACGTAGATTACATTTACAAGAAGAAACCTTCAACGTCAAGGAAAACAGGTTGAGTTAGTGATTCACATATAAAAAACATAGATATGAATCTTGGACGCAGATCCAAAACGCAAACGCGTTCCAGTCAAACGTGAAAACAAAAACAGAGGAATTAGAAGAAGAAAAACGTGTTATAGGTAAAGTGAAGTGTCGTTAGCGGTTTGAACCGTTTTAGTTCATTAGTTTTAGGCTCTTGAATCGACGAAAACGCGAACAACGTCTAGAATCTTGGCACGACAAATCGGGCATTTACCGCCACTATGTTGTAGTTCGTTTGCGCATCTCATGCATGTACACATGTGTCCGCATCTGCACAAACCAAACATAATAGAAATATCAAACTGAAATTCGTGTAACGAGACCAAACTAAACAGTCTGAAATAAAAAAATTGATCTGTAATAACGTTTTCAGAGTCGCCAAAGGCTAAGTAATGGTTTACCTGTAAAGAAGTGTTTCAATTTGGGTTTCGTTACAAACGCAGCATTTGCGTTTCAGGGGATTTTCAGGGTGAACTGACTTTTGAAGTCCGGCGTTTAAGTCCAAACACGTTTTGACAGAGTCTCGTAGCTCAGACATATCTAGTTGGAGCTGTAAAATGTGTGACCTCAAATCGCTTATAATCTCCATCTCCTGAAACAGTTTTAATGAAATGTAAATGCCAATCTCGTCAAAACTGATAGCGACATTTCAACAAGAAAAATAAGAGGCTCACATTGGAATTAAGATTGTGCATAGGTGTGGAAGGTGCTGAAGATTGTGAGTAGGTGTGAATTGGTGTTGAAGTAACTCCTGTGTCCTGAGAACTCCATGATCCTGCCGGAGATGGTGCAAATATCTGCAATGATAATTGGCTCGAGTCATCTCTGTCTTCGCCTTCTTCTCCAACGTCACATTTCTCTTCTTCTCTACAAGCTTTTTCCACCCGCTGAGCTGGATGTGTCTGAACACGAGACATTATGAGCTTATCGATCTTCTCTCGCAATCCGCTCTGGAGGAATCCAGAAACTGTTCTTCTGTATGAACCATACAACCGATTTTAGGATATTTTTAAAAGTAATAAAGAAGGGTTATTGATTTGGTTTACCTCTCGAGAAGTCTGCATATATCGTCTTTGTCAGATCTAGTATTCATCACTTCCAAATACCGAGATTTCCTCAGATCTTCCCAATAAGACCGAGGCCGAGATACATCCGTAAACCAGTCATAGCTCATGTCTCCGTAATAAGACTGCTCATCCTCATACTCTTCTTGCTCTTCCCATCTGTTTTGGAACGAGGTTTCTTGTTTCGCAAGTAAATGTGTCTCTTGAGTTCCCTCCTTAGCGCTTTCAACCTTGTTCGCTTCCTCTTCCCCTGGTTCTTGATGAGTTACGCAGTTGATCGGGCTATATTTATCAGAATTTCTTTTCAAAACTTCTGCTACGATGGCTTCTTTCAGCTGAAGGTAACCCATCTTTGATTCAGTTTCCTTCTTGCACAAGATTCCTTCGTCTTTGTTGCGGTTTTGAGGGCTTAACCGCTTTGTGGAAGGAGTATCTGAGATAATACTAATTTCTCTTGGCCGCATGCTCTCTGTTTCTACGGTGGATTGTTGACCCTTTATTCGTTCGGCTTCAGCGGCGGCGTTTGATGATGTATGTTCCCGGAATTTTTCCCTGTTGCAATTTAAAGACTGAGGAGATGAGAAAAATATAAGTTCATGAACTTGTGAGCTAACATAAGCGTAGGTAAGTTCGAAGTCAAGGTTTAATAAGAAAAGAGAAGGAAATTTTTCTGGTGTTCGATAAGAAACGTAAGACTCAAGGACCGTATATATAGGCAAGGTTATTCTAAATCAAAAAAAGATAATAACAAATAAACCTAACTAATCCCTATATAGGAACGAATAAAGAAGAAAAAGAAAAAAAACTTGATAAGATCAATAAAAACCAAAACCGTGTCGTATGTGATAACACAGACATCAAATTATAATACGGGGAAACAAAAGTTAATTCTTGAGCATGCACATATATATACCTTAGATGAAGAATTTTAGAACTAGGTTGGAAGCGATTCAAATCGCCTTTTGTGCTTCCACGATGACGATCTTGAATCGCTAGACCGCGTTTGAGACTCCTTAGCCGCAACATTGACTGTGCGACCAGAAAAATTCGAGAGATAACGATTATAACAGTGGTGAAACCGTAAGGAAGTTTGTGAGCTGTTTTGTAGTACTATAAATGATGCAAGTATCAAGTATGAAGTACCTGGAGGCGACCGCGTTGAGAAAACCTAGAAACTGCGTTGCGTCCAAGAAGCGATTCCAATTCGCGGTGGCGTTCACGTTCGAGATGCACAAGCAAATCTGACAATGCTTGGCGACCTCGGATCCGCGGCGAACAAGTAACCACCGGAAAACTCCTTTTCTCCGTCGTCGCCGGCGTGTGGATGGCACCGACATTATCTCGGGCAGTTAGCTTCTGTTCGTTGCTTAACCTCCGGATCATTTCACCGACTCTGCCCCATTTGCTCTCACTGAAATCAGAAACAGAAATGAGAGTCCTAGATTCAATCTCCACCGTCCGATCAGGAGTATTCGATTCGTTCTCCGATTCAGATTCGCCGTCGATGGGTGGATCCGGGAGGTGGATTTCTTGAACGCTCGCTTCTGAGCTGCTGCTCTCTGTTGATCGACCGTTGGATCGGTTCAGCCTCGCCTCCCATATCTGCACAAGAGACGAAGCTCCTCCAAGACTGTCGGAAAAGTCGTTCCATTTCCTCGTACTTGGTTTCTCCGGCGATCCAAGACGGCTTTTGTTGTTCTTTCTCCGCTTGTTTCCGATCAAAGAATCGACTCTGTTCTGGGAACTCTCATCGGAGATCGCCTGCGGAGGTGCAGCTTTAACTTGAGCTTTCTTCTTGACAACGACGTCATTATCGCTGTGCCGTTGGTTGCGATCTCTAAGGACACATCCGAAGCTAGGTCGTAACGAGGCCATTTTGTTTTCAAAGCCAAACGACAAATTTGTCAACGATCACAAACACAAAGACCCATCTTTGATGTGGATCTTAGAGAAAGATCGAGCCAAAGAAATGAGATAGAAATCAAAAAGCTTTCTATTTCGAAAGAGAAAAAGAAAAGAGAGATGAAAAAGTTTGTTTTTGATTACTGAAGACACTAAATTATCTCGCTGTTTCAGGTAAAAAAACAGAGCAACGAGTGGTGTGTGTTAGAAACGTAACGATGAAGAAACAGTTAATTCAAGTGAAACAGTATGTTTTGTTAGAGTAGCTATATTTAGGTGTAGCGACGAAAAGTAAAAGAAAAAATGTGATTCATAGAATTGTTCTGAGTCTATCCTCTAAACTTGGAAACGTGTCGGAGAAAAAGAAAGAAAACAGAGTGTAAAAAACAGGGGAAGACAGATTCGGACCAAGAGAAAGTATGTTGAGAGTATCAAGGAAGCTTCTATTACAGAAAATGTTCACTAAAGAAGGATAAAGAATGAGTTTTTGCTAAAGGTTGTAGCAATAGATCAATTTATGAAGCGGGGGTCAATAAAGATCATTTAACTTTGATTGGTTAGTAGTCAATACTCCTAATTAGAGATGATTAATTAATGAAAATGAAGGCGTGGAGGACTAGAGGGTCCAAAAGCGGAGACTCCAAAGGAGCCGTTGGGTGAATCAGCCGTTGGCAAGTAGGGACATTTACACTTATTTTAGTTTTCTAATTAGCTTTTAAAGTTTTTTTTTTTGGTGTGTTTGGTGTGTGTCGTCTACCATTGAAATTGGGGTTGCTCTGTTTTTTTCATTTATGGATTGTTTTGATAATGGAAATAATAAAAAAGATATTAGTTTCGAGCATGAGAAGTTATAGTACAACAAGATAGCAATTAAACTGGAATTACAGTTGGACCAACTCTTTTTTATTTTAGGTGGAATTAGTTTGTTTTATTCAACTTTTTTTTGCTCCTTACTTCAAAATAATTACATATAGAGAAGTTGTGATTTAAACACAAGTGTAGACGACGATGTATAGTGTTTTTTATTGTAGAAAGAGACCGTAAGTCTGTTTAAAATGACTTTAGAAGAGTCTAAACCTACCAAAGTGATAGATAAAAATTCATAATTATTCTAAAACATATAAAATTTCGTCTCCTTGAGTTATGATAATCTACTCCATAACTCTAGCACTTGTCTCAGATCCTACATATAGTCGCACATGTTAGACAACGTGACACGACTGTAGCAACCATGCCTGTCTTTAATTTTCTTATATAAAAACTAAAAATTTATGTTGAGTTTATTTGAACGAGACATTAAAGTGCAGTAAAACATGGTTGCGATCAACAATCTTCTTGGGTTTCTCAGTACGTAATGGGTTAAAACGAGAGAGATGAGTCAAACCAACCCAATTTAGTTAAACAAAACATCGAGTTAAATTTGTTCTTACAAAATTAACGAGGGACATTATATTGTGTATTATTGCAAAAATGGTTGACGTTCTTATGCTGTTTGCTGGTTATGGCAGACCTTTCCGGAAAGTGGATTTGTGGCTGGAGAGATAATTAGTAACATGTTGTAGAGATCAGTATAGCCCGACGATAATCGAATATAGAATATCACTGTAGTCTTTTTTCGAAGAAGCGTCAGAATATATATATATAATTATCACAAGCCTGACTAAAATAATAATCTTGGATGAGTTATGTAGCTAGGTTTCTTTGTTGTTGTGGAATCTATAGCTTTTAAGCATTTATGTAAGTAAGGTATATGCCCTATACATAGTTTAGGGATGTGTGTTTCAACTTGTTCATAAGCGAGAAACTTCACAAGAGCTTCTTTAGTGAACAAAAGGATCGGATACCATTTCAATACTAATATATAGACATCTATGACTATCATAACTCTTAGCTATATGGTCACTGTATTTTGAAGTACATATGAGTGTTTGAATGGACGATAGAGGAGGACGAGTTGTACGTACGATACTAACGTTCATGAGGGGGTTTCAGTGGAAAAAAAAAAAAAAATGCTGGTCCACCTTCAGCTATATATCAACTATACATGTTAATGCATAACACCGAGTAAAGTCTCCAATTAAAAATAAATCTGATTCAACAACTTGAATGTTAGAAGGTAGAACACAATAGTCAAACAATTTAGGTTTAACATATGATTTTAAATTGGTTAAAAAATTGTGTAACTTAATACAGAATACACAGTTTTATTCTACCCCCAGTAATCTATAATATTCTGAACAAGTATTGGTTCTAAACAACTCAAAATTTGATGACAAAAAAAAAAAAAAAAGACAACTCAAAATTTTAGATTCGTATCCAAACTATAAGCAGTTAAAGCAGAGTCATGATATAAGCTGTGAGCATTTCAAGTTGTCAAAGGATTTATTCTAGTTTATACATATTCAAACTCTTTCCTTCTGTCTTTTTGTAATTGTTTTTATTTTTTACCTAATTTAGGAGAGTATATATAAAAATCGGGAAGACCAAAAAAAATCTTTTGACTAGTGACATGAAAAATGCCCAAAATAAGAACATGACATCGTTAAATCTTGTCATGGAAGAGACTCTTTGTCTTTTGTGGCTAATTATTTTCCGTAATTTAGTCTCTTTTTTTGGTTTTTTCCCTTTATCCTTTTCTTCACTCTTTTCCTTTTCTTTAGGGTTAACTAGAATTTTTAGTATAAGATGAAGAAAAACAATGTTCGTCGGCTTGTGTTTTGTCTCCGACAACTCCAAATCAATTGATGAGATTTGTCGTCGGCAGCTTTAGTTTACCTAAAACTATAGTATATACCAATGTTATAAAAAGCGCAAGGCGCCCGTTGGGCGGTGAAGTAGCGCCTAGCGACTACACGGTCTAGACGGGGATTAATCGACGACTAGGCGTTAATAACATTTTATGGTTTTCTTAATATAGAGGTTATATAATACTTATATTAGTACAATAACTATATGTTACAATAGTCTAGTGGTACCTTTGTCTTGATAAAACTATGCATTCTTAGGTTCGACGCCCAAAGCATTCAATTTTTTTTTTTTTTGGCCATTAAAATAAGAAGGGCAAAATCGTAATTTTATTTTCAAATCATCTTCTTCATCGAAACCCTAGTAGCCGCTGGTCGTCTGTGTTTTTTTAACTCAGTTTCTTTGCTATTTCTTTCACACTTTCCATCATTTCTTCATGTAATTTAACCAAAATAACACTAATCTACCATTTATCTCTAAATTTGTAACAAAAAGATGAAAATTTAAATAGTTTTCTGTTTTGACCGATTTTCTTTACCGACTACACCAAAATCGCGGCGGACCATGTCCATAAAACGTCTCTTCGGCGACTAAGCGGCCGCCGTGGCCGATTTTTAGAACACTGGTATATACTATTAGAGCAATTTTTTTTAAAAAAATACAGTAGTAATGTAAGATTGTAGTAATATTGAGGGCTTATATAAATTATATAGCGTCAGATATAAATAGAACCCCTTTGATTTGTCAGTCTCCATCAATCCTCAAAGTTCACACCACAGAGACAAAGTAAATCGTACCATCTTTGCTTTTTCTTTTGTTTTCTTTCTTTACCTCTTAACACTTTTCCACGCATTAATACACGAAAACAAAACTGCATCCACAAAACTCTCTCTATCTCTCTCTATTAGCTCTAAGTTTACAGAAGAAATATCAAAACTCATTTCTTGATATTTCATCACGAGCTCCCTGATTCTTTATAACACACCTCAAGTGACATCAACCTTTTTGTTGTTGTTGTTGTTGTTGTTGTTGTTGTTATATATAAGCTTTTTATCTTATATTGGTATATATATAACATGTGATGAGATCTCCTCACATCATCATTTCACTTGTCCTCTTCTTTTTCCTTTCTCTAATCCTGCAAACCCATCAAAGAACCATCGATGATCAAACTCACCGGGTTGGCTCCAACGTTCCACACGTCGGTTATGTGGCGGTGACTTCGCCGGAAGGAAGAAAAAGAGAGAAGTTTAGAGTACGCCGGCCGATGACGACATGGCGGAAGGGGAAGATGTTCGATGCCAGTGAACATGGAGTCCCAAGTGGTCCGAATCCCATCTCTAATAGGTAGAAATATATTTAAATACATAGAGCTTGTTGTATGAATGTTTTGCCTAGCTAGTATTCCCTAGTGTATATCTCTTCTGTTTAGCAAAAAAAAAAAAGTGTATATCTCTTTGCTTCTGAGGTTACACGTACAAAAAAAAACGACTATTATGTTGTTTGGTTATTCAAAGTTTGAGACTTCCATTTTGGCAGGTATATTTTTATTGGGAGTTAGTGAAAAAATAATTATACAATTTTTTTCTTACAAATTAAGTTCTTCGAGTATTCTTTTTCCCCAAAAAATTGTTTGATCAATTTTAGAAGTAGAACTAATGATACGCTACATTGTATTGTACTATTACTATAAAACACGGTGCCAATATAATTAAACAGAGATGATTTGACTGAGAATTAAAAAAGTTTACGTGAATAGAACAATTAATTACATTACTATTTTTTTTTTTGAGCAAACAATTACATTACTATTTTTTTCTGTTTATCTTAGAGCAACGACTTAATCAATACCTAACGTATATACGCATAATATATACGCCTAACGTACGACCGCAAACGTGTTTATTTTGGGTCTGAAATCGTGATATTTCAGACCCAAAAAAAAAAAGAGTATGTAATTTTGTCATTATATTCCTGAAGAATCCCCAATCTACCACGCAAATGTGGCGATCTGAAAATACATAACTTCGATATAATGTTCATGTCTGTCGTTGCTCTTATATTCTAGCCATTCTACTTCTATAAACACGAATATATATATATGAAATTATATAAATAATAAGCTATATAATAAAATGAATTTCCTAGAGCGAGCTAGCCATATTGAAGTTATGTATTTTCAAGAATTTCATTTTTCAAAGTAGAGCAAAATGAAAAAAAATTGACGAGAAATTTTATGTTGTTTCAGTAGAGATCTAATTGACGAGCTAGATACACGTACATATACACTTACAAATTCGAAATTAGGTTAGAACACGACGATATCGATGAGAGCTAATTGAAAAGTAAAAGAAGAGCAGAAATTAGCAAGCGCATATAAACTTGTTAATAAGAGCTAATTAAATCCCACACTTAATTTGAAGTTTATAGGCAACGAGGCATAGTAGTTATAAGGGATTGTAAAGTCAGCTTCCAGTATAGTATAGTAGAGTGTGTCGCATTTTTTTTTTTTTTCAATATATTCCAAAAGGGCATACACCTTACACTGGACCGGACGCCTACCGCATAGGCCCAAAAAGAAATACGAAAACCAGCCCAACTAGACGGCGCACACCCTTAACATACAAGGCTAAGAAAAGCCCAACTAAAGGCATGCATGCCCATATACAAGGTTCCCAACAAACCCAACACGGCACGCAGGCCTAAAAAACAGGAAAGGAAAAAGGACACAACCAAGGGGGTGACAAAAAACGAAGAAGCCACCAAGAACCAGGAGCGCACCTGCAACACACAAAAAATCCAGCAAAACGCAACGATCATTACCGAGGCTGAAACAAGGAAAACCAAGTACCCATGAGAGTAATGCCATGTCGAATGCGAGAAAGGTCCCTTGAAAGAGGATCAAGACGGGCTCTGACTATCAACTGGATCTCCTTGATGAGGTTCCCCGCAGTCCGAGAACCCCGAGAGTGAATCCTAAAGTTTCGTTCTCTCCACACCAGGTAAAGAGAAGCTTGGAAGAGGAGCTTGGTAATGAAGGATAGATGTCTTCTGGGCTGCGACGAGGTTAACCACATAAGACAATCCATAAAAGGAACCGGAGGGTGAAGAGATGCCCGGTCCATGAAGTGACGCCACACACTGGAACTGAACTCACATTGGAAGAACAAGTGATCGCGGGTTTCATCAACATTGTTGCATAAGACACAAATGGAAGGGATATTAAGACCCCAACCACGCAACCTGTCCCTAGTGTGTAAGCGGTTCCAAGAGGCAATCCAGCTGATAAAAGCATGCTTGGGAACATGATTCTTAAACCAAACTGACTTATGCCAAGTGACAGAGGAGAGAGGAGGATGCAATGCATTCCAAGTTTTTGCAGAAGAGAACATGTTTGAGGGGGCATGATTATCAACTTTCCAAAGGTAGATATCATCATGCTGGCAATCAATCATGTTCTCCGCATTTGGCATCACAGATTTCAGCAAGGAGATAATAGGATTCCGACTTCTGCTGGACGAAATCCACCAATCAGAACCACGGATACCATCCCGGACGACAGCATGGATAGGCAGACCCACCACCTGGGGTCCGCTTGGACCAGTCACCTCAATTAACGGCCCGAGACCAGTCCAGTTATCCATCCAAAAACTAGCAGTAACTCCGGAGCCTACCTCACAAACAATAAAGGGTCTAGCAAGGGCCCTTAACTTACAAAGTTTCTTCCAAATCCAACTCCCAGAAGTAGCCGGATTTAGATCCCAAAAATTCCTATGGCCAATCAAGTGAAGCCTGACCCAGGAAACCCATAGAGAACCTGCGGCAGAAAAGAGCAACCAAATGAGTTTAAGAGCCATCACCTTATTCCAATCCGACAAGCGTCTCAGCCTGAGACCTCCACTCTCTTTCGAAGAGCATACCACATCCCAAGCTATCTTAGCGCCTCTAGCCGAATCCGGAGCGCCCTTCCACAGGAAGGCATTACACATTTGTTCCAGCTTGAGAAGGCATTGATTTGGAAGAATAAACACAGAAGTCCAGAAGTTGATGGTAGAATAGATAACCGACTTTAACAACTGCAGCCTACCAGCAAAGGACAAATGCCTTGCAGTCCAAGAGGTAAAACGATTGTTGATTTTATCAATTAGCGGTTGGTAGTCATGCTTGGTCATCTTGTGAGCCGTTAAAGGAACCCCAAGGTATCTAACAGGAAAAGCACCATGAGAGACACCAAACTGAGAAGCAAGAGATCTTCCCCTCTCAAAATTGCCTCCATCAAGCAGCAGGGCAGTCTTAGCTCTATTAATGCCCAATCCTGAACCCTGCTTAAAGATATCCAAAATCTCAAGAATACCAGCAATAGAAGCTTCAGATCCATCACAGAAAATTAACACATCATCAGCAAAACTCAGATGTGTAACTAAGGGAGCCAAACAACGAGGATGGGATTGGAAGGATCCCTCAATAGCACCAAGGTCAAGCGATTTAGCAAGAATATCCATAACCAAAACAAAGAGATGGGAAGACATTGGATCCCCTTGACGGATGCCTTTCTTACCTTGGAAGAAACCAATTAACTCGCCATTGAAGGCAATACTATAAGAGGGGGTAGAGATGCAAACGCGAATCCAGCTAATGAAGGTAGGCGGCATGTCGAGAGCAATCAGAATATTGATAAGAAATTCCCAACTGACATTATCATAAGCCTTGGTCAAATCAATCTGCAGGCAGCCACGGGTACAATCACCTTCCAAGTGAAAGTTTTCCACCAACTCAGACGCTAGGAGGACATTCTCGCAAAGGAGTCTTCCCTTAATAAATCCAACCTGATTACCCTGGACTGCATTATTAATAAAGAGCTTGAGGCGTTTAGAAATTAGCCGAGTAATGACCTTATAGATGGTATTACAACAGGCCACCGGGCGAAATTGAGAGAGAAGATCAGCTCCCACTACCTTAGGGATCAAGGTGATTGCCGTAGTATTAAACTTTTTTAGGAGATGACCGGTTCTGAAGAATTCTGTGACTGCAGCGAGAAAGCTCTTTTTGATGACTGGCCAAGATTCCCAATAAAACTCAGCCGGAAAACCATCGGGACCAAGAGCCTTATTCTTGGGCATGTTAAACAGACAAAGAGTAATCTCTTCCTCAGAAGGAATGGCAGTGAGCTGAGCCGCTAGAAGGGAATCACACCTGAAAGGGTGTAACGCTTTGATTTTATTCACATCAAAAGGAGTAATATAATCATCCTCAGCCCCCAAAAGATTAGAGTAGAAGGACACAATTAACTGCTTGATCTGGTCCACATTATTCACACGCGTACCATTCTCAACTCTGAGGTACGTGATGAGATTCTTAGCATGGTTGGACAAAACAGCCCGGTGAAAGAAACGAGTGTTAGCATCCCCATCCTTAAGCCATCGGATTCTGGATTTCTGACGATAAAAAGATTCCAAGGCAATAGCGAAGAAGTCCCATTTCTTCCTAGCCATATGTTCTTCCCTGAATAAGGAGTCAGTGGGATTGGAAAGAAGGCGAAGCTGGATGTCCTCAAGAGAGGAGAGAGCATTGCTAGTCTTCTGTTGAAGATTCCCAAAACCTTCTCTGTTGAGAGACTTACACGCTCTCTTGGCCGCTTTTAAACGTTCTCCAAGAGTGAACATAGCAGAACCAACATCAATATCTTCCTCCCAAGCAGCAGTAATTCTATCAAAGAAGCTGGGGTGGGAGGATAAGAAGGAGAAGTATTTAAACGACTTTCTTGAGGCCTGGGGCTGATTTATCAGATGGACAATGCAAGGAGCATGGTCAGAATCCCCTGGCGGCTCAAAGTTAGCAATAGCACTCGGGAAGGTAGATAACCACTTCTCGTTAGCCAAGGCACGATCCAACTTTCGTAAGATGGGATTACCCTGCTGATGATTAGACCAAGTGAAGAAAACTCCCCGACTAGGAATGTCCACAAGATCATTGTCCCTAAGGCAGTTTTGGAAGTCTTCCATACCTCTAATAGGGAGAGCAGCCTGCACAACAGAATAATGATCATTGGCTTCTACAATCTGATTAAAATCTCCCACCAGAAGCCAGGGAGTTTCATTGAGAGGAGAGGAAGCAGCCATTGTAGAAATATCATCCCAAAGACCTCTTCTTTCCAACTCGGTATTGCGACCATACACAAAAACAGCAGCAAAGGAGACTGCAACGCTGGGGAGTTTGATAACACACATGATGTATTGATCCGTTCTTTTGAAAATCAGTACTGAAACTGAAGGATCCCAGACCAGCCAGATACGACCCAGATCAGAAGAGCAGTAATTATGGTCTAAACGCCAGCCAGGCAAAGTTGAAGATAAAACAGCCGCAGCATTAGACTCTGCAACCCGGGTTTCCAAAAGGCTACCAACCAAAAGCTTATTTGAAGCAATCCAGCTTCTAACTACCCGCTGACGAGAAGGACTGTTATGACCCCTAACATTCCAGCAAAATGTCGCCATACAGACACAAAAAGTTACACAAAAAGTGATGCGGACCCTTGGATCAGGTAGATTTTAGATCACCCAGGGAGGGATCCCTAAGCGAGGAGGTAGCTGGAATACAGCCGGATCGCACTTTGTTGTGCCAAATCTTTAAATGTTTTTTCCTGACCTTCCTGGTCATAGAATCCCAACAAGGAGGAGGAGAAAAGCCTGAGACAGATAGGCTCTCGGAAGAGCTGACCAGGATCTCTTTATCCAACATTACTTGGGAAGGAGCCAAAGGAGTAAGCACAGGGGGAGAGCTGGACTGAATCTTGGATGGTGACACCACCTGAATTGGGACTGGAGGAATAGAAACCACAGAAACAACAGATTCTTCCTTAGGAGGACAAGAAGAATGTTTAACGACCCACTCAGCCCTGGATGAAGGAGCACTCAAATCCCCTTCAGGCGAAACTTTGTCTTTTCCCTTCACCAACCGGGAATAAACCAAAGGAGGAGTACTAGTTGATCGCTTTTTGGACCTGGATCTTCTTCTTTTTGGCTTGGGAGGATTCACTTGGGGTTCAGACTCCATCGCACTACTTCCTCCAGCAGACTCAGCTAGAGAAATAGTCGGATGAGTAACAAGCTTAGAACCAGAAGGAATATCTTTCGAGAAGGGAAGCTTTTTCATAAGAGGCTTTGGGCATCGACTAAGCAGATGACCATACCTGCCACAGTTCAAACATTTTGGAGGCGGACGCGGGTACTCCACAGCTACACGAACTGAATTACCCTGAACATCCTGAACCACCACGGAGGCTGGGAGAGGGACATCAAGTTTAATCACAACCTTCACTTTAGTGGCTCCTATGTTGACAGGGTCAAGTCTAGACTTTTCCGTGTGTAAGGGAAGACCGATTCCACTAGCAATAACACTAATGCCTTGTAGAGAATATAATTGAGGAGGGACATTCTTTAAAATAGCCCAAGTCGGAGCTGAGTGAAGGTCCTCCAAGTTTTTTAAGCCATCTGGAGACCAAGGATAAACCGAACACGAACACGGAGCTGAGTGTGTCGCATTTAATAACGCCAGGAACAACGGAAGCATGCAGTAATAAGGGAGGAGGGAACCATACAAATATTGTAACTATTCGGGTACAATTATTATAGCTTAGTACTTGCATTGCATGGTGACTTCAATTCAAGAGGTCCCCCAACATACTGGGCACATGCATAGCGACCTCCATGCATTGATGTTGTGTCAAAGCAAAGCTATAGGTAAAACTGATGAATGGATTGGTGATGATCATGATGACTATCACTAGTACACGAGTACTCCGATGCTCATGACTATATATACTTTTTGTTAGTAATTAGGACCATTAATAATCTGCTATTATTATAGTACTAGGATTTACCCCGTGGTATACCACGGGTCCATAGTTTAATATATTTGTTTGGTTGGTCATTTTTGTATTTGGTTTATATAGTTTAGTTTTATATGTGTTTATTTCATTTAATTTTATATAGCTTTATGAATTTGTATTATAAGTAGATTCGTAGATATATGTGGTCAACCCGCGAAACAATTTTGTTATAAATAAAAAATTATATTTTAACTTAACCTGTAAAATTTTTTTATTATAGATAACCCGTAAGAAAAATATAATCATATTTATGTAAACCCAAACCCCGTTCAATCATATTTATGTACAATATTATTATATTTAAAAAAATTAGAGTTAAAATATTAATAATACTTTAATTTTTTGTAGAGTTTAAATATTTTTAATATTTTCAATATTCTATAAAAGCTTAAATTAAATATTATAATATTAGGGCATTAGTAAGAATTTTTCTAATATTTTAAAAAGAATTTAAAAATAAAAAATATTTTAAAACTTTTTAAAATTTTATTTTTCTTAAATATATAACCGGATCAAAGTGAATAATTTTTTTAATTTGGATGCGTGAGAAATCAAATTTCATGCTGATATGTAGTTGGGAGCATATTAGTCATATTTATAATGGTTTTGAACTCTTATATAAAATTTTTTACCTTATGTTGATATCAATTTAATTATATACATCCGTTTTCAAAAATTTAAATTGTAAAATGTGCGGAAAAATATTTGTATTTTTTTATAAATATATTTCATGTAATAATATAAATTAAAAACAAATAAGGTTATATAAATATATTGGAGAGAAATTCAAGTTATTAGAGAGAGATTTTAGGAAACTTTTTTGATGTAATAAATATGTGTTTCCAATTTTGTCATTTGTTTATGATTTAATTACAAAATTTACTTTTAAGTTTTGTTCTTTATTCAATTGGCAAGGGTTTGATTATGCAAATATTTCAAAATAAAAGGTTATAACCCAAAATAGATTTTAGTACAAAATGTACTTCAAAAATGTTAACGTAGATATTTGGTTTCCAATTTTGGGATTTGCTTGTGATTTAATTACAAAATTTACTTTTAAGTTTTGTTATTTATTCAAATGGCAAGAATTTAATTATGCAAATATTATAAAATAAAAAGTTATAAGGCAAAATAGATTTTAGTACAAAATGTACTTAAAAAATGTTAAGATATATCTACTATCTAGAAAGGGAAAAGGAAACACATTTGGATCTTCTTGATTTACATCATGTCGTTATTGCATGATAATAATATCTTAATTATACATACAGTAGTAGTAAAGTTATATTAAAAAAAAAACGCGTTTCATGTAAGAATTCAAATATCCAAAAAGGCAAAAACGGGAAAAGAGAAAAAGAAAACCAGAAACGGCATGGTTTTGCGTGTAAAGGAGAGACAGATCTGGCATCCAAAGTTGCTTCCATTGCATTGGACCATCATCTTCTTACTTACTTATACATGCCTCTCAAATACTCTTTATCCACTTTAACTCTAATTTATATAGTATTCCTTAAAATCATCGATTTTATATATACATGTAATGTAGTCAAGTTTCAGCTTTTTAGCTTTAAGGAAAATAACCCTTCCTAACATGCGTTTTTTTTTACCTTTTCTTCGAGCTCCATTTTGGTTAAAACAAAAAAGCAAAAGATTTTGGTACCAAAAAAAACACTTTTTATTTTCTTCAAATACACATTTTATTTTCTTCAAATATGTTTCATAAGAAAGAGTTTAACGCCATGAAAGCCCAGTTTGCTTATAACTCTATTGGGCCAATTAAAATATGCACTAAGCCACTAAAATCCCTAAACCAGAAACAAACCAAACCGTTGACAAAAAAAAAAAAGAAACAAACCAAACCGGGAAGATGCAAACCGAATTTTTTAAAACCAAAATCAGACGACTTAACCGTTTCCAAAGTGTGGAAATCAGAACAGAAGCACCGGTTCAAGTGCGGACTCCTCCTTTGTACTTTGTTCTCTCTCTCTCTTCCACGGTAAAAAACAAAGCTTTTTCGCTTTGCATCGCTGGATGTAGAGAAAAAGCTCTCTAATTTTGACATCTCTTTCAATTGATCTTAGCTCTCAGGTGGTTGCTTGCTGAATCTGTAAGCTCTATTACATTGTCCAATTGATAGTGTACAACTGTATTTGCTACTTGTGGAATTGTTCCGAGATTATTAATTTTTATGATGATGATGATGATGATGATTTATGAGTATTGGTCTTAGAATCTGCTCATCTTCACTCTAAACTTGTGAATTTCTTTTGGGTTGTAGCTCAGAATGTGTGCATAGCAGGTTAGGTGGTTCTTAGTCTCGATAATAATGTGTGCTTTTCATCGATTTGATAATTTATAAGCAGTTGTATCTTCGTCCTCAATACTATTTTCAAGTGAATGATCAATATGTGAGAAGAAAATTGAGGATTAGTTCTATTTCTATTCCCACACAGTGTTAAGTTAAGTCCTTTTAGTGCTTTAAGCCAAGTGGGCATTTCTATACAATTCACTGTCTCTTTGCTTAGCTTTTGTGTTGTTTGCCAGTATGCAATGTTCTTGTTCGACCTGAATCATTTTTAAGTTTTACATTATAAGATTTGAAATAGTTGGTTGCTTTTTGCAAGTGATGCTGCTCTTCTTGTAAGTTGGTCAGGTAGTTGTAATTGGTGCAGGAAGTATTCTTAAACTTTCAAGTTTTATTCGGAAATGTCACCTGAAACTTTCATTGCTCATTGCATGATTTGTCTTACAAGGCTTGAGTCCCTGAGTAATTGGTTGCAACATGGCCAGCTTAAAGCTGATAAATTTATTATTGTTGGTATATGGGCAGGTACATTATCTTGCAAAGGTACTTCTTAGCACCTTATTCTCAGTTCACTACAACATTTTGCTATTAATGTCTTTTGGACACTTTTTGGGAAGTGGTTTCCCACAGAGTAACTCATTTCCAGTGTAAATGGACGGATCTTGAAACTTGAGAAGCTTAGGTATGCTCCCCTCCAGTTTATTGAACGAAAGATTCAGCTTTTGCAGAGAAGATATTGCTGCTAAGCTCTGAGGAATGGCTCCAGAAAACTTGTTTCTTGATAGATCAAGCGCCTCCAAGCGACTCAGTTCTGAAATTTTCTCGGGAATGCTTCCTGCCATGGAGTTTCTGGATAAATTAAGGATTCGAAGATACGAGAGGCCTAAAATTTCTCCTGGGATCCTTCCACTTATGTTGTTTCCTGAAAGGTTTATGCTATTGACTATGTCTTGGTATTCACGAGCTCTTGTCACAATGAAGACTAGATTCTCGAACACCTCATTGTTTGTACCTCGAGCAATAGCTGTGAGATTGCTGATGCATTTTGGAATTGGGCCCGAGATCTTGTTTCCGGAGAGATCCAGAATGCGTAGATTAGGAACGCTGCAGAGTTCATCTGGGATTGGACCAGTGAAGGAGTTACTTTGCAGACGAAGCATGAACAGAGAAGACAACTTTCCTACCCATGAAGGAAGCTTCCCGGTCAGCTTGTTTCCTCCAAGATCAATGCTCGTAAGGCCAGAGCAATTCTGAAGACTCTCTGGGATTTTACCTTCCAATGCATTTTGGTTCAGAAGCAAGACACTGAGAGAAGGTAACAGACTTAAAGCCGCTGGTATTTCGCCTGATAAGTTATTCTCAGAAGCATCAATTCCCCAAAGCATGAACTGCCGGTGCCAACAATTTGGAAAACTACCAGAGAAATGGTTCTTCCTTAGAGACAGAATCTGCAGCCCGGAGATATCACATAGAGATGATGGGATTTTGCCGGTGAAGCTATTATGAAAGAGGTAGATTTTTTGAATTCCTGGCATCAAGACATCAATGTTCTGAGGAAGAGAACCTGAGAAGTTGTTCTCGTAAAGACGAAGCTCCGTTGCGTTTGTTGACCAGAGAGGAAAAGGGCCTTCAAAGTTGTTGGAGCTCAAATCAATGGTGTTTAACTTTGGGAACGCAAGATTTTGAGGTAATCTACCTTTGATTCTGTTGTTTGCTAAAACCAGGTAAGTTACCTCAGAAGAGATTCCTGAAAACCAGCTATCAGGTATTGTGTCTTCGATTCCAGTGTTTCTGAGTGTGATGAAGTTGAGCTTGGTCTGTACTTGAAGCCACATTGAAAACAAACCGATCTGGCAGTTCTCGATTTGGATTGACTCCAGTCTGAAAGGAGGAACCCAAGTAGATGGTAACTTGAAGATAAGAGATCTGTATGGTTCAGTTGTGAGACGAATGGTTTTCAAGCTTTTGAGATTCACGAAATGAGACTTTAGTAGAACACCTTCCCATGTATTTGCCATCAAATTTAAATCCACAAGCTCTGCAAGCTTCCCCAAGCTTTCTGGGATTGACCCGTTCATGGCATTGTATGAAAGATCAAGTTTCTTCAGTGACGCCATGTTTCCTATAGAGGAAGGGATCGAACCCGTGAAGGAATTTGATGAAAGATCCAGAATCTGCAGATTCCTCAACGTTCCAAGCGACTCGGGCAATGTCCCAACTAACTTGTTGGAACTGAGATCGAGAAATTCCAAGCTGTTGCCTTTTCTTCTGGAGTAGGCGTCTAAGAAACCATTAATTTGACCATTGAGTTCGTTTGCAGAAAGGTCAAGAAACTTCAGTCGAGAAAGGTCTCCAAGAACCGATGGAATCTCTCCCTGGAGGGCCAGATTATTCGACAGATCAAGTGTCTCTAGAAGCTTCAAGTTCTTGAACCCGGTAGGAATTGAACCCTCAAGAAAACACCACCTGAGGGATAGCTTTCTGAGGTTGGTGAGACCAAATAGCCAGCTGGGTATTGGCGAATTGAGAGAGGTTTCAGACAAATCAAGAACTTCAAGGTGCTTCAGACTTGCAGAGGAGGACAACAAGAGAGGTAATTTCTTGATCTCACAATTGAACAAGCGCAACTCTTTTAGCGTCGTGACTCTGCTGAAATTCTCTAACCAGGTTTCACCGGCGCTGCTCAGATTCACATACCCCATGTTGAGGTACTTCAGAGAAGAAGACAGACCCGAAATCCACCCGAGGTTGCTTGCGCGTAGAGAAAACGTACCAGAGTCACCAAATGACTCAGCGTTCAGATCAAGGGACTCCAGCTTCGACAAATTCTCAAGATTAGCAGGAATTTCGCCGGAAAACGAGGAGGAAGAAAGATTCAGGTACCTTAGGGTAACGATTTGGCCGAGAAATCCGGGGATCTCCAGTCCACCAAAATCGTTTGAACTCAAGTCCAGATAGCTCAAGAACTTGAGACTGGTCAAAGACGGATGTAACTTCCCTCGCAAGCAACTTCTTTTGTACTCATCGGAGCGAACGTCTTGAACTGGGTTTCTAAGATCAATCTTGACAACGCGGCTGGTCCGGGTATCGCAGAGAACACCAGGCCAGTTGCAGCAATCAGGTCCGGACCAAGAAAAGAGTCGACCCGAAAGATCAGTGAGTAATGCTTTGAAGGTGAGAAGAGCTTGTCGCTCGGTGGATATGCATTTAGGATTAGCTGCAGCTCCGAAACCAGAGTCTTTGAGAAGTAAAATGAGAACAAGAGAGAATATGATGAAGAAGCTAGGCCTTAGCCGGAGATTAATAAGCTTGAGGTCCATACTTCAAACTCTGTTTGTTTTGTTTCTTTTGTCAAACGTTTCAATATATACATGTTCAAACGCAGACATATTAGACCAGCATTATATGTATACTACATTACAAACACGGTTTATATCAAAGCAAATATTTAACTATGAATATGAAAACGTGTTATATTTGGCTGGTGCGCATCGAAGTTAGTGCAAATAGATATTTAAGCATTATTCACTCACATGGCTCGTGTGTGGGTTGTATTTGTCTATTTGAGGCACTCGTTATATTTAATTTTTGTTTTTATATTTTTCACCGACCACTCGCTTATTGCAAAAAGATTTATTTAAAAAAAAAGGGATTTTGTCTAATAATCTCAGCAAAGCTTATTTCCCTAGAAAATGGGCTTCTTAGGCCCATTACAATATGTATTGAAACGTTCTGGTCCATTTGGGTGTTAATAAGCACGAATAATTTTATTATTTAAATTTGCCTCGTTAATGATTGTTTACAGAACAATAATCATCAGAAAACATTCGAAACAGTAGTTGCAGAGTCATGGTAGCTCCGCTGAGTCTGCCCAACTCGTCGTCTCTTCCTTAAACATTAGGGTCAGCTCAACTTTCTCGGGAAAGAAGAGACTCCGCAATTTGTGTTTTTTTTTTCTCGAGAAGAATGTCTCTGAGCAAAAAAGTAGCTGTGTTGGCTATGATTCTAGCGTTGACCATTGTGGTAGTCAACGGGGTTTCAGCAAGGTTCTTCGTGGAGAAGAGAAGCTTGACGGTACTTAACTCATGGAAAATGGGAGGTAAGCATGACGCAGCCATCGCAAACTTTGGTCTCCCGAGCTACGGTGGTTTCGTGATCGGCTCCGTCGTCTATGCTGGCCAAGATGCTTACGGATGCGACTCTTTCAACGAAGCCTTCAATCGCAAGTCTCCTTATCCCAAAATTCTCCTCATTGATCGTGGAGGTACAATTCTAGAGTTCATGGTGACAATTTCTTGTTCATGATTGACATATGAGACTTGTTGGTATGTTGGTATACAAAGAAAGTTCTGTAATTGACGACATTTGAGATTTGGTTTATATGCTCTTTGATGCTTTTTGGCATTTTTGCTTTGATAAGTTAGTAAAAGTTTAAGCAATTTTGACTGTTTCATCAACAATCTGATTGAAAGTTTGAAACTTTTTGTTTTTGTTGACATTGTGATTGAAGTTTGAAACTGTTGTGATAGATTTGAGAGTTTATGAATCCGACTCTACTCTCGTTTTTGTTTCTAGTGTGTGACTTTGCTTTGAAGATATGGAATGGGCAAAAATCCGGTGCAGCTGCTGTTCTTTTAGCAGATAACATTGTTGAGTCATTGATAGCCATGGATTCATCACCTCAAGATGAAGATCCTGACTTTATAGACAAAATCAACATCCCATCAGCTTTGATCCTTCACTCTCTCGGAGATAATCTCAAGAAAACTCTTAAAAGAGGTGAGGAGGTTATCTTGAAGATAGACTGGAGTGAGTCAATACCAAACCCTGACGAAAGAGTTGAGTATGAGCTATGGGCGAATACTAATGATGCATGTGGTCTACACTGCGATAAACAGATAGATTTCATAAAGACCTTTAAGGGAACAGCTCAAATTCTCGAAAAAGGCGGTTATACTTTGTTCAGACCTCATTACATTGCCTGGTTCTGTCCCAAAGATCTTCTACTTAGCAAGCAATGTAAGACTCAGTGTATAAACCAAGGGAGGTATTGCGCTCCTGACCCTAAGCAAGAATCTGAAGATGGATATAATGGGAGAGACGTCGTTTACGAGAATCTGAGACAGTTATGTGTTCATAGAGTAGCCAAGGAAAAGAATAATTCTTGGATCTGGTGGGATTATGTGACAGATTTTAACATCAGGTGTTCTATGAAGGAGAAGAAATACAGCAAAGAATGCGCAGAAACTGTCGTGGGATCTCTCGGTAATGAATGCCTTTTGATGTCCTGAGAGATATCACAATCTGCTTGCACCTCTTTCTTTAACAGTTTCAGTGTCTTTTCTCAGGGTTGTCTCTTGAGAAGATCGAGAGATGCATTGGTGATCCTGATGCTGATGTAGAAAATGAAGTTCTAAAAGCCGAGCAAGCTTTTCAGGTTCGCGGTCTCTTCAAATTCACTGAGATGTTTATTCTACTCTTTTCATCACATTTCAAATACAGTTAGGCCAAGAGAATCGCGGGGTTGTCACAATGTTTCCATCATTGATCATCAACAATGCTCAATATCGTGGTGAGCAGCTCTTCCTTCTAACTGACCATAACAAAGTTTGAAGATTATACAAACTTAATCTGTTCCATGATCAGGTAAACTGGAGAGAACCGCAGTGCTTAAGGCTATATGTTCAGGATTCAAGGAAAGAACTGAACCTTCAATATGTCTAAATACAGGTCAAGTCATTTTTTCGAGTAAAGAGAGTCGTATTCTGTGACAACATACTAAATATTTCTTTTTGATATTATCCTAAACAGAGATAGAGACCAATGAATGTCTTGAAGCAAATGGTGGATGTTGGCAAGAAAAAATATCCAATATAACAGCTTGCAAGGTATATTTTGATAACGAGCCATATACAAATATGTTATCGTTCTATAGACGATACCATCTCCTTTATAGATTACATGAATCTTATTAGGACACATATAGGGGAAGAGTATGTGAGTGCCCTGTTGTCAATGGTGTTCAATATAAAGGAGATGGTTATACTTCCTGCAAGCGTATGTTTTTGAAACTTCGTTTTTTTTGGATTTTCTCTCAGTGTACACTTTTGTTCAGTGGTCATATAAATTTCTCTTTATCTTGTTCTTGGTTCAGCTTATGGACCTGCAAGATGTTCAATGAACGATGGAGGCTGCTGGTCTGAAACTAGAAAGGGTCTAACTTTCTCTGCTTGTTTGGTTAAGTGACTGATGCTTTTTCTTCCTCTTTGCTAAAGTTTGAATTTTTTTTTCTGACTTTCTATATATTTGATATAGAACTTGGAAACATCAGGATGTCGTTGCCCTCTAGGCTTCCGTGGAGATGGTCTGAAATGTGAAGGTGAATATTTTCTTGAATATATATTTGTCATAGTAAAATCTAGTTTCTTTGACATTTTCTCTCACCGATCAATATTGTTTCATGACTAGACATTGATGAATGCAAAGAGAAATCAGCTTGTCAATGTGATGACTGCAAATGCAAGAACATTTGGGGAGGATATGAATGCAAATGTTCTAATAGTAGTCTCTATATGAAAGAAGAAGACACTTGTATTGGTATGTTGGATGTAAACATTTTTTCAGATATCACTAGGACAAATCCAAGTGTTTACATTTGCTACGGCTTGTGCAGAAAAAATAAGTGGAACAAGAAGCAGATGGTTGTTCACAGTTGTAGTTCTAATTGCCATTGCAAGCATCTCTTTAGGTGCTTATACATTCTACAAGTACCATCTTCAGGTAATGTCACTATTGCCACTTAAGAGTTCTCTTATGCATTATCATTCATCAAACTCTAACTAAGCTTTCTATCTTTATCAAAACAACAATGCAGTCATACATGGATTCAGAGATCCAGTCTATTTTGTCTCAGTACATACCACTCGATAGCCACAACATTAACCAAGGCGACAAGTAAATAAGAACAGTTGTTCAATCTTTCGTTGTAATTTAGAGGTCTTTTTTTTGTTTTTTTCTGTAAAGAATAAAAATTTTGAAAATGTTTTAAGAACTAAAATGTTGCTTTCATTGAGAGTTGAACTCAAGACCTCCCGCTTACTAAACGGGTGCTCTAACCAACTGAGCTATGAAAGCTTTTGGTAGGTTGCACCATACATTATTATTATTTCGAAAGAACAGTCGATGCAATGAAATTCAAATCTTAGTTTCCGAATTCTGGGTTTTGACCCTAGAACCCAAAAATTCGTATGAGTTTTTGATCTAGCTTTTGCACAGAAAGGTTCATCGTCATCGTCCTGGTAAGTCTTTGTCTTATTATGTTTCTGAGTGATTTGATGCTACTTTAATACCCACCCCACTTGCGTTGTACATTTTTGATCGATGTACCTTTGTGCTAGTAAGTTGTGAGATTGGAATATGAAATGATTGGAGATAATTGAGCAACTGATTTCAAATTGGCAATTTCGATTCCATATCTATTGCTTATGTGATTATTTTGATTTGAGAGGGAAGAAGGATAAAATTAAAAGCGTATACCTCGGGTTAGGTTGCAGAGGATTTTGAAACTGCTTGGTTTTGAACTCTTTAGAAGGACGAGTATGGACTCAAAGGTTGTAATCTATATCGGTTCTGGATCAAGTGAAAAGCTTTTCTTTATGTATATTCGCAGCAGATTCAAACTTTACTGTTGCAGATTACAGAGATACCAGAACGAAGCAGTTCATGAAGAAAGCTAGTAAGCAGAATAACATTAGAGTGGAAGGAAGATACCTTTTGGAGGCATAAAAAAAAAAAAAAGAGGTTACATTTCTTCAGTATTTCCATAAGATCCTGGCACGATTTGCTGATGAGCCATATCGAAGGTTGCATGAAGACCAAGCAACAAATAGTATAGCAACATGGCTAAGGTGCAAAGCCCAAACCTTATGAAAGCCTCAGCTCCCAAAGATCCCATGAGAAAGATGTTTGTTGCGATTGATAAGCATGGGAGCCACGGGACTAATGGTACCCCCCACACTTTCGGTGTTCTTTGCTGAGGAACAAAGAATACTATCCCCAATGTCCCCAAGAACCAGAAAGGAACGGTTATTGTATATCCTATCCACGATCCCTTGATCCCCATTCCCCAGTAAGCCGAAGTGCCCATTGAAGAAGCAACAACAAATAAGAGACAGATGATAAGCTTAAGAAGATCAACTCTTGGAGTAACTTCTCTCACGTAGTATCTCCTCACGAGTAGTGCTATAGGCATCATTGTGAAGATGAAGAGAGTACTTATCGATAAGAGGCTTGCCAAAACATCTAAACCCGAAAATAAAGCGATGATAGCACTTGGAATTGCTACTAGGAGGTTTGCGTTTATTGGTGTTCCGGTTTTGGGATGGACAAGGGCAAATATAGGTGGAATCATGTGGGTACGTGCAATGTGAGTAACGTATCGCGCTTGTCCCAGTGCTCCTACTAAAAGAACTGTTGTCATTCCTTTGAGAGCCCCAAGTGCCACCAGGTACTTTCCCCATTTCATTCCAACGCTCTGAAATGCTACCGAGTAAGCTGCGTTTGGATCTATATCTGTGTACTTCTGCATCATACTCAAGGATAGTGCCATCAAGCAGTATATCACTGTTATTATCGACATTGAACCAAGTAACCCAATTGGTATGTCTCTTGATGGATTCTTGGTTTCTTCAGCCATTGTTGCTATGTTATCAAATCCTCCATATGCAAAGTACACAACTGCAGCTGCTCGAAACACTCCCTCAGGTCCGTAAGGAAAGAATGGAGTCAGATTAGATGTGTCAGCGTGGATAAAACCCGCAATTATAACAAAAAATATCACTAAAGTGTTGATAGCAGAAGCTATCCAGTTGAGCAATGAAGTCTTTCGGGTGCTGATCGATGCGATTGTAGCTGAAGCGGCTACAACCACAACAGCTATTGGGTCCAAGAGATTAAAACCAGAACTGAGATCTGTTTTGATCCGTAGAGCGTTGGGTTTGCGATTCAGAAGAGTGGAAAAATATGAAGTCCAGGCTCTAGCAACAGCTGCAGTCCCAACTATACTCTCAAGAAGTATATTTCCTGCGGTGATGAACGCCGCAAAATCCCCAAGCTCAATCCTTAAATAGGCGAAGGAACCACCAGCTACGGGGATTTCTACGGCGAATTCCGTGTAGCAGAAGACAGAGAGCATAGCAGAAATTCCTGAAACAACATAAGACAACACAATAGCAGGTCCTGCTTGTTCATGAGCTTCTTGACCTGTCAAAACAAAGATTCCAGCTCCAATCACTGACCCGAACCCAAACCAGACTAAATCCCACCATGTGAGACACCGTTTCATCTCGTGCTCGCTCTGTTTCTTAAGCTCGAACCGCTCATTCTCATCATCAGACCTACTAACCAACCTGTTCTTGAACCTGGAACATGTCTGCGACAGAGCAGCTCTGTAACTACCAAAGGTCTGGAAAGATTCCTCAGGGAAAAAATCTCTCTTGCTACATCTCCAGTACCCTCTCTCTTCACCATCCATTTTCTCTTGCTTCAAAGACTTTGTTAGTTAAAGAGAGCTTAAAGTATCATCTTGTTCCATTGTCTGACTAGTAGTAGACGTTTCAGACAGTTCTTTGTATTGTAGCCTCCCTTTTCTTCCAATAACGAAACTTTCCTCAACTTGTGTACTGTGTCCATTCAATTAATCTCCCCCACTTGTTGGCTTTGCTTTCGTCATCTACATCACTCTCATTGTCTTTACTCTACTGTTTGGTTTATTCAACCATGAAAATACATATTTCAGTGCTTTTACACTTAGGGGACTGTAAAATGATGAATTTGCAAACTAGACCTTGACGTTTTTAGAAAGAAGCACATTTAATCCTTAGTTTCTCAATTCGTCGCCAATTGACTTCAGTTTATATTAGAACTCAGGGTTTTAGATTCTCTCGTGAAATCGAATTTGATCAGTGAAGGAGGAGGAGGAGGTATGGGTGCTCAGAAGAAAGGCGGCGGCGCTAAGGTTTCAGAGGATGCAGAGGAACAGAGTCGTCAACGGTTGCAAGCAATTCTTCTCGCCGATAGCTTCGCCACAAAATTCCGGCCCGTAACCCTAGAACGCCCAAAGGTACTGTTACCGATAGTAAATGTTCCGATGATTGATTATACATTGGCGTGGCTCGAATATGCTGGGATAGAGGAGGTTTTCGTGTTCTGCTGTGCTCATTCGGTGCAGGTTATCGAATATCTGGAGAAATCTGAGTGGTACTCGCACCCAAACTTGGTTGTGAGAACGATTGAGTCTCACAAATCTATCAGTGCTGGAGATGCTTTGCGTTACATGTATGAACAACAGACTGAGACGTCTCAGATTCAAGGTGATTTTGTTCTTGTTAGTGGAGATACTGTCAGTAATATGCCACTTGCTGATTTGATTCAAGAACACAGAGAGAGGAAGAAGAAAGATGAGAAAGCTATCATGACTATGGTTATTAAGCAGTCTAAATCTTCTTCACTCACACATCAGTCAAGATTAGGAACGGATCAGCTTTTCATTGCTGTAGATCCTTTGACAAAGCAGCTTCTTCATTACGAGGAGGATAAGATTGATCATCCAAGAGGCTCAATTTGCTTAGATAAGTCATTGTTGGATAGTAATCCCTCTGTTTTAGTGTGCAATGATATGCAGGATTGCTACATTGACATATGTTCCCCTGAGGTGCTTAGTCTCTTTGAGGATAACTTTGATTATCAACATCTCCGTCGTCATTTTGTCAAAGGTGTGCTTGTTGATGATATTATGGGTTACAAGATCTTCACTCATGAGATTCATTCAAGCTATGCTGCTAGTATTGATAATTTTCGGAGCTATGACACGGTTAGTAAGGATATAATCCAGAGGTGGACATATCCTTATGTACCAGATATAAATTTCAGTGGGAACCGCCCTCTAAAGCTCGGGAGACAAGGGATATACCGGGCTTCTGATGCAGTTCAATCACGATCTGCTGATGTTGGAGCTTCTACTGTCATTGGCTATGGCACGAAAATTGGTGATGGGGATAAAATCTTGAACTCGGTTATTGGGAATGGATGTTCTATTGGATCAAATGTCGTGATAGAAGGCTCATATATATGGAACAATGTTACGATTGAAGATGGGTGTGAGATAAGGAACGCTATTGTCTGTGATGGGGTGAAAATTAGAGCAGGAGCTGTTCTGCATCCTGGTGTTGTTTTGTCTTTTAATGTTGTAGTTGGGCGGGACTTTGTTGTGCCTGCATACTCAAAGGTTTCCCTACTTCAACAACCAACGACAGAAGACAGCGATGAAGAGCTGGAATATGCTGATAGTAGTAGCGGGACTGCAGATCATATGTCAGGCCTAAATTTGCAAATGGAGCCCAAAGCATCTGAGCTTGGTCCTGATGGAGCAGGGTACATATGGGAAGTATGTGAGGGGGCTCATGATGAGGAGTGGAAGCATTCAGTTGCACCAATCCCCAAGGATAAACTTTCTGAGTTTACTCAGGCCATAGACGATGATGACACTGATGATGAAAGTGTTATCCCGGCTTCTGGAGAGTTGAAATCTGATGCTGATAGTATTAACACTGATATGAATGATCCCAATGACGACTATTATTACTTTGAGAAAGAGGTTGAAGGTACCGTCTTAAGGGCAGTGGAAGAGAACATCAAAGTGGACCTTGTAACTCTGGAGATTAACGGGCTCCGGTTGTCGTACAACATGGAATCTGCAGATTGTGCTGGAGCAACATTCTACTCTATGATGAAACTGGCAGTTGATACTCCACATAGCTCTGCTAGTGAGTTGTATAAAACTGCGACGAGTATCATTTCAAAATGGAAGGAGCTTCTTGGGTTCTATGTAAAGAAAATTGATGAACAGATAGAAGTGATTATGAAATTCGAAGAGATGTGTCAGGATTCTCCCAAAGAGTTGGGCCCTTTGTTTACACAAATACTGCATCTTCTATATGACAAAGACGTGTTGCAAGAAGATGCGATTTTGAGATGGGCGGAAGAGAAGGCAGGCGCGGATGAAGTTGACAAAGTATATCTGAAGCAATGTGAGACATTCATACAGTGGCTCAAAGAAGCATCTGAGGAGGAAGATGAAGATGATGAAGATGAAGAAGAAGATGACTGAATTGGTAAAGCTGAGTTCGATGGCTCTCAAATGGAATTTCATTTTGCAGTTGATGGCCTCACATTTTGATTGATCATTTACTTTTAAGAGATACTCTCTTTTTCTGTCATCATCAATAATCTTTTTTTCCATGTCTCTATGTCTCTATGTTACTTAATGAGATGTTTTGTTATCCATCGAGTTTGCACATGTATGCGTTTGACATGTATTTTGATAAAATCTCTTGTTTAGATATCTTTTCTCCATTTGCAAGAAGAAATGTGTGTTATTTTTTTCCAATTACTCCCTCTACTTTTTCTTATTACAAGTATTAGCATCATAATTAATTCCCCTGTTCCAGCGACGCGTTCACTTCCTCCTGATTCGATCTCTCTCTTAGACGAACCGGCTTGATCGAGGTTACGTAAGAGCCCTAATTTTGGATCCGAGAATCCAGAACCTTCCAAAATGGAGAAGAATCTCGCTGGAGACTCAATTCCGAGACCCAAATGGAGAAAAGTAGCCTACGGAGGGATGCAAATCGGATACGACGACAACTACACCGACGAATCGTTCCTGGAGGAAATGGTGATGAACGCAAACGTGGTGAGGCGTGATTTGCTCAAGGTGATGAAAGACTCTGTCTCCATCTCTCAATACATCTGCATCGTTGCGCTTGTCGTCTTGGTTTGGGTTCACACTCTTGAATCGTCATTGGACGAGAACTCGCTTTTGCTACTTGATCTCTCACTCTTAGCATCTGGGTTCTTAATTCTCCTCTTAACCGAAGAAAAGATGTTGTCTTTGAGTCTCCTCTTGCGTTATATAGTAAACATCTCTTTCTTCACCACGGGGCTTTACATCTTAGCTCCGATTTACCAGACGCTCACGCGATCGATCAGCTCAGATTCGATATGGGCAGTCACAGTTTCACTCCTCTTGCTTCACCTCTTCTTGCATGATTACTCTGGTTCCACCATTAGAGCTCCGGGAGCATTCAACACTCCGAATTTAACAAGTTGCATATCTGTCAATGCTTCAATCGTTGCTTCAGTCTTTGTTGCTTCACGTCTTCCCTCTAGGCTCCATGTCTTTGCTGTGATGCTTTTCTCACTCCAAGTCTTCCTCTTTGCTCCTCTCGTTACCTACTGTATCAAGAAATTCTCGTTTGGGTTGCATCTTCTCTTCTCCTTTGCTCTCATGGGTTTGACGCTTTACTCTATTTATGCTCTGCATAGACTCTTCTTCCTTGTCTTTCTTCTTCTCGTGCTTCTTGTCAATGTTGTGTGTCCTTATTGGCTCATCAGGATGCAAGAGTACAAGTTTGAGATTAATGGTCCTTGGGATGAAGCCAAGCTTTGCTTCGACATTACAGATTGATTCATACTCTTTTGATATTTTATTAGACTTGCCTCTCTTATTTATTTGAGTCTATAGTTAAGTCTAGTCTGGTGTTGTATTGTACTTCTACGGCTCTACCTCGGTAAAGATTTGGATTGGTAAAGTATAGATAACAGTTTCAGTATATGCTAAGTATCATAGTCAAATTGTCAACAAAGTCAGGATGGCCGAGTGGTCTAAGGCGCCAGACTCAAGTTCTGGTCTTCGAGAGAGGGCGTGGGTTCAAATCCCACTTCTGACATTTATAAATATATTATGCTCTATTTATTTTTTCTTGAAACTGGTTATGGTTCAAAACGCAAAACATATGTTCGACAAGAACACACGCCAAATAGAAAATTGCATTACACATTTACACTCTATCATCCGGCTGAAATGGCCGTTCTCCGGAATCAATCGGTAAGTTCTTGGACGGGGACACCGCATCTTTGCCACCGGAGGAGGACCATGCACAATCAGAGAAGGAGAAACTCATTGAACGCAGCTGCCGATTATTGTTGTAACTATTCCGTTGGTTCGAGAAGACGCTCCTCTCGCTTCCGGCACTTCTGCTTCCGTACACCTGCCGCGAGCTCCTCGCTTGAGGTAACACCACATTGTCCACCGTCTTCTTCGTCAGTTGCCTCCGGACTTCTTCTGGTAACCGGAGCATAAACCGGTCTAAACTATCTACCGGTTGAACCACAGAATGTCCGGTCGAATGCGATCTCGAGAATAATATCTGAGAGACATGACAGTGTGACAACCTCGTTGACCATGACCGAGACGCTATGTTTCTATTGGTCCATGTCACACCATCACACAAATGCGCATTTGGCGATTCTACGAAAACCGGATCCGGAATCAACTCACCCGACTCAGAGAAAAGATCCACACGACAAAGCGGACACGTGGAGTGATCAGAAAGCCAGACAGTGACGCAATTAGAGTGAAACACGTGGCTACAAATAGGTATCAAACGCAGCGTTTCATCGTCTTCGAACTCACAGAGACACACCGCACACTCGGCTCCACCTATCCCGAGCCTACGCTCCTTCACCTCCGAGTAGAGAAACGTCGGGAACGAGTTTATGATAGCCTCACTGAGCCCACAGGTCCCTGTGATGCTCATACTGGAATCATCGTCGGAGTCCGTGAACGAGTTGACAGATTGAGCAGAGTTAAATTGGCGAGAAGTCCAGCGAAAGCAAACGGAAGCCAAGCCAACAATGAAGATGGCGAATAAGATAATCGTGGTTACCATGATGGCTAGGTCGCTTGCTTTTGTCTCGGTCCCCGGCTGCGCCATCGCCTTTACTGATGATTCGCACGTTACGCACTGGAACAACACTCGTATCCTTCTCTCTAGATATACCATATGAACACAAAGTATGCAAATAATTATTTTTTGTGGTTTATAAGACATGGATAAAGATAAACTAATAACCAAAGTATTTACTCTCTTATCTTCTTACCTAGGCCATTTCTACTTTTGGTTTTAATGTTTTTTATCTAGTCCTTTTTTTATATATTAAAAATTTAATATCAAATAAGTTGACATGTAAAAGTAAAACATAATTAACTTGCCATAACCAAATAGATATACATAGCATGTGTTTGACCAGTTGGTTACTTTCTATCTAAACACCTTTAGTAAATTCCCAATTATTCCGTGAAATGCCAAATTCCAAATTTGCAATACTCGATGTGGAAAGAAAAGAATGATCTACTCTCACAAACATGAAAGAATGCACCACGACATTGACCGCATCTTATACTGGTATAGGTTTATTTATTACCTTATGGACGATCTGCTCAAAAGTCACAACAAACAAGCGGACGATAACGTGATTGTCTAGCAAAAATTAACTTAGCTAGATACCTTTAGTTGCACCACTCACTTCTACATGTGACATTCATATGTACTATGTAATGTAGTAAACCTGATCCTGAAAATATTATTTCCACATTCAACTCAGTATCAGATCATGTAGGATTGTACGTAGGCTAGCTACTTCTAGAACATTTCAAAGATTTCACAATCTCACACGTACATTTCTTTTTTTTTTCTTTTGCTGAAACCTTTACACAGTTTTTAGTTGTTTGACAGATAATAATTGTAATTTTTGTTGGTCATGCTCAAAAGTAAAAAACGCTTCCAAATAAGAACATTACATCCCAAAACAATTATTTACACTCGTTCATCTGGTCGGAGGCGCTCGAAAGACCGTTCACCAGATCCAATAGATGTCGGGCGATTCTTAGGCGTATCTCCGGCGAAAGCTGACCGAACCGAACCGCTCCTAAAAGAGAACGAGAAAGACAGCGAATGCAGCCGTCGGCTATTCTTCCGTCCGTACGACAAGACGCTTCTCCCACTCCCGACGCTACCGCTTCTGTAACCGCTCCGTGAACTCCTTGCCTGAGGCAATAACGCCACGTGTCCCGTCGTCGTCCTTGATGTCATCATCAGTTGCCGTCTTACATCATCCGGTAACCTCAACGTAAACCGGTCTAGATTCCCTACTGGTTGAACCAACGAATGTCCGGTCGAGTGAGATCTCGGGAAGAAAATGTCAGTTATACGCCAGCTGGACAATCCCGTTGACTTTGACCGAGGCGTGGTGTTACTATTGGTCCACGTCACACCATCCAGCAAATGCGCGTCCGAAGATTCCAAAACCCTTGCCCTGTCAGGATCCGTACCAGACGAAACCGTACCCGGATCCGGAACCAAGTAGCTCTCTGTCTCACTGCTCTCGTCGTCACCACCCTTTTGGTTGGGGACAAGATCCGCTCTACAGAGAGGACACGTGGAATGATCGGAGAGCCAGACGTCAACGCAATCGGCGTGAAACACGTGGCAACAAGGAGGCATCAAACGCAGCGTTTCGTCGTCTTCGAATTCGCATAGACAAACCGCACACTCCACACCACCTTTCCCGATCCGCACCGCCTTCACCTCCGAGTAAACAAACGTCGGGAATGATTCAATAGCCTCCGCTTCGAGTCCACGCGCCGCCGACCTCATGATCCTGACCACGCGGGCCTCGGCGTCTGCGTCGGTGGATTGGAAAACTGAAGGACGTGAGTAAAACGGCGCGTTGCTTCTCCGACAGAAGATGGAGCCAAAGACCATGACAAAGATCACGATGAACAAAACCGTGATCACTATAACAACAGGATCGTTGGCTTTCGTGTGAGGTCCTGGTGGTGTGGTCTGAGCGGATCCGTACGGCAAGGAGTGAAGCAAAAGCAAGACAAAGACAAGATTGCGTGGGATCCAAAGGGTGGAGTTTGTGTCGAAGATCGCCATATGATGATCATCGTATGTAAGTGGAGAAGAAGAGAGGTTTTGTTTGGTGTGAAAATATAAAGGTGGTTAAAAGAGAGTCAACGTCTGGGTTTGTGAAATCCATGGAGGTGTAAGAGTCGTTGCGTTACTGTGGATCATAGCACTTGCTTATTGAATTTTTGATATATATATATTTTTATTAATTACTAAAGGCAAATTTATCTGATTTGATCTATTCACACATTTGACTTTGAAGAAGTCTAGTGTGTGTACTTTTACAGCTAGGAAAAGAACACCACTTCTAAAGATGAAGCATCTCACTATATACAATTAGTGGTCACAATCTTTTCCAAATTAATAGAAAATCTCAATGATTTAAATTATACTGTATACCTTCACAATTTATATACTTTTTAAAATGATTAAATGGTGAAATCTCGTATCTTATCCATTCAAATTCCTGAAATAAATTTCTATTCTTAGTAAAGAAACTACAATGGCTGGTTCGCCTAATTACAGTATCATAATAGATTGCAAGATTTTCTAATGCAGAATCATCTCAACTTGTTTCTTTTTTTAATACTATGTTCTAATCTTCTTTGATAATATCAAAGGAGAGTGATCTAAAATTTTGTAAAAAGCAGGGTTGCGATTGTGTTAACTCACAAAGTCACAATTACATAATAATCAATCACCAAAATTGACCTCTGTATAGTCTACTGTATACAGAGTAGGCATCCGAAAATTAACCTCGGACAATTCATATGTGATAATAACGTATATAATACTTAATCTTCTAACCAATAACCATATATGAATCCACTAACGAGTAGTATTATATATCGGATCATATATATTTTAATAATTTGTTAAGATGGTAGGAATCTCATAATTTTCCGTCATCTAACTAAACCCAGGGTTAATCAATTGACATCGTGACAACCATAAACTAAAAAGAATAAACATACCATTAGAATCCAATCAGCCTAAGTAATTCACGCCATCGTCATTGACTTGAGAAAATACAACATTAAATATAGCAGACCTTTGAATAATTCGATGGTTAACTCGTGCGGGTTTCAACCAAATTAAAGTGACAACATTAACGAAAACATTCGAGTGTCCAATAATACACAAGACTACAAGAATCCAAATCATTACTTGGATGAGTCACTTCACCAAACCATAATACGATGAGCCAAACAAATCTCATTAGACAATAATTTAAAACATTATTCAAAAAAATCTTAGTTATCGTTACCACCATCTAATTCTGTTTTAAACTATAGTACTATAAATTAATAACATCCTTTATATAATAATACGGGGTCCGATTTCGAAGTCATTACTTTTATGAGGGTCATTTTGCAAATTCTATTTCCTAAGTTTTCTCTTTTGCCTTCTCCGATCGACGGGAAGGGGAAGCGCCTGAATCACACACAAAACCTTTACAATCGGAGTTGGAGAAAGCATAAATCGGGGGGAATATGAAGGGGAATTGGTCAATCATCCGTCAGGTTTTACACCGCCGCTTCTCCACTCTCCGTTCCTCAACACCATCGTCGCGATTATCCACTTTGTCCAGCTCCGCCCGACCTCTTATGTTGGTCCCAAACTCGATGTCATCGCTGATCACTAGTAACTCGTTGTTTACTGGCTCCACTATGGGCCGATCCATTGATTTTAACTCCTCCAACACTTCTCCTCTTCTCCACCGGAGAAACCTTTGTTCGGAAGCTGGAGGTAATCACGTTCACTTGCTTCTTGTGTTATTGCGTATATATCTGTGAATATTTGGAATTTGCAATCTAGTATTTATGATCTAGGTAGGTTGAAAAACCGAGAATAAGCTTTGAGTTTTTAGTGCTAGCGATTTCCATGGGATTCAAATTACCTTGCTTTAACTCTACCATTAGCCATTTCAATGAAAAAAGTATAGAAATTGGGAATTCATCTATGCTCAGAGATGAATCTAATCCTGTAATTGTTGATGTTAGGTGAGAAAGGTGTTGTTATAGTGAAATCAGAGGAAGGATTCATCGATGCAATGAGCAAAGCTCAAGGTATGCGTTGTAACCACTTACTTCTTACTTCACATTAAGTGAATGTGCTTGGTATGATTCGCTGCTTATGTTGTCTCTTGATGTTATCTCTATCCAGATGGATCTCTACCGTCCATCTTCTACTTCACTGCGGCTTGGTGTGGACCATGTATGTTATTTTCTTAGAAAGTTAGTTTTGTTCTCTATAGATATTTTCATTCAAGTGGTTTTTTTAGTTTGGTGTTCCATTTTAATTCAGGCAAGTTTATCGCTCCTGTAATCACTGAGCTTAGTAAACAGTATCCCGATGTAACCACATATAAAGTCGACATTGATGAGGTATGTTTGATTTGTTCTGCTTTTGAACTCCATGCATATATGTCTATTTTCGTTGGGTTTCTGTGATATAAAACCTTCCACGGTGCTTTGAGCTTGAACCGAAGGATAAGATTATTTGGTGTTCTGTGTTGAACCTGACTCGCCACACTCTGTTTCAATGTCATATATACTTTTGTTTGCGATATAGTTAGTGAGTAAAAGTAGCTGAACCATACAATAATATTTAAGCATCTTTACCACTCTTTTCTCAATCTTCTGTTCTCATGAATGTTCACTTCTTGCATAAATCTGTAGGATGGGATTTCGAACACTATCAGCAAGTTGAATATCGCAGCTGTGGTGAGTTTCATTACCATTTCTTACCAAAACATAATTGAGATAATACAATCAGCAGGAATGACTCATGTTGAACCATTCTTATGAACAATTATGATGCAGCCAACACTGCATTTCTTCAAAGGAGGCTTGAAGAAAGGCGAGATTGTGGGTGCAGATGTCACAAAGCTGAAGAATCTCATGGAACAGCTCTACAAGTGAAGACCCAATGCGGTCTAGTAATGAACATGTTGAGTAGTTTGCAAGATAGTTTGAGAGTGTCCAATCAAATCAAGGTTAAACATTTATTTATTTCGTTTACAACAACCAAGCCTATGTAAGTTTTCTCCTAATATTTGTTGGATTGGTTCATATGAGTCAACCGAGGAACTGAGGGTGGAGGAATGTAAGCAGCAAAGTATGATCCTCTTAAAATTTAAATTATAATTGCGCTTAATGCGTTGCCTTTTGTGTTAAAAGAGTTTGAAGTGAGAACTTTAAAAATATATATATATATATATATATATATATATATATATATGCGAGAAGTGATAACTTTATTACAGAACTGACAAATAGTACTGTATATGAAAGCTGTAGATATCCAATCAAGTCGACAGTCGACACCCCTGACATTAAAACTTTGACTCCTTTGGCTTGTAATAGTGGCTTAAACTGGGCCTATGTATGGGACTCTTGTGTTGGCAAATTGATATGTAGTAGCAGAGTAAACGTGGAATAAAACAGTGGAATCAACTGAACCACTGTTTGATCTGAAACCAAATTTATTTTTGTTGGTCTATAGTTTATAAAACTAAGAAGGTCATATACATACATACACATACAATTGTGTGTATGAAACTGTATGTAATATTGAGATTTTATTTGAGAGGATGGATGTGTGGAAGTTAATTTCAAAGGAGTTGAAACCTACGGAGTAAAAGGGAGGGTTAGGCCAACAAATTGTCGGAGGACTTTGGTCTTATACTCTTATTGTTGCGTTGGAATGAGACTAGAAGAAGGGTATTATCGTCATTTACGTTACTACGACGTTGATTAAATATTTTGATTCTTTGTCTTCTTCTTCGTCTCTCTCTCCCCTCTCGCGCATCTTCGGTGCTATAAAACATAACACACGAATGAATACATGATTTTGGAGTGAGATTTACGTTTGTTTGATACACGACAGACTATGAAGGAGCCAACGACGACGGAGATAGAGATTGAAACTTCGGCTGTCACGACGATGCTGCCTCCTCCTCTGACGGGGTCACCTCACCAAGCGTTAGTGGAGAGGCTCAAGGATTACGGACAGGAAGGTGTTTTCGCGCTCTGGGATGAGCTTTCACCGGAAGAGCGAGATCATCTCCTCAGAGACATCGAGGTGAATCGGAGAATTTACACAGTTCCAGCGTTTCATTTTCGTACTTTTTTTTGTCATCTTCTAATTCAGCGAAATCAGCTGAAGATCCTGCAAAAAAAAATTACTGTGAATCGTTGGCTCAGTTTCGAATTTTTGATTTTAAATTATTTTTTAAGCGTGATGCGTTATTTCATCTTCCAGAATTTGGATCTCCCGAGAATAGATCGGATCATCAGATGCTCACTTCACTCTCAAGGTTCATCTCTAGTAACCAAACCGTTTTTTTCGCAATTTATGTTTAATGGAGATTTAATCGAGCTCTGTTTTGACCTCATTAGGGTTGCCAGTGGCTGCAATAGAACCGGTGCCGGAGAATTGTGTGTCAACCGTGGATGAAAGAACAAAGGAAGACCGGGAAAAGTGGTGGAGAATGGGACTTAAAGCTATCTACGAAGGCAAATTGGGTGTGGTGCTTTTATCTGGTGGACAGGTACTTTAATTATTTGCGGTATTGTGTTGCTTTGCCTCTGGAGTCCTTTTCTTGGATTAGTTCTAACTTCTAAGATTGTTGAGAAAGATTTTAATGATTCTCGGATTATGGTTGGAATGAGTGTGTGATTGCTGAAATGATGTTGGAATAATGCTTGATACCTACTCAAATTATGCATTTATATGTCTGTTACTTAAATTATTGCCAAGTCTGAAAAAGTACTTATTTTGATTTGTGTAGTCATAAAGGCTTTCTATGAGTAATCATGACTGCTTTAAAAAAATCTTACCCGTCGGTGCTTTCTTCTAGACAGTGAAACACCTTATTATGAGAAAGAATAGTTATCACGTGACCTCAAAGATGCTTTATAGGATCTTGTTATCTTCTTTCCCCTTTTCAGTTTGTTTCATTTATTCAGCATTGAATAAACTTAAGAATATTTTTCTGTGGATATTGATGGTAGTGTTATTACCTGCTATTTTATGATATAGTTGGCGAATTGAACTAGAAGATTAAGAGGGGAATCACTAGTTTCGAATAGATTTTGATTGACTCTTTGAGTCCACCTTGTAGTGATTGTTGGTACATTCATTGACACAAATTTGTTATGAAATGATCTGGCTAAAAATATATTTTTGTAGGGAACAAGACTTGGAAGTTCAGATCCGAAAGGGTGTTATAGTAAGTAGTTCTCGTTTCAGCTTTGTTTTTGCTGGACGTCTTCTATATATTGTTTGCATATTGCCTTTTGCAAGTTCAGATTCTCTTGTTTTAGCAAATGAAACATTCTATAACATTATACGTTTACTGTTACCTATATCGTTTGTTTCATTACTACGTTTACTGTTACCTATATCATTTCAGATATCGGATTGCCATCTGGGAAGTCACTTTTTCAGATTCAAGCTGAGAGGATATTGTGTGTCCAAAGGCTTGCTGCTCAGGCAATGAGTGAGGGTATAGTTCACAACTCTGTATTTTATTTATCCTTACAACTATACTATTAGTAATACCTTGCTCACATAAAATTTTACCTGCAGCAGGTTCAACTCGCCCAGTTACAATACAATGGTATATAATGACCAGTCCATTTACTCATGAACCAACACAGAAATTCTTCGAGAGTCACAAGTATTTTGGCCTTGAGCCAGAGCAAGTAAGAGGGTTCTTAGCTGTAACGTTTTCTGGTCTATTGTTTTCTTCCTTGTGACCTATATCGATCCCGCTCTCTGTAGGTCACCTTTTTCCAACAAGGAACCCTACCTTGCATTTCAAAGGATGGCAAATTTATCATGGAGACACCTTTCAGTGTATGTGTCTTTAAAGCATGCTGAAATAACCTTAGACACCGATTCTTGAGGTTTACAGTGAGTTACTTTTTATCCTTAAAGACATTGGCCTTACGGATTTCATTTTATGTGACTAGTTAGCAAAGGCTCCGGATGGGAACGGCGGAGTTTATGCAGGTATTTATTCTCTAGACCTTCTGCTCTAGTTATAGGAAATAGTGTTTTCAGCATTTTCTGTTTATCAGAACTTTTAATATGTTTATTCAGCTCTCAAATCGTCAAGGTTATTAGAAGATATGGCTTCGAGGGGGATTAAGTATGTGGATTGCTATGGTGTTGACAATGTTCTGGTTAGCTTTTTCAGTGCTCTAAAGTCTTTGTCTGTGTACTTTCTCGATTCTTCTCGAACAATTAGAACAATAAACAGGAATCTTGGAAATCAGGTTCGAGTAGCTGACCCTACTTTTCTGGGATACTTCATCGACAAAGGTGCAGCTTCTGCTGCAAAAGTAGTGCGCAAGGTATATTCAGATAATTTTCTAATTAATTGGTTGAAAAAGCTACTGGACATTAATTTTTCACTTTATAGCAATTAGTTTCTCCTGAGCCAAATCACAGTCAAGTTTTGACCGAGAATCTTAATGTTTTGAAAACAGGCATATCCACAGGAAAAGGTTGGAGTATTTGTAAGGAGGGGAAAAGGTGGGCCTCTGACTGTAGTTGAGTACACAGAGCTTGACCAGTCTATGGCTTCTGCAACTAATCAGCAAACAGGACGTCTTCAATTTTGCTGGAGTAACGTAAACTTCTCTCTCTTTTACAGGCTTTCTAAGTTATTCTGTGACCATAATTTTCTTGCCTTATTGCTACTGTACCACTTTTTTGCAACTTAGACATTGGTTATTACTTATTTCAATTATGGAAGTGGCTATATGTGTAAGTTCCTAATGTAAGTCAAAACGTCGCAGGTGTGCTTACACATGTTCACTCTGGAGTTTCTCAATCAAGTTGTGAATGGGCTGGAAAAAGACAGCGTGTGAGATGCTTTTTACCGATCCTGCAATATGACGACATTTGACATATTCAGTAACTGATATCAAAACTCTTGCAGTTACCATTTGGCAGAGAAGAAGATTCCGTCTATAAATGGCTTCACAGAGGGGCTGAAATTAGAACAGTTCATATTTGATTGCTTTCCTTATGCTCCTTCTACTGCGCTCTTTGAGGTACTATTCTGTTATATTGTGTGAGACACATCAAAACCGAGGCTCACATGATTCGAAAACCTCATATTTTTCTGCGGATTTTTCTTGCCTTTGCAGGTGTTGAGGGAGGAAGAGTTTGCTCCTGTGAAGAATGCGAATGGCTCTAATTTTGACACACCGGATAGTGCGAGACTCTTGGTTCTTCGGCTGCACACACGTTGGGTCGTAGCAGCTGGTGGATTTCTAACACATTCCGTTCCTTTATATGCAACTGGTAAAGAGCCCTTCCACTCTTCTATTCATTTGACTTTTTTTTCCTACAATAATAGTGGTTTGGGTAAAAGAATCAAGCCCTAAACCAAGTAAACCAAACTAAATTGAAACTACCAAATTAAAACCAAAGTGAAAAAGGATAAAATAACGGCTATTAACAGTTATAGCTCAAACAGGCGTGGAAGTATCGCCGTTGTGCTCGTACACAGGAGAAAATCTAGAAGCGATTTGTCGAGGAAGAACGTTTCACGCACCATGTGAGATCTCCCTCTAATCTTCTTCTTATATATTCTTGTAATTTGGCCGTCTTTCTTTGCTTTTTATTTTTGGCTTGTTTCTTCTTTGTGCTGAAACTTGGTCTCTCTATATATGAACTGTAACTACTAACTGACGAAGGTGGTCAATAGTATTCTCTGTTCAATGTGTTACTCTTCATTATTGCAACAATGGTGAATTCCTTCAAAATTTTGGTGTGTTACTCTTCATTATATACCCGACATCTTGAATTAAAAAAGGTCTACAAACTTTGTGTCGACTTTTCGCAGGAAATGCATTAATAATAAAAAAAAAAAACAAACAAACAAACTTTCTCTTATAGAACGAATAACAAGAATTAGTAGTATTCAGTCCTAACTGTGATATAAATGGTACAGGATCGAATCAGACGAAAAAATGGTAATCTATAAGTCTACGACGTATCAGTTAAATTCTCAAACTGCAAAAAAAAATCTCCTGCAAGCTGTGTCTTCTGTATCGTCTTGCTACTTCGGGCAGTTGAATTGTTTAGCCATCACCAAATGGCATGGATAAATCGGTTGTTTCAAGGATCTTAAACAAAGGAGTCTGAATGCCTCTCCGAGTCTCTGGTATGCAGAAGGAATTCATATAACCAATAACCCATCTTCTCCCGCTTCTGAAGTCATGTTTTTGTTCTTCCTCATTTTGTTGCGAAGATCGGATACTATCGCATCCAAGGCTTCGAACTGAGGATGTGACTTATCTCCAACAACAAAAAGATGCCTCTGATTCCCGAAATCAATCCAACTGCAACCTGGTTGTTTCTTCAACCCTCTCTCCTTCATCTTCATTCTCATCTCTGCTGCTTCTTTCATTTTCCCACTCGCTGCATATATATTAGACATCAATACATAAGTCCCAGCATCATCCGACCCTGTTTCTAGTACCTTCTTCACCACCTCCTTAGCAATACTCACATCACTGTATACATTACAAGCGGATAATAGTGCTCCGTAGGACGATCTTGATAGCCTAGCCTCATCACAGTTGATGAAATTTAAAACATCTTTCAATCTACCAGCACGACCACAGAGATCCACGAGACACGTATAATGCTCTTCGCGCAGAGGAATTGACTCGTCTCTCACAAGCTCTGCAAAGAACTCCATTCCTTTCTCTACCAGTCCGGCGTGGCTGCAAGCAAACAGCAAGTTAAGATAGGTCACCTCACTAGGTTTGAACCCGTGTTTCAGCATCTGATCATACATTTCAATTGCTTCTTTCCCATGCCCGTGGTGCGCATAAACCGCAATCATACTGTTCCATGAAATCAAATCCCGTTGGCATACCAATCCATTATCGAACATCTTCCTAGCAGCAATCAGTTCACCAGATTTTGAGTACATGTTAATAAGCGCTGAAATCACAACTTCGTTCTTTTGGTGGACCGACTTAGATATCAACTGATGAATCTGCTGCCCTTCCACAAGCCCAGCTGAGTCACTACATGCGCTTAAAATGCTCACATATGTTCCTACGTTAGGCTTAACATAGCCATCCCTTAACATCTTTGAGAAAAATTTAAGCGCATCTTCGTTTTCTTTATTCTCGACATATCCTGTAATCATTGTGGTCCAGGAAATAACATTCTTTTCAGGCATCCGGTCAAATAAAACAGAAGCCCTGTTAATATTCTTATTCCGTATAAACCCTGTGATCATTGTATTCCATGAAGCAAAGTCCCTCTCTGGCATCACTTGAAAGAGTTGGTCAGCTTCGTCTATCCTATTATTATGTGCATAACCAGTGATCATAGCATTCCATGAAATAATATTTCTCTCAGGCATAGAATCGAAAAGTTGTCTCGCGTCATCTACCTTACCGTTCTTTGCCAATCCGTCGACCATGGCTGTCCATGAAATGACATCCCTTCTAGGCATTCTTTGGAATAGATTCATTGCCTCATCTATCCTACCACGCTGCACCAGAGCTTTCATCATCGTGTTCCAGGAAACAATGTTTTTCTCAGGCATTTCATCGAACAGTTCCAGAGCTTTATCAATTCTCCCGCTCTGAGCATACCCATCGACCATAGTATTCCAAGAAACTATATTTCTCTCAGGCATATCCTGGAAAAGCATCTCAGCTACAGAAAGCTGCTTAGATCTCAAGTACCCACTAACCATGGCTGTCCAAGTCACCACATTTTTCCTAGAATCAACCCTATCGAACAATTCCCTAGCTTCTCTCATATTCCCTAACTTAATATACCCAGTAATCACATCGGTCCATGTAACCACATCTCTCTCAGGCAATCCGTCGAACAGTTTGCGTGCTTCTACAATTCTACCTTCTCTGCACAGCTCACCAATCAGCCATTCGGGTCGTGGCACACGCGAGTTCGAGCTGTATCCTTCCCTTCTCGGTCTATGGCTGGAAGAACAAATCGAACGAACGATATTAAATAGTTGCACGGACTGATCATGGTTTGATATGGGCAATACCGATGATCTTCTGTAGTAGCTTCTCAGGTGCGACAATGCGCTAGATTGCATCAGCTAGAAGATTGCAAAAGTTATTTTATTTACTGTTGTTGGTCGATCAAAGAGAAAAGACAAGTGTTGACGCGACCAAGGAGTCCTTTCACTGAGATGCTCGAATCGCAGATGAATCTTCGGAGGAAGAAGATTAGGTTTCCAATCCCACCAGCAGAAATCAGTCGCCAGAATCGTTTCAGACGAGAAGTAATAATTTATAAAAATATTAGGGGGTGTTATTGGTAGTTTAAGTTAAATTCAACTCCATTATATTTTAAAATTCATAAGACTTTCAAAATCTGGGTTCATTGAGACTGATTTAATATTATTCATTCTTTAAATCAGTGTAATTGTATTTACACTGACACATGATATCTTTTGCTTTTGAACAATAGAATTGAATTCTATAACAAATGATTTTACAATTTTCAATGAAATTATACCAAACTTTTATCATCACTTATTTTTTTTCCATTTCAAATTTCTGTAGTGAAGTCTTAACATATCTTTTAAAGATGAAAATTGTTTTATTTTTTGTTAACGTGATCAAATGAATCATACAACAACTGTTAAAACAAATATACACATTAACTAGGGATAAAAAAAAAAGACTGGGAAAAAATGATAAAGAGAGATACATATGTGTTGGGTCATGGGTGAATGAGTTTGTAAATATTGATAATGTACGTGTATTACGTTCAATGAAACTTTTATTAATTTATTATTAGATTGTCAAATCTCATGTTAGAAGGTTGGTTTTCGGATTAACATAATTTACACATGAAATCAGTTTCAGATTCACTCAAAGCTTTTCAAATGAATTCATTTGTGAAAATCCACCAAACTTGAATAACATAAGACTTTCGTTAATAATTGTAAGTATAAGAACCAATAACACTAGATTTTAAACTCTTTTAATGAAGATTTTGCAAATATAAGAACCAATAACACTATATTTTAAACTCTTTTAGTGAAGATTTTGCAAATATAAGAACCAATAACACTAGATTTTAAACTCTTTTAATGAAGATTTTGCAAATATAAGAACCAATAACACTTGATTTGAGTAAAGTATTTAAAATCATTGATTAAATAACATTAGACTTGGGTTAGAGTTAGACTCTATTAAAATCCATTATCCAATAACACCCACTAAGTGAAAGTTTGCAAATTAGGGAATCGAACTCGTGCATGTGTTTGGTGACAAAACAAATCAATATTTATATCTCTGATGTCCTATTTAACCTTTATTTGATTTTAAAATATGGAGTGGAGGGGTTACAAAGAAATGGAAGAAGAGGAAAGACTCAAGCATAAGGAACTTGACCAAGAAGTGGTTCAAGCTCAGCCAATTGTTGCCTCAAGAAATTGTAGACAGACTCTGTGGAATCAGAAGCTATTCGAATTACAACTCCTTTTCCCTGCAAAATTTACACCAAAACTTTGATTAGCCATTTATGTGGATGCGGACTCGTTAATTTTATCATTCAGGCAAAGCTAATATGGTTTATGGTATCTTCATTGGAAGGATGAAATTAAAAAGTACTGATAGTAACCTCATGGCCGAAAGTGCTGCAGGAAGCTATAAACTCTGGCTTCATGAAGCCATTACGGGAGTTTGTATCAGACTTGTGTCTCCGAGAACCATAAGAGATCTGTAGTTGTTCCGACATCATATTCTTCACATTTTCTTGAACTTGCTTTTGGATTTCCTTCAGCTTTGCCCTTGATCCATTGTCAAATACATTTAGCACAGAGTCAAAATGACTAGAAAATGTGCATTACAATCGCATACCCGAAGAGTATGACCATTGCTATGGCGTGATAGTCTTGCATCCGTTCGGCAATGCTTTGGATGCTCCTCTTCTCTAATAATACCTGCAGTAAATAAACCCATTACTAAAGCCAAAGGTAGGTCTAATCTCGCTCATGTTCTAACGATACTACAAACAAATATTTGTAAGAATTATTTACTTGGTTAAGGTAAAACATCTCTAATAGATCTAATAGTGGGTAAGAGATTAGCAGTTTACTGTGTCAAGGAATAAAGGGTGGTCATCTTCCAGGTAGACATTGTTAATGCTCTTATAAAACTCGAAATCCCATTTCTCGCCATTTGCATGACGCCCGCTTGTGATCCAATCCACAAGGACCAGGTTAGAGTCTGAAACCATTCTAAAGATCTGTTTCTGATAGTACCGGGCAGTGGAGAAGCAAGTCACTGGATCTGGAATCACTACCAAAAGAGATTCACTCCCGATTCTAGTCTACTGTACACAACAAACCCCAAAGATCAATCAGGAACAGTAATTCAAGGAAAGGGGTCACAATACTAATGCAATAGCAATATCTTCTTCTATCACAGCTCAAAATGATTAAAGCAGAAATGTGAAAGAATGAAAGAAACATTACTTCCAATAATTGTTCAGAACACTTTGATCCTATTGCCTTGTATACCTGAATGAAATCACAAGATCCAAGCTCAGAAAATAAACCAAATATGATAAAACCAGTGTCCAATTCAAAGAGAGAGAGAGAGAGAGAGAGAGAAAAATCCCCCATTTGAGTCAACCTTAGTAGAAGACTGGGTTGTAATCACTGCAGTGCATCCATTACCAATGGTGAATTCACATGAAATCGAATCTCCCTACATAAGTTGAACAAGAAATTGTTCGATTCAAGTATCGATTGACAAAGAGAGAGGGGAGAGAGACATAGAAATAGAAAGAGGAGGAAGAGGAATATACAGAGACAATGCCGCCACCATAAGTTATGCTGTAAATCCAGACAACGTCAGTTCCGGCAGGAGCTGCCTGAAAGTTCAGTGTCGGGAATTCTAGAAATTAAAGATTGAAAATTTCAAACTGTCAAATAGAGATTAGAGAGAGAGGGACCTTGCTAGGAAGTAAGAACTTGAGAGGATACTTAGAGAAGCAACTCGTAGCTGTAGATCTTCCTCCTACTTTCTCCACCACCACTTTCCCTGTCGCCATAGCTAATCTTTCTTTCTCACCACAGTTGTGAATTTTCTCGTTCTAATTTGAGTTGAAATGTTGATTATTTATATACACATCTCATCAGTTTCTGGGTGTTGAGAAAAAATATGATTTTTTGATGATGTCAAATTTTCAAGTAACAGCTCTAATCATACATAATGTCGAACGCAATACAATGTTACAACATTTTATTTCCCACTCTTATGTGTTTTTTTTTTGGTGGGTTCTCTTCTTCAGATTCTCTTGGATGTGTTTATAAGAGCAAAACTTGGAGGATTCATCATCAATGGCGGAAATGTCTAACGTTAGTGAAGAGCAGAGAGACTCCGTACTTTTTGCAGCAATCAATGGCGTCTTGGTCTCTTATACTGCCTCCAGGTTCTGCTATCACTCCGATTCCTTTCTCGCACGCCTCTTCCACCGCGTCTTTCCAAGCTGCGATTCACACAGCAACAAATTTGCAATCAGATCGGCCAACAGATTTCTAGATTGATGAGTCAATTCATTTCAGACAAAAGAATGGTTATGGAGAGAAGAAAATACCGAATGGGAAGAATGCATCACTGGCCAAGGCAGCTCCTTTGGCTTCCTCGCCAGCTTTCTTGAAAGCTATTCTCAGACTCTCTACTCGGTTTGGCTGCCCGCTTCCCATCCCCAGCATACAATTGTTCTTGATCCAGAAACCGAAGAATCAGAATAAGCAACAAGCAAACAAGTATAGAAAGAGAAACAAGAAAAAGGAATCAGAGAGATAAATCCCAACCTTTGCTATCACAATGGCATTGCTCTTGACATGCTTAACGCAGAGCCAGGCAAATTTGGCATCCGCAAGTTCGCTTTCAGTCGGAGTTTTCTCTGAGACCGAATTGAAACTGATGTCTTCTGGAGTTAGATCGTCTGAATCCTGAGCCAACCAGCCGCCACCAACCTGTCTGAGCGATAGTTTCCCTTGGTCATTCTTTTTAGCCTCAAGGATCCTCAAAGTTTTCGATTTCCCTTTGAGGACTTCAAGACCTTTAGCGGTATACTTTGGAGCAACCACAATTTCATAAAACATTCTAGTTTCCCCATCTGTTGGGCTCCTGAACTCTCGGATCTCCCTTGCAAGAACCTAGAGCCAGATACACATCACTAAACAATGGAATGTATGGGACAACAGTAGTTTGATTTTGATTACCTCATCAACTTCAACATTGAAAGCTACAATGCCACCAAAGGCACTAACAGGGTCAGCTTTTACAGCTAGCCGGTAAGCCTCAAGAATATCATCACGAGAGGCCACACCACAAGGATTTGTATGCTTCACGACTACACATGTTGGGTTTTCAAATTCCGACACACAGTTCCACGCAGCATCAGCATCAAGATAGTTGTTGTATGACATTTCCTGCTCACAGAAATATATAGAAATGTCAAACATAATAAGGCTGAAAAGCGATGATATGAATATAAATGGCAGTCTACAACTATGACCATTTGCTATATAAATTCAAACGGAAAGTAAAAGTATCATACTTTTTACAATTATGATGGTAAAATTTTATTACCTTCCCATGGTGCTGAATCGCTGTTGCAATACCACCGGCATTCACTTCAGCAAGGCTCTTGTCAACATAAAATGCAGCATTTTGATGAGGATTTTCACCATAACGAAGAGAACTCTTAACTGTAAGTGGAACTGTAAAGCTGGGAGGGAACTTCTCTTCTGCGAAAAACAGGAATAGTAATCAAAGTAAGTTACCAATTGCCAAGAACTAGTGCAAGGAGGATCACTAGAAACAATCACGTACTTCCTTCAGTCTGCTTCCATAGCCATTCTGAAACGGCAGAGTCATATGCAGCAACATGCTGAAAGGCCTTCCATGCAAGTTTTCTGCGGAATTGTTGGTCACTTTGCCCTCCTTTGAGATACTCCAAAACAGCTTGATAATCGTCAGAATCAACAACAATGAGAACGTCTTTGTGGTTCTGTCAGACAAAATAGAAAAAGTACATTTATAATCATGAAATGAATGTAAAGAATAATCCTCAATGTCCCATCTATGCATATACCTTAGCAGCTGCTCTAATCATAGCAGGCCCACCAATGTCGATATTCTCAATCCCATCCTCAAAGCTGATCCCAACTGGAGCAGTAACTTTGTCATAGAATGGATACAAATTGACAACCACCACATCAAATGTACCTGTCATTGAATACAAAAAGCAACAGGTGAAGTTTAGAATGAAA